GTACACAATTTATGCATAATAAGTGTTAAGTGTTCCTCATCCCAGCGGTGTTTGATCACTTTGCACAATTTTGCTTGCATATGACACTATAAATATAAATCGTTATGAATACTGCATTACACAATATAATTGACTTTGCATAGGTTTACTTTGCTTAATTGCTATACCAATATGTAAATGCACTTGTACTGTACGTATTAAATAGGAACAGCTTTATGTACCAAATTATCTATTTATTGGCGTATAAATTGTACTGGTAGGTGTGCGTATTACAATTAAACTTTATTACGCACATACATATATTGCCTTGTAGCCAGTACTTCCCGTAGTTGGATAAAAACTTTTAAAATCGACATTATTATTTTGGCACACATGTGGCAGAATGCTGTAACTAATTGCCTATCTCAATCTTACAGTGTTAAGATATAAATCATTACAATTATTTCCAACATTGAACACAGGTTGCAATAAGTCAATATGTGATAACTAAAAATAGATAGAATCTAAATAAGTTAAGTTTGATAAAGTATGATCATTTCATTTATGGTTAAGAGTAAAAGTTTGCTTAGAGTGAATATTTTTGGAATACAAATTCGTTATTTCTTTTTTGTCAAATTAATAGGGGTTTGTCAAATTTTCCAGAGAACTTAATTTCTTTGACATTTGTAGGCAAATTATTCCAATCCGCTTTTTGCGCTTAAGTTGGACTATCTCCAATTCACAAAAAAACATACCTACAATAGGGACGTAAACCACATTCAACCCAGATTATTTTTTCACCATGTTAGTTTGAAAGAACAACTCTTTAGAAACAAGATTTATTGTCGCACGAAGATGTCTTGCGAAGATGCAAAAAATTCAGCAAGTTTTGGTGCCAAAAGCTACGCAGATGCACCCTTTAAATTCTTTATTGCCATTTTGACAAGCATGTACATGTAGTGGAATTTGGAACTTGCGGCAGCAGTTGCAAGAGAAACTGGTGGAGTCCAAAACTTGCTGAATATTTCGCATCTTCTCAAGTGCCGCTCTAAATCTTGTTTCTAAATAATTGGTCATAATCTACATAATTTGGTCAAAAAATAATCTGGGTTGAACATGGTTTACGTCCCCACTATTAGTACCCGAGTAGCGTACACGTTTAACTATATGCACAGAATTTTAAACAGAAATTACTAATGACATTGTGTAATATGCTATCAAACCGTACAAAGTAATGCGTGTGCCCTTATGAATAAAGAAATATGAGCCCACCCAAATCTTGAGGAGTTTTAAACTTCTCAGCTGTCTTTTTCTGTAGCTTATGTAACCCCCTTGAAATTCTAAATCCTTTTTAAACTCAGCGGATTTTCTCATCACATCAGCCGTTAAGGAAAATCCTACCTGAATAAACCCCAAAATTGCTCCGATTATCGTTATGTCAATAAATACCAGTGCGTATGGTATCTTCTCAGCCATTTTTACTACCATAAATCCCATCATAGTAGCTAACAAAACTAAAATTGATGCGCCTATGGGCAATACGTACCGGATGAATTGGTTCATGCCCTGAGTAACGATCTGAAGCTGACGATAAGTCCTTATCCTGGTAAGATATTGGGAAATATTGAGAAAACTTCTACTTTCTTCCTTACTTGAAATTGGTCTGTCTAAACTTCTTACGATTGATACGATTATATTAACACCGGTAATTGCAAAGCCAGAGATACCTACGCTCATATGCATTAAGGTCGAGCAGTAGAGACAAAGCCTGAAAAATAGCTTCATTCTACAAGAAATTATAGTAACGTTGCGAAACCAGAGATAGGTTGGATCTAATTTTGGACTTCGAATCATCACCACAAAGCCTCCTAATGGTACCATAACAATAAAGCTCATGAATCCGTGAAAGAAAAAGCCAGGAAGAGTAGACGATTCGTTCAATTGATCTGAAAAAATGGTAAAAAAGTTATTGATTACTTTTAACTATCTGAAATTCAGAATAGTAACTTTGTCACGAATGCTATTTCCCAAATGGGGGTAATCATTACGAGTTCGCATTGTTAGCAACAAATTTTTTGTTTGAAAATTCATGGGCGAACTTGCAAATCTCCATATTAGTTTAGTTTGCAAAATTTTTGTTCGAAGTTTTATGTCTTGATATTCGTATGCGGACTCGTAATGAATACCCAATGTTACAAACCTTTGATTTTCAACGTATTGCGAATCACGAAGCAAATTTCGTCTGGATTGGAGTGATACGTGAAACAAATTGTGGAGGAAAATGAGTAACAAATGCTTAGCATTAAGAGAAGGATGTGAATTGTCCCAGAAATCTCGGGATCTTTTTGGTGCGAAAGTATTTGCTGGAAAAGGATGAAATAGAAGCTCGTTCCCTCAACTGCACAAAGGAAGGAGAGAAAGTACCACGGGATGAGTTTTGATGTAGCTGTGGGCGTGGGTTGCCATGTCACCCGGTTGAAGGATAGTCGCTGAGGGTACAGAAATTCACTTAATATCGAGAAACGCTGCAACGCTTTTAATGGAGTGAAGGTCTGATCCCAAATAATTTTTTGGACTCGTATTAACATCCTGGATATTCTATTAAAAGTGATAATTAATTAAATTGAATTTGATCTAAAATTGAAACACTATCTCATTGTATGTGTCTATTCTAAATATGATGGTGGGTCCAAATCTATGGGACACATGTGGGTATGTAGGTAGGGTTGGAAATTTGCATGTAAGAATGAGCTTTACAACAATACCACTAAATTTTGAATTTTCACAGGTAGAAATGTATTTGAAAGAGTGATATGTATAATTATATAGGCGGTTGAGACAGCAATTTCCAAAATGTCAATTTTCATAGTACATTCGACATATACATACATACATAACTACATATTTAAACAAACATGTATGTAAAGCTTGTCTACGTATGTTTTCGAAAAAATGAGGAATAGCTTATTATTTAATTGTAGGTGGGAACTTTTCGGCCAACAGTTGGGCAGTTATATAGCAATTTAACTGTGTGATAACATGTCAATGAAACTTAATAGTTCAGATTCAAACCCAAAAAAGCGTTCAACTCAAATACATATAAATAGCCAGCGTTTAAAGTCGCATAGCTGGTTCAAAACATTCTCTGCCATCATCAATTTTGCAGTGGGAAATTTAGTGCTATTATATAAACTTCCAAACTAGTAATACTGAATTGCAGTACTATTTCCTTAGGTTAGTAATCATGTTCCAACGTTATAAATATTCGGCGATCATGAATGTGAAATTGAACCACCAAACTGCTAACTAGGAAACATAATTTAGCCAATTTTCATTGGAAAGCAAATTATTAGACAATGTGTGAATTAAATTTATTAGAAAGACATTTACATGTAATACATCTTCCGCTTAACAGTAAGTTGGGTTATTACATTTTGTGAAAAGTAAGTATATTTAATACATATATGTGTAAATTTCATTGTTATTTAAATAAATAATTTCCCTTGCACCTTCATTGGCGAAACAGTATGTACACAAGTAAATGCATTTTGAGTATGTGTGTACATTTTCGTATGAGTATATTTAAAAATTCTTAAAAATTCACGGCTACATTATTCGACAAATTTCAACGAAAAATCTTGAAACAAACAATCCGAAACAATTATAAATACTTCCATCAGCAGACACGGAAATTAAACTCCATGAAAGCCAGCCTCAAGAATGATTTCCCTTTATCATGGCCCGACATTCAAATACTGATCAAAACTAAAGAAGAAAATTTTGAAAATATAATTAAACAACGACAAATTGATAAATTTAATCGATTGTTGGAGAGTCAAACAAACACCTATAAGGATAAACTTATACACAAAATTCGGAAGAATTCATATGCAAAAATCAAAAATCTTACCAACAAAATTCTGACTGCAGACGAAGAATGTTTACTAAAACTTGGAATGAATTTCTCTCTCCCCCCAAGAAACATCGAACAACAAGTCATCGAAACAATGATTGCAGTGGAAAATGTTTTGTTGGATGAGGAAATCCCAGAAAAAACTAAAAATCACATAAGATATGAAGCTACCAAAATCATCAATAGTGAAAAAAGAAAGACAATTAAGGTGGACTATAAAATGAACCAATGGATAAAAAACACAATGCACAAACTAAAAAGTGACCAAAGCATAATCATTACAAAATCGGATAAAGGCAACACCACTGTCATCATGGACAAGAATGAATACGAGGAAAAAGTATCAGAGTTACTCCAGTCTGGTCCTTACCAAAGAATCCAATCCGTTCCAGTTGATACATTGCAGGAAGAATATAAAACAATCCTCAAGAAATTATTAATAGAAGAAAAAATTTCAAAATCCCAATTCCACAAATTATCCCCAAAATCAACATCAATTCCTATACTTTATGGCAGCCCGAAAATCCACAAACCAGATGTACCTCTCCGTCCAATCATTGACTATAGAAATACTCTTTTTTACAACCTAGCGATGTTTCTAAAAGAACCATTACAAATTTTAGCCGAGGACAACAAATATTCACTAAAAAATTCGTATCAATTTGTAGAAGATTTAAAAGAGTGCAAAATCAAAAGAGGCGAGGTCATGATATCTTTTGATGTTGTATCAATGTTCACAAAAGTACCAATCAAAGAAACCCTAGAATATATTGAACACAAACTACGAAGCACAGATAAATGGAGGACGATAACCAATCTTACCGTAGAAGATATGATGATGTTACTGAAAATGTGCATAGAAAATACTTTCTTTTCATGGAGACAAATGTTATACAAACAAATTGAAGGCTCGCCCATGGGATCACCCATCTCCCCCATTTTTGCGGAATTATTTATGCAATTTTTGGAGGAAACAGTAGTAAAAAATAACCGAAATATAAAATTCTGGAGGCATTTTGTAGATGATACATTCTCAATAATACAAGAAAGAAAACTGAAGAAAATTTTTCAAAGCCTAAATGATTTCAATAAGAATATCAAATTCACAATGGAAAAAGAAATAGACAACCAAATTCCTTTCTTGGATATAATGGTATATAAAAAAGAACACGGTGAACCCGGACACAAAATATATCGCAAGCCCACTCACACAAACCAATATCTTCATTTTGATTCGTACCACCACCCAAGCCAAAAAATTGCTGTGATTGACACTTTGGTTACAAGAGCCATGAGATTATGCGATGAAGACCACAGGGATGAAGAAATGAAATTTGTAACTCACATTCTTCAAGAAAATCATTATCCCCTAGCAAAAATCAAACAAAGAATTGAACATTTAAAGCAAAAGACACAAAACAATCCAGAAGAAAGAAGATGGATCGCCCTCCCATATACTGGAAGCATGGCAAAAAGATTTTCAAAACTATTAGGAAACAACTTAGAAATCAATATCGGGTATTTTACTGGAACAAAATTATCTACACAACTTTACAATTTCAAAGACAAGAAAGAAAAGCCAAACAGTGGAATTTATAAGATAAAATGTAAAGCTTGTCCCCTCACATATATTGGAGAATCAGAACGAAACATTGAAAGAAGATTAGAAGAACATGAAGCCCATGTTCGTCATGGAAGAGTAAATTTGTCAGCCGTCGCCCTACATATGGCAGAAAACCCGGGTCATGAGATTGATAAGGCCTCATTCAAATTGATTGAACGAGAAACCCGTTTTTATCATCGAAAAATTAAAGAAGCATTGCATATGAAGAAAAATCCATCTAGCATGAACATCAAGGATGGGAGGAAAATAAACCCCATTTGGTTACCAACTATTCTTCCTCTAATAAAAAATCCATAAAATTTCCTAGGGAAACTATTGTAATTTAGTCAAAAGTTTTTGAAGTAGTGTTCTGTCAGAAAACAATACATATTTGTGACCCTGATGAAGACAACATTCGTTGTAGAAAGCTTGGTCGAGTATCAATAAAACTGTATAGTTTTTAGAAATCAAGTCCTCAAAACCGTTTAAAAACTCATTTTAAACTTCAACATGAAAGGATGGAAAGATGTCAAAATAGATAAAAATTCTTAAATAAATTAGTCACAACCTCTGAGTTTTTAATCTTTTCTTGCTGAATAATAACGTTAAAATGTTGGCGGTGAGTTAGGGAGGAGATTATGTACATAAAATGTGAAAATTTGTATAGTGTGAAGTTAAAATCTGGGTACAATACTGAGACACACAAAATTAGCGCATATGTAAATATATTTAAATGACGCTGGCTTGAAACATGTTGATTTTTGTGAGTTTCCGGGTGGACGTTGTACCCACTGATTGGTGACATGCATATACATTTGTTTTTGTATGACAAATGCATTTTTTAGAGGACAAGAGTTCGTTGAATCTTGTTTGTTTTTGCTTCATCTTAATAATACTTCATTTTGAACGCTAATTCATAAATACAAATTGCCCCAGTTTTGCACAAATCCATAATACCTAAGACCAGTTTAAATACATTTTTAATAACAACAATTACAACTCTATCGCTATATATTCCGGATAGCTGAGGAAAACTAAGGTATTGTCTGTACATGAATATTTGCGTACTTACATATGTATATATACCTAGATACATACCTAGATACATGCCTAGATACATGTGTATCTACATATGTATGTACATACATGTATGCATGCATACTTATCAATGCATCCAGAGCTGTTAGGTCGCCATACACAATTTTGATTGCATATGTTGTAACTAGTAAATATAAGTCGTTATAAATTCTGTTTTACACAACGTGTAATTTATGTCTAGAAGAATTGACTTTGTATAGGTTCAATTTGCTAAATTGCTATACCAATAGCCACGTTTACAATATGCATGAGCACCAGCCTTATGTATGCATCCAATTAAACTTTATTGCATACCTGTGTCCAGTAATTACAGTAGATAGATGAAAACCTTTAAACTAGATATTGCCATTTTGACAAATATGTAGAAGCATGTATAATTAATTGTCTCAATTTACTAAATGTAAATTTAAGCAGCATAAATAATCTAATTAGGTACGATGGCAGGGCATCAGCTTGTGCGTGTCAAAATGTAACCATAGTGGGTAGTTTAAATATATTACAAGATATAGTAAATTCAAGCTTACAATTACCCATGCATTTATTTATAGAATTATATCAGAACTGAAGACAACGAAAGTTTCTGGGTGCCAATTTAACCGTCCAACGAAAATATAGCTTTATCCAACCAAAATTAATAATTTCGCCAATTATGAAATGCGCAACGAATTGATTTATTTTGCAACAACTTTCATTAAAATGCACAACAAAATAATTAAATTTCCAAATAAGAAATAAACGAAATCCTTACGATAAATAAGAAGGTATAAATATTTAGTCAACAATCAAAGCATTTCCAACTAACTTTTTTCGACCGCGCTTAGCTTAGCTTCCAATTACATCAGTCTTAAGATTATCCGGTACAACAAATATCTTGCTAATTATTCGAATTCCAGCAATATACTTGCATACATATACTTTTTTTAATATAGAGCAAGAACAAGTGGAAGAAATCCAGTCATGCAATTTAAAATTGATAATCCAGAACGCCGGTTTACTTGAAGCGTATGACTCAAACCTTTGCTAATACATTCTTTTGATTAACCCGAGGATTCTATCAATTTCATCCTTTCGAATAGATTTATTTCCGGCTGGTGAAATACATGGCATGGAAGTTTCACTCACGTTCCTAAATCGAAGTCCTGCTTTCTCCCTTGCCAAAGTATATGATTTTGATCAGCAAATTTGAAACTGATGGTGTACTTTGAAACAATTTACTGTCTGGATTATCAGGGTTTCTGTCGAGTCCAATTTAGCAGAAGTTTCATAATACATCCAAAATATTGCCTTAACGGAACTCTCTCTCTGTAAGTGCTTTATTTCCTAATTATAGGAAATAAATTCGTGATTAAGTTTTTGCTTCTTTGTGGGGTTTATTCAACCGAGTCTTCAGAGTCGGATTGATAATTATTTAGTCGCTGAAAATCTGACATTTTCGTTAATTGTTTTACGAAATAACAAGGAATGGCCTGACAAAAGTTGAATGAGAATTGGGAAGAAATTGAGAGTTAGTGATGGTAATTGTGAATGATGAAAATAGATACATACCCATATATATCTATCCATTTATGTATACTGTCAATAATATGATAGGCAAAGTAAAGTAATATGATATGTAAAATTTGGTCGGATGCTTTTACATTTTCGTTGGACACAAAAATTAAACCCGTTGCCCATTGCATTATTGGCCAAATTATTAATTTTGGTTGGAATAAACTAAATTTTCGTTGGATGGTATAAAATTGACCCAAAGTTTCTAACACGTGCAAATCCCTGTTTATTGCATATGTACATAACTATCTGTACATGAATGTAAAGACATATGTATATATTAGAATTTATATTTTTGCGCTTATACGTATAGGATTATCTCAAATTCAGAAAACGGTAATACATTAGAAGCACACTTATGAACATGTGCATGATTTTAAACTGAAATTACTAACGACATCGTGTAATACGCTATCAGACCGAATGACGTAATGGGTGTGCTCTTTTTAATACGAAAATATGGCCCCGCCATAATCGTGAAATGTCTGCAACTCTTCAACTGCCGTTTTCTGTAGCTTACATAGCCCCCTTGCAATTCCAATGTCCGTATAAAATCAGCAGACTTTCTCATCACATCAGCCATTAAGGAAAATCCTACCTGAATAAACCCCAAAGTTGAGGTAGTTAGTATAATCTCAAAAATTACCAGTCCGTGTGGTATCTTGCTAGACATTTTTATCAGCATAAATCCCATCAAAATCATTAATAATACTAATACCAAAGCAAGTACGGGTAATATGTACCGGATAAGATGATTCGTGACCTGATCTATTATCTGAAGTTGACGATAAGTCCTCATACTTACCATATATTCGCAAATATTTCTAAAATTAGATTTTTCTTGGTTAATTGAAATTTGCCTGTCCAACGTCCTTAATATTAAAAGGATTATAAGAACACTGATAATGGCAAACTCAAAGATAATTATGCAAGCATGCATTATGGACAAGCAGAAGAAGAACATCCTTAAATACACTTTCATTTCGCTAGAAATCATAGTAACGTTACGAAGCAAGAGGTAGGTCGGATCAAATTTTGGACGTAGAATCATGACTACAAAGATAGCTAAGGGTATCGTGATACTAAAGGTGATAATTCCGTGGAGATAAAATCCAGTGAGATTAGACGATTCATTTGAAGGACCTGAAAAAAATTCACAAAATTTAATGGATAACGGTCCAGCAAATCTTACAAACGGGGTATTCATTACGAGTTTGCATCGTTTGCAACGTTCGCAAGTTCGAATAAGGAAATTTCTTGAAATTGCATTTGCAAATTGCACATCGTTTATACAAACCTTTAATTCTCAGCATATTGCGAATCACGAAGCAAAGTTCCTCGGGGTTGAAGTGATACGCACAACAAATTGTGGTCGAAAGTGTGTAACAAATACAACATGAGAGGAGGAGGACATACGTTGGCATAAGAATCTCTGAATCCTTTTTATGCGAAAGTAGTTGCTGGAGTAGGATGAAGACGAAGCTTGTTTCCCAGATAGCGCAAAGGATGGATAGAAAGTACCACGGAATCAGTTTGGATCTTGGCGTGGGCGTGGGCGTGGGTTCCCAGGTCACCCGGTCAAAAGTTAGTCGTTGAGGGTACAACCATTCACTGAATTTTGTGCAACGTTGCAATGCGTCGAAGGGAGTGAGAGTCTGAAGCGAAGTATTTGCAAGTAGTGATCGAATTAACATGTTGAATCACTTGTAAATATTACGCTTTATTATTTGAAGTTGATCTCAAGATGAAATTTCACGGTACAGACGTATCCAAAGTTGTACTGGATATGGCGTAAGTACATTTGCACATTTTACACATATGTACATACATATGTCCTTATGTAAGTTAAGTAAGTTGGTAAATAAGTAATGCATTGTGTAACTGTGCTTATGAAGCATTCATGCCTCACTATCACCACCAAATTCTCAACTCTGCGCATAGGATATAAATATTTGGACCATAAATGCAAATTATAGGGGCAGGAGAAAGTAATTTTTAAAAGATAGTAATTTGAATAGTATGTAAATGTGTAAACATACGTCTGTCTAGGAGAGCAGCGTATGCATAACGATTGCCAGGTGCATAGATACATATGCGACCCTTTGAGCTACACTGGCATAGTTCTAGGAGAAGATATGGACAAAAGAACTAATATTCTTTTGTCAGATTTAAAAAAATTTGAAGTCAAAAAATGAAATTGTATACTTTTAACTTTTATGTATAAGTGATCGAAATCGTCCAATGGAATCTTTGACGGACAAATTGTACAGGGGATAAGTTTATATCATTAAACCGCCAGTTTACTTAATTGCATAATAATTTATTTTTGAAATCGTACTTCCTACATTCACCCAACCTTTAGTGTCATCTATGACGTTGAAATAGAACGATCAAGCCGATAAGTTGGTAATATTAGCGTAATTAAAGCATCATTCCTAAATAACAAGTAAGTCCACCAAGATGCAATGCAGTTTATTTAGAATAACAGGAATTACAACTCTATACTTTAGAAAAATGCAAGACATAGATCTCACTAATGCATTTGCCGTGTTCGGTCATAATTTTTGCTCGCATGCCTGCCAAATAAGTATATTGAACTATTTTCTAACATAATTCTCCTGCTATGGAAAAAATGATTTTGCATAGGTGAACATTGCTTAATTTATATACTGACAATCATGAGTATATGCATACCTAGATATTAGGAGCAGAATACATAAATATACCAAATTTTATATATTTAATTAAGCATCATAACCAAGTAAGTACTCCAGTATTTAGACGAAATTTTTTTTTACTCAATATTACCAACTATAATGATGAATTGCACAAGCTATCTTTTTTTTACCTCAATTTACTAGAAGCAGTAACTTTACTTGGTAAGCGTGCTAGCAGAGGCATTACCTTGCGCATGTCGTATAGTGGACATTGCAAAAGAGTAAAGTTAAGCTTACAATTTTATATAATCAAATGTAATGTGTATGTATTTAGCAAGGCTAGCATCTAATATGTGCAATCCCCTTCATGTTGTATTTGAGTATATGTATGTCCAGATATAAATAAGCACATTTAAATCAGCCAGGAAGTAGTACGACAATACATTTTGGCACGGGCGGAATTACAAAAGTATGTAAGTAGCATGTACATACAAATAGTTGCCCTTCTGTAGTAGTTGTACTTCTATAAGTAGTTGCTGTAAAACTGAAAATATTAATATCTAATCACTTACTTTGTAATATTATTAAGTATACATTTGAGCTTTATCATATAATCTTGAGACAATTTTTTCTTGCGGAAATCATACATATTATTATTTTTATCCAGAACAACCTCAAATTTACAAAAAATAGCACCTTCAGAGCATACAAATGTATCGGTAGTATACATACATTTCAAACGGAAATTACTAACGACATTGTATAATACGCAATCAGACCAAATAACGTAATGGGTGTGCTCTTTTTAATACAAAAATATGACCCCGCCATAATCTTGAGGTGTCTGCAACTCCTCAACTGCCTTTTTCTGTAGCTTACATAGCCCACATGCAATTGCAAAGTCCGAATAAAATCAGTCGACTTTTTCATCACATCAGCCATTAAGGAAAACCCTATCTGAATAAACCCCAAAGTTGAGGCAGTTGAGGTTATCTCAAGAAATACCAGCGTGAACGGTATCCCTCCCGTCATTTTTATCACCATAAATCCCATCATCACAGCACACAACGTTAACATTAAAGAAACAACGGGCAATATGTACCGCACAAGATGATTCGTGACCTGATCTATTATCTGAAGCTGACGATAAATCTTTATACTGACAACGTATTCGCAAATATTTCGAAAATTAGATCGCTTATGGTTAATTGAAATTTGTCTGTCCAATGTCCTCAAGATCAAAAGGATTAGAATAACGCTGATAATTCCAAGCCCAAAGATGACTATGCAGGCGTGCAGTATGGACGAGCAGAAGATCACAACCCTCAAAAATAATTTCATTCTGCTAGAAATTGTAGTAACGTTACGAAACAAAAAGTAGCTCGGGTCCAATTTTGGACGCAGAATCATAACTACAGATCCACCCAAAGGCAACGAAACAATAAAGGTGATGAGACAATGAAGGAAAAAACCAGTAAGATCAGACGATTCGCTAAAATTTCCTGAAAAAATTCGCAAAATTTTATGTATTTGAAACTTTTAAAAGTCAATTGGTTGTAATATGTACCTTTCATTGTCAACATACTGCGAATTACGAAGCAAAGTTCATCAACATTAAAATGATACGTGGCTCCAATTGTTGTGGAAAGTGTGTAGCAAGTGCAAAATAAGAGGAGGAGGAGATGCGTCGTGGCACCAATCTCGGGATCTTTTTGGTGCGAAAGTATTTGTTGGAAAAGCATGAAGAAGTAGCTGGTTTCCACGATGGCGCAAAGAACGGAGAGAACGTACCACGGGATCAGTTTTGATCTTGGCTCAGTTTTTGAAAGTTAGTGGTTGAGGGTATAACGATTCACTTAATTTTGCGTAACGTTGCAATGCCTTGAATGGAGTGAGGGTTTGTAACGCATCAATTATTATTTGTTGTCGTTTTGGCATATTCGACATTTTGGATGGTTCCTCCTTGGTACAAGTATTCCATGTCTGAAGTGAAGTAGTAGCGAGTAGTTGTTGAATTAACATGTTTGATAAATTTTATTACGTTTGATTAATTTAGTTTGATCCCAAGTTAAAATTTCAGGGTAAAGGTATACCCAAATTTGTTAGTTTGTGGATAGGACAGAGGTACTTTAGTGCGTTCGAAGGTTAAGTAGACTGTGGTCACTAAAGTCAAGACTCTAACCAAACTTCTAAATTCTGTACTACCGCTGAATAAAATATATTTGGGTGCAGTATGTAAATATGATTATATAGGTGCCATGATATAGCAATTTTCGTAAAACAGCACTTTTCCAAAGTATGTGAGACAATTGGAGGAATGTTTTCACCGGATACACACATACGTACTTATTTTACTGTAAAAAATTTATGAATTGGTATTGACAAAATATGGACAAAATAGATAGTTTACATTTTTTGTTAAACTTTAAAAAACGTGTTTAACTTAAGTAAACAAAATAAGTAGATAAAATATACGGCTTTTAGGTTCCCATAACTGGTGGAACCTTGACAGACAAATTTTGCAGTGGATAATTTTATACTATTAAGCCGCCATTTTACAAAATGGTATAACAATTTAGGCTAGCAATTGTATGCCAGGCAACACTAAATAATCATTCATGCAGTGGAAATCGAACTAATCGAAGATTTAAACTGATCTGATACATAAATACGAAACGCAGTTCGGCCTCAATTACCAACTTTTTTATTGACGAATAAATTGCCGGTCAATAGATACCTTAATTTATTGTAAATAAGTAAGCAATTTCGCAGGATAGATTCTGTTATTGCATTTTTGCCAACTATGTGTAATATGCGTTCAAATTTAATATTGTTCAAGTTTTGTTTTATTTATTTATTTTAAGACAAATTATGTACAAATCTATTAAAAATTCTGAATTTAATTGCATAGTATTTACGATCTCCGCACTTTCTAAAATTTGTATCTTACTGAACGTACATAGATATTTAACCCTTTAACGTGTATGATTGACGACAAGAAAATGCATTAAATCGGGGACACTATAAGTATGTTGTGGTCATGGCGCGGGAGGAGAAATTCAGGAGTTTTTAATAAAGCTCGAAAAACTGAAAAATCAAAAATTTAACATTGCGTTGTATAGGGAAATATCCAAATTTTTGGGAAGAAAATCTTCAAATTTAGCATTGTGTTGGCATAGGAGAAATCCCTCAAAACTGCAACAAATTTTAGGTCGCGGAGAGAAAATGGTGAAAATCAATGACCTCCTAGAAACGACAATTGTCTTCCTTCCGCGCCATGACCACGATTTTTCAGGACGACTTTTGTCGTACTCCCGAATTAAACCATTTCTTATAAAACGACAATTGTCGTCGTTACAGTTTAAAGGGTTAATAAAAATTGTAAGTTGTCCAAAGCAAAACCCAGATTTTTTAGACTTCTACAGCAGCCGGTTCTCGAATGCGATTTGACAGCGTAAAATAAATAATTTAACAACTTGTTCATCATTTATCTGGATATGGATTTGTCCATGACTTGGCTTCATGCAACTGAACCCAGTAACTCGTGAACCTTGAACTTTGTCCGCTATAAATTTTAAACTGTGTTGCTATACATATGTAAATCTGATTTTGTTTAATTGCTCAACCACAAAAATATACTTACTTTTCTACATAGTATTTATTTATGCTTTATCTCTCGTACATTTAACAACTAATCGTAACTCTTCTTATACCACATGTTTCATACAATTTTCAACGAATTCGAGCATTGTGTGGATAAATAAATTTTAACAAAAGGAGAAAAAAATGTAGAAAATGTGCAGGTCATGAACGACGTATGGTTTGATATAGCTATATTTTTCATTTAATGACGCACGACACAAAGTCTGCTCTCTTGTCAAACTTAATTTATACGACTGTTTAACACTTGGAGTTTGGTCTTGAAATCAGGATACCTTATCAAAATAAATGATCGGATGATCCATAAATGATGTTATCTAATCAACGATGGGGGAGGGATTAGCTACTTAAGGCCCCATTTGTGTCATGTGTTAAAATTTGGCATAACCCGTTAACTTGGAAATCTGAAACTTTCAAATTTTTCTGTGACATCCTTTATGTATGTATGACCACCCTACAACAATGTTACCATCTGTCAAAATTTGTTAAATGTTTGTAAAGCTATTGCGAAATACTAATTGTAACAGAACATTTTTTAAAATTAAATCTGTTCTGCATAAAAACTACAAAAATCGAATATTTGAGATCACTAGTTTCGCGTCGTTGCAATTAGCAGTTCGTTTCACAATGACTCGTTTAACCTTGTTCGGTTTGACTTTAATTGTCGTAGTGTTGAGCAATGTCGCGTTGGGACTTTTGTCGCCAAAACTCAGTTAGTTAAAAAAATTTAAAAAAATATACATAAATTTTCTGAAATATATTGCATGTTATATTTCGTATTTTATGTTTCCAGAAAAGTACTCCGTAGACCCGAAATCTGTAACTGTTTCGGGAATTTCGTCCGGCGGGGCGATGTCGTCACAGTTTCACTATATTTACTCCAATGAGGTTAAGGGGGCCGGAATTTTTGCTGCTGGTACGCTTCAAATATTAACTTCAAAGAATTTACAAAATTACAAAAATTTTCTAATAAACTTATTTTCCAGGTCCCTATTTGTGTGCTTATGAAGGGGTCGGGGCTGCCAGCGTGTGCATGATGACACCTGCCTTGGAAAACCTGCCGGCATACATCGCACAAGCTGATAAGTATTCTGCGGAGGGTAAAATTGCACCCACGTCCAATTTAGCGGCCTCCAAAGTTTACATTTTCCATGGTTCGTTGGATATCGTGGTCCAACAAGGGTCCGGCAAGAAGCTGAAGGAAATGTATGATCATTACGGAGCCGATGTTCATGCAGAATTCAGCATTGCGTCGGGTCACGGACAGGTAAATAAATATGTTAATAGTCGACGAAATCTCATTCAACAAAGTTTTCCAGAAATTTTTAAAAATTTCTGTCAATTTAACTTAAATTTTGATTTGCCCATCTTGACAGCCAGTTAACAACGGGCTTGGCGGGCCATGCGCATTGACCAACCCACTTACCAAATTTGTCAACGAATGTGGTTACAACGGTGCCTACGAGATGTTCAAGTGGCTCTATGGTGACAGCATTGTCGCACCGGCGCCAGGATACAGAGCTGATGGTGAACTAGTGACATTTGACCAGTCCGAATTTTTCCCATTGCTCCAACCAAATTCCATGGCCAGCAAGGGATTCATGTACGTCCCAAAAAGATGTAAGGATGGTTCCAAGGTGTGCCGATTCCACATTGCCTTTCACGGCTGCATGGCTAACGAGTAAGTTTGATTATAGTAATTAAGAAGTGTAAAATTTCGGAAATTTTAAAACATTATAAATCATGCAGGCAAACTATCGGTCGAGATTATGCTACAAAATCGCAATACGACGACGTGGCAGAGTTGAACGATATCGTAGTGTTGTACCCCCAAACGACCGTCAGTTTCATTAGCCCGTCAGCATGCTGGGTAAATAAATGTTAAATTGTGCTTGAAATTTGTATGTTGAATTCTTATATAATCTTGAAATTTAGGACTGGTTCGGTTACACTGGAAAGGAAACTTTTGGTGAGGGAATAATTTGACAAAATTATAGTTTTCTTGGGGTTTACATAGATACAATTAAAAGTGTTATCATTCATATTTATGTATGCAGCCACCAAGTCTGGTGCACAACCGGGCGGTGTGTACAAGATGATGAAGCGTGTGATAACCGGAGCCTAAAAACTTGATGATTGTATGCAAAAGTGGTAAATTAAATACACAGATACACAGACTTGATAAAAAATGTTTGTTGAGTTACATCGACTGAAATATTTTGACAAAATTACTACCATTCGAAATAATAAATCAATCAGTGAATGATCATTTATTCGTTTATGATTTAAATATATATATTAAATTAAACTGGTGGCTTCTCTGAAGCTTTAAACTGAACAAGAACCAGAACATAGGTTGACAGAAATCCAAGAACCTGCAAATGTAAAATTATAATTTATTACAAATTTTACATATTTACCACATATTTTTGGACTACTGACCGATATAAAATAATTCTTGTTAAGAACAAAATAGTTTCCAGGATTGATAAACAACTCTGTTTTCGTAATGTGAAGAAATCCTTGAAGCTAAATATCAACATTACAGTTACAAATTTGATGCTTCAGTCAACAATTAGAAGTAATTGCACACCTTTAGCTGCAGTTTCGGGGCAAAAGTGCGAATTCCATTTTCAACAAAAAGTTTCAACACCTTTGTTCTCTAAAAATAAACATGAACACTGTAACACTGTACAAAGCAGAAATAATTCGATTAATAATCCCAAAATTTATGTAAATACGTACCTGTTCACCCAAATGTGACGACGCCATCGGCAACAGGGCCAAAGTCAGTGTCGAATGCCACATAAATATTAGTGCAACCGTCCAATTAACATAATTTGTATACGTTTCAGATGTCACAGTACTTATGAAAATGAACATGTCCATCACGCAAACAATCGATTTTGAGAGCATTATTAGAATCATTTGTTTGCTAAACACTTGACCAAACTGTTCAATTATTTCAGAGAAATTGGTAAATTCCGAGAGAAAAGTGGTGAAATAAGTTTCCATTTCTCGACGATTTTCATTTTTCAGAGGCTTGCATTTTACAAAAACTTCCAACACGTGAAACCCAATTTCTATCACGAGAATCATAGCGCACAACCAAATGGTGTAGAACCCTTCAGAAATTCCGATCAGGTTTTTAATCAGGAAAAATATGACGAATAACCCTTTTTTGAAAGGTGTGTCGACATCCCGGTAATTTTTTGGGGTGGAAATCAGCCCATAAATCTGTGTCACGCTAGAATGCGTGTGGCACACAAGCATTGAAATTATAGAAGCGATCATAAGAATTTTCAATTTCTTGCTAATTTTTTCCGTAAATTTGGACACGGTTGGGTTTGCACTTTCCGATTTTAGCACGATTTCCAACCTTATCAACGAGTTGGACAGATTTGCGTGAAATTTCAAAGTTTTCTTGATCTGGACGAAAACCAAGATTCGCACGCAACATCGAGAAATTGCGACTGCAGTTTTGACAAAGGCTTCCGAAGCGGTGTGGGTGTTACTGCTGTTGTCAGATTTCGGAGACCGGGCAGAGTGGAAAATAACGGAGAGGTTGAATAAATTTGGTACGATTAGGTAAAACAGGGCGAGGCTGAGGTTGACGAAAAATAAGATACCAGGGTAACTTTTGTAAGAAAATGAGGAGATTAAGGCGCTTTGGTCAAAGTGTAATTTGTACGGAATATATCCAAAAATTTGGGCAGCAAAGGTGAGCGTTTTTGTAATGTGGGAAAATTGTTGGGTTAAACTGTTTGGATTTGAAATTGTGTCTGAGGTCGTCACCGGTGGGTAGTAGATTAGGGATAAGTGTTTACTTGACGGGGTAAAAATCTTGAGATTTTTGTTGTTAGTACGGTCCATGGCGAAATTGTTCTTTAAGATTAGTTGGCAAAAAAATTGTCACCGAATGTATCCACCACCATTTTCCAGGAAAGTCGAGTAACAATGATTTCGTAAGGGACTGTTATGTACCAAAGTGGTAAGGTTTTACTGTGGAAAATATTTTTACAGTTCACTACAACTTGGTAATAGAGCTTGATGGAGATTGCACTAGGTAACAGAGTTTACTGGGGTCATAAGTTTTAGGTACAGGCATATATTTAATACCACTTGAATTCAAGCGAAACGTGTACGACTGGTGACAGGTGGAGGATATTTATTTAGGATATTTTCTAGAATAAAAAGAAGTATTTGTTCCATTAAGTTGTAAAAGGTCAGCTATTATTATCAAAATACATGTCATCCATGCTCAATTATGATAATGGTGTTTTTCTCGAGGAATGTGTAGTAGCAATTGTTTAATGCTATTAGATTTTTTGTAACAAATAAACTGCCTGAAACAAAATCCTGTCATGCTGAAATTTGTAACAATATTATTACCGTCGTGTAAATAAATAAAAGCTATAATTTGAAAGTGTAAAGTCAAATATTTATAAATATTTGCACTTTAATAATTATCAGTAAGAGGACATATTGTGTTTCTACATACACTGTGTGCATCAAAAACTGGTCTGACCATTGGTTTTATGTAGAGGTGGCTGGATCTAAAATGTACTTGAGCTCTATTTGTCCGTCCATCTTAAATCACGATTGGTGGCAAATGATGCATTTATGATATCGATGATTTTGTTGTATATTCATTTCCATGCAGAATTTTAGGACTTTGCTTACGACTCTTAACCTAACGATTAAACCTTTTTACGTATCTTTGCTTTCTATTAATGAGTTATTTATTTTCATCGAATGAAACATTCCATGGGACATAGACCAAATGAGTGTATCGAGGAATAAATATACACCTTAGTCATTAGTAACAAAAATAAAATACAAACTGTTTGCATGTGATTCAAACTGTGGAAAGAATTTATTTAATAATAATAAATAAATACGATGTTTTACAACAAAAATTTGTCAAAAATTTTAAAAATGAGCAAAAGTTATGCTTTCGAATTTCAAATAGGTACATTCACTACTGCATGATTTTTAACGATATGAAACCTTAGCATTTGTTGAAATCAACGGAAACAAAATTATCCGGATTAAACCCAAGGGAAAGCAAATGTTGCGAGATTGCGTATGTTTCGATCTCTGTAAGACATTTATTCGGTGAGCTGACCAACCAAGTGCCGGCCCCATCGTCAAAACAAGCCACACCCAAGTTGAAAGATAAATTGTTGGAGAGTGAAAGGACCGAGACGCCACCAACGTCTGCAAAAAACAATCATTTCAGGGGCACGCTGATACAAAAATCACAAGATTTATTACTAAACTGTGACCAAACTTGGTAAACCAAACTCTGTATAGAATTATCGCTAGCTATAATTCGTCGCTAATTTACTGCAAATTTAAATTTCGCGGTAAGTATGCACATTAGTCTTAACTGTATTTCGTGCCAAACCACAAAGGAGTTTCACCTGATCGACAGAGTAAATGCATAGTTCCTTAAAACATTGCTAACCACATTTTTGTAAACTTACCCCCACGTTCGAACATCTTATCGAACCGTAGAAATCCAGGGAATCCGAGTGGATAAACAAACTGATCCAGCGTCAGATTTCCGTACCCTGTAACAGTATGTTGTGACCCTCCGTTTAATGGATATTGGGTCAGGGTGAAGCATCCGTGGTCCAGATCGTCCTGGGTCAGAGGTGGAACAGCAACGGAGTGGAAAAGATGTTGCGTCAGTCGGGTCAAATGCTCTTTACTCATCATGACGAAGTACAGTTCGGGGTAAGTAGACGTCTGAAAGAATTTGGTGAAAGTTGCTAAATTGAATGCAATCTGTGACGAATTTGTAGTCCTTTTTTAATCAAATTATAATCATTTATGTGTCTCAATATTGATATAAATACGTACCCAGGCAGGGTTAAAGTTTGCCGCTATAAATGGTGGAGTTTTGCAAGTTTCCTTCACATTTCCAAACCCATACGGATCTGTGCCTGGCTCCCCTTGGCTGAAACCAGCGTCACTTTTGGATAAGATTCCACAAAGGAGGAAAATGCAGAACAAATTTCTGACAGAAATCATTTCGCTTAATTTTAAAAGTTTGGTAAAAATTGGTAAAATTTGAGAGACAATTAAAATCAAAGTCAGGCAAGAAGTCGGGATTCTTATAGACTGAGGTATGAAATTTTCTGGCTTAAGGTGGTAAAAGAATGTACCCCTTGAATCATAAATAGACCAGACTGGGTTTAATAAAAGTGGGATAATCCGTATTGGAATGTATGCCTATTTTTTACTATTGGATTTGACAAAATAACTGAACCTTTTACAGAAAGGGGAAGGTTCCATTTAAAAGAGGAGGATAAAATGGGCTTTATTTCACACAAGAAGGGATGCATTTAAGACACTGAAAGTCAACTTCGAGTCGTCGCCGACGAAGTATTTATATTTAATCCGCTAATTTATTTTCTTATGAAAACCAAATAACGTAGTGGCTATTTATAAGTCCACGTGCTCAGTGACATATAGTTTTAAGAAAACAAGTCTTATTAATAACTAAACACATGTACCTATGTAAATTTTTCAATGCGCTGCTAATAAATACCAATGCACTCATGTTGCCATTTATATATTCACAAGATTTTTAATAAGGTCAAAACATACATCCGGAATTCTGCTCATTTCAACTTACACCTCGTACCTAGGCAGTCAGTCCAGCCTGATTTTATATTTTAAACAAAATCGTAAACATTTATTTTGAAAAATAAAATAAATAGAAATACAGAACTGAAAAATATGTGCCGATCAAGTAATACTCAGCAACTTCAAGATAACGAGGTAAGCAAATTACATAATTCATTTCGAGAAGGTAGAGTAGCTAAGCGCATACATATCTACACGATTGCCATAAAATGCGACTCTTTTTGGTTATTATCTAGATTTATAAAATAAATAATGATTACGTTCATAATCCCCCAGATTGCCACGACAGACGCTCAGCAGCTTGCAGAAGAAGTAATTAATCAACTAAATGACGAATACCAACGACTAATGGAAATGACGATCCGGCAAACAAAACGAGTTTACAAATTGTCTCACATTTCCCGGACAATAATCCAGAGCCAGCTATCCAACCCTGAAACAAGTCCGTTGAAAAAGGGTAATTTCTAATTTTATGATTCTTGAAAAGTTTGTTATCTTTTTCGAAGCATTTAACACGCGACCACGCTGAAGATTCGTATGCACTCAAACTCCGCGGAGTTTGAGTGCATTTTTATGCTCTCCTACCCCCATTGGACAATTATAGACCTTCAAATAATTAATTCGCAGTTTTAACCTCCGTGGGACATAGTGCAGGGCGGAGTTTGAGTGCATAAGAATCTTCAGCGTGCACGCGACTGGAAAGTTTGATTAAAGAGATTGTGTCATAATTTTTTTTAGCTGCACTCCTCGAAGAGATTTAAACCTTAAAGAATAGAATCAGTTGCACAAGGACAATTTTACTTGGACTGATCAGTCCTCCGGAGGTGGCAGCGTTTGAAGAAGAGCTCAAAAATGCAAATCAGGATCAGAAATAAGCGCATGTAGTACTTACTCAGAATTACTTCACCAAAAATTTGATTCCCGCTTCGTATCCCTACCATACTAATAGTATGGGAAGGATACCAGCGCGGGATGGAAAAGAAAAACTGAGTTGATATTATGAAAAAGCCGTTTCACATACCACGCCCTTGTCTTCGCTCAATCTGACCCTTCGACCGTGACGTATCATAAAATACATATTCATATTTCATTATTAAATTTCTCTGCGAATTTGGGGACGTGTTCAAACATTTTTTATGTGGAGGGCACCTGTTGGCTTTTCAGGTATATGTAACTAATGTTGTTGGAGTTCGGTGGTGAGATTTGGAAAAAATGTGGAGAAAGTGACTTTCCCCATGAAATTAGATTGAGTATGATGAAATAAATTATGTCTTAGACTGAACCGGTTGTTGGTGTATGTATTTATGACGTAGCGTGCATACATTTCCAAAATTGTTTGTTCATTCTTAAGGGATGAATTAGGTATTAATCATTATTACTTAAATGTACATTCATACACACCAGTATACATTAGCTATCTATGTATGTTCATCCCACAATCCTCATCTGAGTTTATTGAGTGAGTTAAAAATATGCATAAGTAAGCAAATAATTTAAATTGCAACCTGGAAGTCTAATGCCCAACAATTTATCTTAAGTGGATACGTATATTTGAGTTTTGTTAGTAAAATACAGCGTTTGCAATAATTAGTCGGATATTTTTTGTAAAAAAAATAATGCATTTTAACCTTATTTATTTAATTATTTGGCAAGAACATGTTAGGCTTTAAATTTTAAGATAAAATTGAGAACTCGGCGGTTAAGAACTTACATTAATGCAAAATGTGATTTTTAGTGTTTTTTAATTTAAAAAGGTCTAAAGCTCGGTCTAAGTTATTAGCCATCAATATGCCTGACTTTTGCAATTTTGGTTCCCATTTCGGTTTGGTTTCCGATGCTGGGTGGTGTATTTATTGTAGGATTTTAGATCCTGTTGATCCCCACACTTGGAATTGTCCATTACCACGATATTATCCATATTAAACCCCAAGGATGCCACATGCTGGCTGATGGCGTAAATATCCTCCTCCGAAATTGACCAGTTTGGCGAGTTAACTATCCAAGCTCCAACTCCATCATCGTGACAAACAACTCCTAAAGTGAACGACACGCCGTTGGAGAGGGACAGCGACACAAGATTGGCAACGTCTAAAAAAACTCAACCTTAAAAATTCAGTTTTAAAAAAACTAAAGTGTTCACCTACTTGTCGGAAACATTGGATCGGAGCGAAAAAGACCAGGAAATCCAGTCAAGGCGACAAACAAATCCAGAGATAAGTCACCAAACCCGGTGACAGTGTGTAGAGTACCGTTGGGCGCAATTGTGTGAGTCATACTGAAGCAGGCGTACTTCAAATCCTCGAGGGGGATGGGGTCCACTTGGATGGAGTGATGCAGATTTTGCGTCAACCTGGTCAACTGCTCCTTGCTCATCATGACGAAATGAAACTCGGGGAAATCGGATTCCTAAAAGTACAGTAGAATTTTTTGTGCGTGTCACCTCATTTGCCTAAATTCGACTCTCCCCACTTTCGGTAAAATTGGATTTCCATGTTGAATTAACTCTTGCGAATGCGTCAAAAATATACAAATGAGGTGATTAGCACAAAAAATCCACCGCATTGTAAAATGTATTGAAACAATTCATATACTCCGAGATCTATTTATTTAAACTAAGAATGAGCAATAAATTATGCACGGAGTGAGATGAAAAGTCAATGTAAATTTGTCTTGCCCATGTCGGATTGAAACTTTTTGTGGCAAAAATTGATTTGCAAGTTTCAGAGACGTCTCCAAATCCATATGGGTCGGTGCCAGGCCCAGTGCCGAATCCAGCTTCAGTTACAGGAAGAATAGCCATAAGGATAAGGTAGCTCACGGCCAAAATGTTTCTGAAAGTAAAGTTCATTTTAAAATTGTTAGCGAAAATAGTGACAAGTGTGTATCTGACTTGAGCTAATTAAGGCAGAAATGATTCTTCGCCGCGGTTTATATACCCGCAGAAATTGGCACGGTCCGTTGTAAAGTAGACTATTCAGCCAAAACCGAAATAAAGTGCAGGTTAGGCTAGGTTAGGTAATAACATGATTAAATAAAACCTTATTCATGAAGTTTTTATTTGTTTGTTTATGAAATACTTCTCTTTATTATACATTATTGTATGTATGTACCTTGCCAACAAAACCCAAAATAAGCATTTTGTTACTTATTTTGCACCTGAGGCCTGAATATACCTAGTTTACATATGAGGTAGATTTGTGTTTACATTATTTATTTTACTAGGTGATATGTGGGTAATAAACTGGATAAAATAAAATAGATTAATTGTAGTAAAAGTAGAATTCTCAAAAAACATTGTTGTATTAATGTAGATAGGTACGCATATCGAGCACGTTGCATATTCAGTGGAAAATTTGCAGCATCTACATATTTATGTACATGTGCATACAGCTTCCTCTATTTAATGTACGTAGGTGTTTTATTATTGATTTTCAAAAGGTATGTTCCGCATAGTTTCTGGCCAGAATTTTGATGAAATAACAAACTTCGGATACATTTAGGATCCTGTGATTTTTTTCAGATCTTTAGGTTAACATTAACACTAGCAATCAATCATCAAACTTTACCTCGACGGAAAAAATGTCAGATTTGCAAATTAAATATCGTAGTGTAATTTAATTTTTAACGCTGGAGGGGTAATCGGTGTCGCAGATTTATGATCGTATGCTTAAAATTTACAATGAAAACTGCTAAACACAAAACACAAATTCAATTGGGTCAATAATTTCAAATGATGGCGAAAAGAGGTCTCGGACAAAAAGCCGCTAGGACGCCCAAAATCTGTTTCTCCCACAGAAAGGCTCCGGAAACTAGAGGAACAAATAATGAGAGATCCGCGATTGAAACTGTCCTATTTAGCAGATGAGATGGGTGTTCCAAAACCAACAATTTGTTCCATGTTAACTGAAGTCTTCGGTATGAAAATGGCTTCCTCCCGTTGGGTACCAAAATTGCTTTCGGCATCTCAAAAACAGGATCGAATCGACTTTTGGAATGAAAGTTTTGCCCTTTCAAATGAAACCTGGAACCTGATTCATATTTTAATAGTTGGATATGATACTTGGGTTTACTATTATGACCCGGAGACCAAATAATAATTCATACAATGGAAGCACGGGGGGTCGCCCCAGCCCATGAAAGCAAAAGTGCAAAAACCTGCCAAAAAATTGATGATTCCCATTTTCAAGGATATCAAAGGTCCCCTCCTTATAACATTTATTGGTAAAAATACTATGATAAATGGGGCAGCCTATGCAGGAATCTCGAAGGAGTTGTGTGCTCTGGTTGAAGAAAAACGTGGGGTCAAAAAAAAGAGTTGGTGCATTTTTAGCACGCCAAAGCCCCACCTCATACCTGGCATTTTGCGAGGGCTGCTGCAGACGGAAATCGCTTCACCTAGATAAACCACCTCCTGTACAGTCCAGACATGACCCCTGGTGATTATTATTCGTTTCGAAACTTAAAGAAAGACATCAGGGGGAAACGGTTTTCTGATGATAATAAAATCAAGTCGTAAATTTTGGCATATTTTCGAGGTAAATTTTGATGAGCTATTGCTAGTGATAATGTTAACCTATAGAACTGAAAAAAATCACAGCATCCTACATGTATTTGAAGTTTGTTATTTCATCAAAAGTTTGGTCAGAAACAGTGCGGAACATACCTTTTGAAAATCAATAATAAAACACCCACGTACATATGATCTGTTGCTGCAGTTTCTTTGCTATTTAATATTGGGCGTACTCACGACAACGTCTTATTTCGCATCGCAACTCATTTAGCATACTTGCGAAGATAAAAATATTTCTGTCGTGAGGGGATTCGCAAAATATACTTCGCAAATCTCTCAAATCTACTGAAAACATCTATTTCGGTTTTGTATCCACGGATTTCTTTAATTTCTCTAGCTGGCGATGGTGAGGATGATTTTGCGAAATATTTTTGCGAAATAAGAAAATGCCCAATTGCTTGGTAAATTTGTCCCATAGTTTTCTAGCAAAATTTTTTCGAAATCTCTTATATCTCGCAAAACTTCGCAAGTTACAGATATGTTGCTATGCTCAATTTGCGACATATATGCGAGATATGCAAGGTAAGGTTGGCGTGAGTACGCTCAATGTAATGAAAATTCCAACGTTGCAGGAAAATACAATGATTATAAAATAGGCAATAAATTTCTACACCAGTTACTTCTGCTTCGGTCCTATTTCCCTGAATAACACATGAATTTTGTTAGCCTAGGATTGCATATAGTATGCAGCTTCCATTTAGGTATGCATCGTGGTTTTCGCTGATTTAAATAATAAAATAGGATTCCTGATTGACACGAACTGCGAATTTTTGGGGCATATATTAATTGAAAAATTTGATACCGATTTTGGTTCAGTGCAACCTGTCAGAGTTTGTTGATTACAGGTTGTGACAATTTTCCGAGAAAGATTTTAAAAATGCATTACTACTGCACCCTTCTCCGTTTTCTTTTGCTAATAAGTTCCATTCTACTGGTGACGATCCTTCACTTGACCTCAGCTGGGTACAGCTCAGGACCTGGAACCGATCCATACGGATTTGGAAATGTCGCCGAAATTTGCAATTCGCCAATTTCTGTGACACAGTATTTCAGCCCGACATGGGTACATGCATAAATTAACACAAATTATGTTAATATTCAGAATAACTCAAACGGATAATAATTAATATAATTTCATTGCATTTATTTACAGACGATTGATCATCCCGAACTTCACTATGTCATGATCAGCAAGGAGCAGTTGACCCGGTTGACACAAAATCTGCACCACTCCGTCATCGTGGACCCCATCCGAACGGAGGATATCAGGAAGGCGTGCTTCACGAGTACTCAAGTCGCATCAACGAACGGTGCCAATCACACAGTGACTGGTTTTGGAAGCTTATCTTTGAATTTGTTTGTCGCCATGTCCGGATATCCAAGGGTTTTTCATTCTGATCCAATGTTCCCGTTAAGTATGTACACATACAGTGGCGGCGGAATTGGGGGGGGCGGGGGGCATGTGGGGACATTAACATTGTGGGATTAGAGGAGGGGGGACTTATTAATACTATTTTGCTGAATTTCTGCGAAAAAGTCTTCCTGCCTCCGCCGCCACTGATTCGCAGTAAATTTTTACTTATGATGCACATACTTTTATGACTTATGTTTCAGGCGTTCCCAATTTGGCGTCGATGTCCTTCTCGAACAGGGAAACGTTCGTCGTAACCTTGATTTGTCACGACGACGGTGTCGCAGGGTGGGTCGTTAACTCACCAAACTGGTCAATTTCAGACGAGGACATTTACGCTGTCAGCCAGCATCTACTCTCCTTGGGGTTCAACATGGATCATGCAGTAATATTGGACAACTCGAATTGTGGGGAAAATAGCATGAACAGCGATGTCGTCACACCAATGAAACCGCACAGAAAAGGAAATAAGCACCGCAAAGGCCTTCTCCACTTGTAATCATGCAGAGGACAATATGTTTTATCTTTATTTCAACTAAATCACAAGTTCCAGATTTTAAAATGACTCAACCAAGTTTCAAATTGGATAAAAAATTGTTTGGGCTGTTTGGAAGGAAACAAGTTATTAAAAATTAATCATGGATTTCATATGTTGCTTTCATCAATGTTTTTACATTCGTACATATTTATTTAATATAATGTTCTAAACATTATATTACAATATTAAAGGATACATAAGTACATATGTCCCGAAACAATAAAGCCAATTAATCCCCCTAACCTCGCGTGAAAAATGTCGGCCATTCATCCCAAATTTCTTGAGACATTAAAATGTACAGGTTAAATAAAATCTGAATGCAAATATCTAATGGTGATTTTAATAAGGCTTTAGTTTTACGAATTTTGGAAATGGTACGGGTCTATTGAAGTTATCCACCAAGATTGATAACCGGTTCCAGAACTTGTAACTGGTCCGGTTTTGTTTTAAAAGCTAGCAAACTAAAATATCTAACAGTAAGTTACAACAATTACGAGATTTTGTAAGCGTCGTAAGATTTTATCATTAAAAGTCACGTTACGATTTTTACGAAGCTTGATCCCTTCTTTCTTCTTCGTAAACTACATATTTTACGATGCTGAGGATACGAAGACAATCGTAAATAAGCACATTATATAGTATTATTAATACTGCATTTCGGCTGAAATTTACTCAACAGTTCAGGTTAAAAAAAATACTTGTGATACATAAGCATATAGACTAGATTGCTTTAAATGAGACTATATAATGTATTGTCGTTCATCTTACATAATTTCACATTTAATTTAATAAGTATCGATGGTCTCGCATAAGCCACGTCTGACAATATCATCAAAGGCCTCCTGGACACTCTCCTTCTCCACCGCAGAAGTCATAAAGTGGTAGATTATCCTTGACGCTGACTTATTCTTTGCTTCAAATTGAGAAAAGATGTAATCCGCTGCTTCTGCATATTCATGCCGACCTATAAATTTTCACAACTTGTAACAGAATATTAAATCCATACAGCGTTACTAAAAGTAGAAAGCTTTGACATAAATACGAATGTACCATTTCATACCTCGATATTCTGGAAAGCAAACGGTGAGAGGATACTTTTCAATTTTTAGTTTGAATATATCCGACTTGTTGAGAAGCAAAATTACTGGCATACCGAAGAACCATTTGTTGTTACAAACGGTGTCGAACAAATGGATGCTGTCCTCCATTCGATTGGAACGATCGTCTTCGAATAAAACCTTAATTTTGATACTTTTATGAAATTTTGGCATGTATAATTTCAATTAAATGTTTAGTCCAAGGTAAGAGCCAAACTGTCTCAAGTCTTTGAATATTGACTCGATAGGATATGTATCCCATCAAAAATGCATATTTATAAATAGAATTAAAAATAATTTACCTGATTGTACCCCGACATTGCAACACAAAATATGATGGTTGTCACACTGTCAAAAACGTACGTCCATTGTTTTCTGTTTCCACATTACCAACATCAAAAATCGTAAAGTTCAAGTTCTTAAGGGCAAAGTTGATTTCATTAACTCCATAAGTTGAGGTATAGGTGCGCACAAAATCTTGTTCTGTGGGCTGATAATTTTGCATCCCGATTCGGTCCAAGTTGTCCAAAAAGCTAAAAGTTATAAACAATTATAAACGTCTTTTTCTATTTTTCTATTGTCAGATTTCCATTTTACTATTTAGCTGAATCCCTAATTTGGTACTCATTCGATCGTCCGAAGCATTCCTGTACCCCACCATCGCCCCACAGTCTTTTCATTGCCATAAGCAATTCTTCTGAAAATGGCTCCATATCTTCCCACCGATGGATAACATCAAACACAATTTTCTCATCGTCCTGGCAAACAATGAATTTTTCATGTATGTACAAATATAACAAATATTCAGAAATAAAAAATTTTGTAAAATTAAACTAAAAAAATTTCACCAACTTTTCTATCAGTATTTCGAAAACTGATTTGAAGACGGGACATGGCTTCCAAAATTGCCACGAGGGATTGTATTGTATTTGAATAGATTATAGAACGATAACTTTTAAACTCTTCTTCGGTGAATCCGCTCCCATATATTATTCTTTTGTCATACATACGTACATACATACAATTATATAAGTATTAAGATTTATTAATAAAGAATAATTTTGATATCAAGGTGTATATTTACGTATTTATCTTATACTTACTTCAGCTGCTTCATTACCGTGCTTTTCCCTGAATCACTGGAACCTGGACAGCATAGTGAACCATGTGCAATCAATTTTCAATGGCAATTTATGTATTGTAACTTCATTAGTCAGTATTTTATTCATATTTTATAATATTCAGTTGAGGACTACGAATTGAAATGTGAAACAAATTCTAGTTGGATTTCGTATGTATGCACATTTAAAACACGAAATATGGAGTAAATAAAATCTATAAGTGACAATTTTTTTAAGACAAAGCTTTTAGTAAAATTCAAGGATAACATTTATGAAGTATGTATATACTCTTGTTCTGCTCAAGTTTTGAAGAATCAATTGTGCTCTTTCTTCCTTAGAATAGTAATTATTTGTACATCTGCCTGAAATACAAACAAATAGGAGAAGATATGTACTTACCGAGAAGAAGGAGATAAAAGTGACGGCGTGCCCGTAAAGCTTCTTCCGCCAAATACTTATCGATTTGCTTTGACCGCGATAAGGCGGCCTTCTCCGCAGGTGACATTGTACAACCCATATTGGTTAGAATTACGTAACACGGACTATAAATTTGTGGCCAGTATAAAAAAATATGATCACATGGAATTCTCGGTATACGTAATCGGACGGGATCTGTCAAATGTGGATATAAGCGAAACGAAAATTAAACTACATATGGAGGAAATTCGGGCTGGAAGATAAGTATACACATCTTCCCGGATTCGGGTTTCTGATCGATTTGGCGAAGAACTTTTACTACGTAGTAATTTCACTACGTTCACAATTTAGCTTTCATATGCACATGATGCGAGATTGCAGTTGAGATAAATATGTATAGACAAGAGAAAACGTATTTAAATAATTGTACACATATTTATACATGCACTTAAGTATATGTGCGCATGATGATAAGAATATTTAAACGGTTCACTGTTGTCATTTATAGAGAATTCTGGTAATAATAGTATTTGCTTATGTAAAGCTTTCTTTACATTCATTCTGGGTGGGCTTTCGTCGGAATGAAATGGATCACACCTTACGCAAGCACATGTTTACGGCTATCAATTTCCATACGTGCCAATACTTTTAATAATTCGTCAATCAATCAATATCCAATGTGCATCATCTCGATGACGGTTGATCTGAGGATGAGTCAAGAGCTCATGTAAACCAGAACAATTTCCGCTCTCTCACCCAACAATTTTACTATTAACAATCACAACTTTACATATTTACTTTAGCATATGCATGCATACGGACGAAAAATATTTGCATATTTATATATAACCAAATTCCACTTTATCGGATATTAGATAAGATTGGGTGGGATGCACAAAATAGGGATCGAAAATAAATTTCGCAAACTTGTGTCAGATCCATTTGTGTTGTGCAACAACTTTACTTGTATGTATATACAAAAATATGTTAATATTCTAAGTAAACTATCTGCAAAACTGTGAAATTCGTCATTAGTACATTTGTGTTCAATATTGCTGGAACAAATCTCAAACAGCTTAAAAAATAATTAGCAACATAAATATGTTTCCCGATGACAGAAATAGATGCACATTCGTATAAACCACTAGTTTCAAAGGTGGTGTTAGTACAAATTCTATTTATTTTCGGAAACATCTCCTCAGCCAACCAGGTACTTAATTACTCATCAAAATAATTAACCTAAAATTTTGATACTTACAATTCAATTACGCCAGAGGTATCGCTACGATTTTGCTGAAACCACGATAATTATGTAGCCTGTATAAACAGTTAAATAAATGTTTTAATATTTTTCATAATGCTCAGTTTAAACGAAATTATAAAGGAATCCGTAAGTGTGATTTTTCATTTCCCTAGCTCACGAGAAAAATGCAAATTCTCCCTTAATTTCGTTTAAACTGAGCATGATGAAAAATCCTAAAAAATATGTTTAGTTCTTTATGTAAGACTACATATTTGTAATTATCGTTGGTTCATCAAAATCGGAGCGAGACTGCTGAGGTCATTGCATTGCTAGTTGTAAAACATTTAAAGAACAAAATAATTTTGCATTGCAAATTGCAATCCAAAATGAAATTATGCAAATGTAGATATGTAAATGAATTTTTATTTCGGAATTTTTTCTTTTGGAAATTTCTCTACCACGAAAATTAGGTTGATATTCCATGCGGACAATTGACGAATCCACCGAGAAATACCTCCGACCAGAAAATATTTCCCCCTTGGTCCGCAATTATTAAGAAGGAGTATGACAGTACCAGGAACCAATTGAAGATTGCTGGAGTGATCGTTGCTCCAAATTTAATCATGTCATGTAATTTATTCATTAATGTGTCTTGAAAAATGGCATTGTCTTATTATAAAAGACAAAAATCCTTTATTGTTTCCAGCTGCATTTTACTTTGTTTCCAATTCAACCATAATGACCATTTCGCCGTACAAGTATTTTGAAGTGACGGTTGGAACTCATGTTTGGGTACCGGGCGTAGCTGGCGGTGAGGTCAAGAAATTCAAGGTAATTATCACTACATAATTTTATACACTTGTTCAACGTCTAGGATAAGATTTTACAAAAAGTCGTACATAAGTTTAAGTTGGCGGATATGTTTTATAAAAAAAATCAAAGAAATTTTAGTTTTGTATTTTTAAAAGTACTAAAAATAATACGAAACATGTAAAACTATCAATTTTTTGGCATTTTTAATCGAATTAGTTTTTTAGTCAAGTTTTTTTACCACAGATTTTGTCGTCTCAAGTCGTATAAATGTATTTGGAAAATTTCTATGAATACTTAGACTTGAAAAACTAGCCTAACTAACTAACTATTTATATATTTATCTAGTTTTCGAATTTCGAGTAATAATCAAAATATTTTCAAAATATTGATATTAGGGCATGCAATACTGGGGTTGTTTTCCAAACCCGGTATTCGGTATTTTCGGTATTGGGACCTTCGGTAATACCGGTATTACCGACACCATACATATATACATGTATGTTAAATATGTATTAAGCTATGCAAAATGATCATACGAGGCAATACATAGTAAAAACTCTGCAAGGCATTAAATGCTGATGTGTAATAACATGTCACTAAAATGAACATACTTTAAATCACTAAGAAAAAAACGTTGGTCATATACCTCTCAACAAATTAAACTATGAGGTTCAAAGTTTCAGTGCTTGGCAAAGACAATCAATTTTAAGTGGGTTCAAATCAAATCAACTCAGCTACTGGTTCAAATTTTTAACTATGAATTACCTGATATGCCCACTATGTTCTATTGGCTCCTAATGTCACAACTTTTACAAATTCATCAAGTTTTCTACATACCTGAACAAATATGTACATGAGCGAAAATTTCAAAAAACTCTAGAATTCTTACATTATCGGAAAATACATTTCGTGTATATGTAACATTACTCAAAAATGCGAAAGATATTTTCTGTGAATTTAAAAATTTCTACTTGAGTCGTAAAATGGTTGTTAGTTGACTGAGTCGATTTATCAGGTTACGGTATCCGTGAAGCATTTCTGGCGTTTGTATCTTCTTAACAATAATGATTCGGCTATTTAAAATTTAGTATTTTTTTCGTACGATTTCTGCAGATACGCTGTCTTGTCGAGTCTCGTACGCGTAAAACGGTTTACCCGGATTGTGAGCTTTTTAGAAATTTTTATACACGACAATCTGCCTGAATAAACATCTTATTTAATATTATAAGTTATCGAGGTGTAAATTTCTCAAGTATTTTTTGAAAATTTTCGAAAACTTTAAAAATAATTGTTTTAGAATATTCACAAATAAAGTGAAATGTTGGGTGTGAGTTGTTGTGAAATGTTGGGTGTGAGTGATAAATTTCCCATAATTTTTATCTGCCAAAAATTTGAATTTTTTGTTTGAACCAGTGGAATTTGCTTGGCTGAAAGACAGTATCAATATGTCAAATTTTTAACTTGAATACCGGTATTGAGCTCGTCAATACCGGTATTCGGTATTCGATAATACCGGTGAATACCGGTACTCGAATACAGGTATTGCATGCCCTAATTGATATTTAAGAAAGCCTAGAAATACTGAAGGACATAATTCTCATTAACTTCTACACACAGATTTCGCACATTTCTCTCCACCCAAAATATTCCATTGGAACATTTTGGTCAAACACGCGAAATGACCAGATCCTCTTCCACCTCGCCGAACCCGTCAACATTTCTGAGCTTGTGCAACCCATTTGTCTCCCAACAAACCAACAAATTATGGACCTCATTTTAGTTCCCGGTGGAGAAAATCCACCACCCATCATTACCGGATGGACACAAAATTACCCGGACGAATTCTACCTCTATTTGGACCTCAAGTCCAAATCGGAGTGTATCAAGAGGTGGAAGGATTTAGACATACCTGATGTGTACCAGAATAGGTTTTGTGCAACAGTAAGCGAAGGTAAGCACGTAATTTAATTTTTATGGCTATGTAGTTTTCCCATTAAATTTAGCCATAGATAACATACATATGTATGCATTTTTTAGACAATAATCAAACGCAATGTGTGCGTCGCGATGTCGCAACGATGCGTCGATGGATCGATGACAAATTTTACCTCGCTGGCCAAATGAATCAACTTTTCAGTCATAACTTTACCTGCACGCCAGGATCTCTCTATTTCTTTAACATGTTTAATATGGAGACGTTCTCTTGGATTAGGGACACGATACGGTATAAAATTTTCAAAATTTTTTTATAAAATTTCCCAAAAATTTATCTATAAAAAATGTAATCAAATTGGTTTTAACTGCGCTACCGTTTCATTGAGTAATTAGAACTCAAATAAATCGCTTTTTCTCCCATTTACAGATGTGGACCATCAAATTTCACCTGCGGGACTGGAAAATGTATCCCCCTGTACAAACAATGCAATCGATATCGCGAATGTCCCGACGGTTCCGATGAGGTTATCGAATTTTGCAAATATTTATACAAATGTCTCCAAGGCGAGTTTTACTGCGGCGCGAGTGAAGACGACATCTGCATCCCGGACGAAAAGGTGAATGACGGGGTGAAAGACTGTCCCAATGGGGAGGACGAATTTGACTTGGTTCTTACACCTGGAAAAATAATGTTCGGAACGATCTTGGCTTTACTGACTTTAGTCGTTGGAGGCTACGTGCTCCAGAAGGAAATTCGCAAAGAGCGAAGGTATACCAAATTACGGGACGAAGAAGGTAAAGTTTCATTATCGTATATGAAAATTGAAACCCTGATGCATACACGTTTTTTATGGGTGTACGACAACGTTCGCATATCTCGTAGATTGAGCATAATAACACAACTTGCCAAGTTCTGAAAAATTTGCGCGATTTAGTAAAAACTACTACTGAAAACTTATAAATTGTTCCCTGCCAACTGGGTAGGTTATAATTTTGAGAAATTATTCGCAAATCAAAATGTGATCACAGAGTTGTTTTTTCTAATCTTTACGATATTATACATATTTGTCGAATTCCCTCAAAACCCAAAGTTTTTTAAGCTTCGCAAATTTACTAAATGAGTTTCGATCCTAAATAAAGTTGTCCTGAGAAAGCCCTACATATATTTCGTATTTATAGAAGCATTCAATCGCCGCCAGAGATTGGCCTCCTCTCCCTGGAAATCTGACCCCTCTCTCGTCCACATTCGTCAAATTGGAGAAGGAAGTTTCCCAACCACCGTCCACGAAGCCCATGACCTCAACCAAGCTCCCTACGCCGTAAAATGTGTCAGCATTCCACACACGTTGCAACATAATCAAGAAAATCTTCCCTCCACATCCTCCGCCCCGGTCGAGGCCGTCATCATCGCCGCGGTCAACCTGCTCCTCAACGAGATCGAAGTTCTGACCAAATTAAGCGAAATTAGCTGCGACCAGCTTGTCCGCTATTACGGATGCTGGGCAGAGCTTGAAGGTTCTGCCCAGGTCGTCAGTCGGGCAGAACTGCAGGCATACGTGGGACAAAGTGTGACCGGAGTTTTGCCCACGTTCACAACCAGCAATACGCCACTCAGCCACATTTTCATCAAGATGGAATTATGCGATTTTACCCTTCAGCGTTACCTCTATCCGGAAATAAATCAACCCGTAATTAACCAAAACCAAGATATTATTCAGATCGCGAAAAGCATAATTTCAGGATTAGCCTACATCCACGAGAGGCAATACGTTCATGCTGACATCAAACCAGGTAATGTTTTTTGTAAGGCGTTGTCAAGTGAGAATCGCTACACATGGAAGATTGGCGACTTTGGGCTGGCAGCAAAAATGATGCCTGAAGGGATCGAGGGCCCTGTTGGAACGAAAACGTACAGAAGTCCGGAAATGATCGTGGGTCAAAGGTACTCTGACAAGACGGACGTGTACAGTTTGGGACTGGTTTTTGTCGAGCTGGTTCAGCAACATGGAAGCATGTTCGGAAGGGTGGATACCTTTGATGCTATCAGAAATTGTCGTGATGACGAGGAAAGGTTGCGATATATTGGGGGTGAAGTGGCAATCGGTTCGTATTCTAGATTCGTGGAGGTGATTAACACGATGTTGAGAGAAAATCCGGATGAGAGACCGAGTTCGGAGGAGTTGAAATGGATGGAGTTTTAAAGTGTAAAGGTGATAAGTTCGAAATTATGAGATTTTAATTTATTCAATTTTTTAATGCATTTATTATATAATTGTTTCGTCCTACAATAAAGCTTAATTTAATGAAATCTATGAATATTTATGTACTTATGAAGTCAGTAATTAAAATCAGAGTCAATTAATATTCTTATTTACACGTATATTTGCGAAATACAGATCCTCGTATGTATGCACATCTTACTCTTCAAATTCAATAGACTTTACACAACATGAATAAATCAATCATACTTATCCCGGAAGTTTGTAATATACCAGTAATTTTAAATTAGTTATAACATTTCGCCTACCAAAGATTGCAATTTTCACGTAGAAAAAAACATTCAAGTAGTATTTCCATATCCATCATGTTGAACAGAGATTCCTCCTAGAATTAAATTAAACCATGAGACCAGACATTGAATAAAATAAAACTTTATGCAATGACAGATAAAGTAAAATACCTGGACGATCTGAGACAAATACTTGTGAACTAATTGTCCAAACTTGGGTGCAACAATATCTCTGAATGTGCCACGTTTGTGAATATAGCTGCCTAATTTGTTCTCCAGATATTGTTCCATCCCTCTTCCAGTCCAGTTTTCCGTGCTATTTCCCTCGGATGTGTCCACATTCGCCAAAAGACCGACAAATCTTGACAAAAACATTTATCAACCTGACACATACACAATTAGTGTAAATTATAAACCTTGATTTAAGAACGCGAGTATAAAGTATTCCGGGTATGTCGCATCGAGAAATTATTCCATGAGCATAAGTCTCATCTAGATGATAAATATATTACCCAGAAGAAAATAATTTTGATAACTTGTATGGAATGTTACCACAGGAAAATGCATAGTCATCAGCCACTCCGAGATGCATTCACGTAAGTTAAATTTGCTCGGAAAGTGCACGCCATGTCGAAATCTATTGTCCAGTTTCCGTCGGACTGAAATGTAGTCGTGGCATTCAAGATGGATCCGTTTGCACGGTATAATCCTATAAATAGGAGAAAATACTGGAATGGGGATATACATACAAATACAGTATAGGCAGAAAGTCATTATACCCTCATACTTTTTCCACTCCAAGCATGATATTGTTCGAGAAGCTTGAGAGGATGAACTGCAATTTTGCACAAATACTTATCATGATGAAAGGTTTTCGAAACCATAATTTGGGTAACGGTGTGGCACAAACAACGACACGGTGGAATTATATCCAAAATTCTGACAGGAAAAAAGTCTTCCACCCTCTGACTTTTTTGTACTTTTAGTGTCATTTCTGAAAACACCCTCTTAAAACGTTCTTCACCCACCAGGTGATGCATTATTCTTTGAAAAATAACGTTTTTCTAATGCTGCACTACTTATCTTTTATCAATATTAGCTCATAATCACTCAAAAACACCTTAGCCCCGTCCTGGGGAAAAATGTCGTAAATTTTGATGATAAAATGATGATGGTTTCGACACCAAAGAATTTCCGATTAACCACCATTAGGATTGGTAAAGTTGCCAGCATAGTCCAGAACTGCAGAAAAGTTGAGATGGTATGGAATTTAACAGCTTTTTCATGGACATGGATCTCACCCCCATCACGGCAACTGCTCCAAAAGCCAAAGACTTCACGTTTATCTTTTCAAAAAATCAACTTGGAAACGAGGGAGGAATATTATCTTCAAGTTTCTATGTGAATTATAGACAATAGGATCAGTTAAGATCGATTTGAATAGCGAGCAACATGGAGAAATCAATTTCTCCGCGAGGCCTATATTGAAGACCACACTAAATAAGTCAAAAAGCATCACTGTTCGACGGTTAAATGTTGGAAACACCTGACATTGCTTGGCGACGTCAACATGAACCTGTTTGGTCAAATTGGGACCAGTGGAATATGGATTCACCAAAGAGAAGCTGACAAAACCAACTACGGTACGCTAACCATTAAGAGTGGGGGTTGAAATCGAAGTGTTTGGGCGATACGCCGTGGAAGGACGTCCGAAGCTTTAACAAAATCGAAGTAATCATGTACTCCAACTACTATTGCGACGTTCTGGGTTGGAATTTGATAATGACGGGAGGAAATAACCGTTGGGGAATAATTTTATTTTTAAATACGAATGTGATTCTAAGCATACATCAAAATTATTGAAGATTTGGTTTACAACAAAGAAGTTAGAATTGTTGGATTGCCCTCTATAATCAATGGACAGTATGTTCATGAACATTTATGGTCAATTGTGAAGCCTAAAATCGCCCAGCACACGCTATCAAACCTTAAAGGATTGATCGACGCCATAAGGCTTGAAAAGTAGAATTTCGACACTTCTGTTAAGAGCTCATTTTTTGAGTCGATGCCAAGATGTGTCTTTGCCTTCCTAAACGATCGAGGTGGACAGCCCAGATTCTAATTTAGCTTTTATTTAACCAAGAAACACTATGAACAAATTTTTTATTAAACTTTATTAGGGGTGTAAAGACTTTTTTCCTGTTGGAATTTTAAATAAAATTCAACCGTATCGTTACTTGTGCCACGCCGTCATTCAAAGTATGGTTCCGAAAACCTGACATTATCATAAGTGATTGTGCAAAATTGCAGTTCGTCCCCTCAAGCTTCTCGAACAATATCATGCTTGGAGTGGAAAAAGTATGAGGGTATAATGACTTTCTGCCGATACTGTATTTTACACACAATTAAATTTTTGCACTATTACGTTAAAATTTAAAGATATTGTGGGTATTCATTATTTCTTCGTATAAACTTCGTAACTTGGGGTCAAACTTCGTAAAAATCGTAAGCGCATAGTAACGTGGAATGGAAATTTCCATGGAAATCCATAAAAAAAATCTTACAAGGCTTACAAAATCTCGTAATCGTCGTATCGTAACTTATTTTACGATGCGAAGGAATAATGAATGAATACCCTCATTGCCTATGCTTGTATGAAATATGTTTTTCATTTGATTCGAATCTTAGGAATTTGTCTTTGTTTGCAATTTTTTGTAAGCTTGTGCAAATGTTTAAGTTTACACAGGACTGTGTTACAAAGAGCCTACTCATCTCAATTTTAGCATATCTCGCATCTTTATCTCGCAAATTGAGTATAGCAACACAATTTGCGAAGATTTGCAAAACTTGCGAGATTTAGCAAAAATGTTGCTGGAAAACCATGGGATTTTTTCGTTACAAGTTTCGTTGCAAGCTTACTCGTCAAGTGGCATGTTTTTATTTCGCAAACTCATCTTCATTATTACCAGAGAGAAACCACATATTTCAAAGGAAACTACATCAAAATAGGTATTTTTACTTCGAAGTATTTAGATTTGTGAAATTTGCGAAGTCATGTTTTGAGAATCCTCTCACAACGAAAATTTGCATAGTAGAGCTTCGCAAGCTCTTAGAGTTTAGAGCTTAGAATTTGTCAAATGAATTTCAATGCGGAATAAGAATAAGACTTTGTCGTACGCTCAAACTATCGAATTATGATTACAACTAATACGTAGGTAATTACAACGAAATATTTCAATGACCTGAAAGTTTGACATTCCGAGCGACGAACCGAACGGAAATGTGTCCATCCTCCAAATTTGAATAGACACAATCGGGGGTAAAGTTAGCTGCGACATTTGTCAGATTAGTATTTCTGAAAAGAACGGTTTGGTTAAGACAAGCAAAACGATATCCCCTTGTTGATAAACTTTATCCATACTCGAGGTCCACTTGGAGTGAAAATAATTTACTAGAAATGTCGACTTTAGCCAGATTTTGGATATTTATCGAGTCCAGTTCATCTGGGGACAAGCTAGGAGACGATGTTTCCATCCAATACGTCAAATTGTAATCAAGTAGCGCGAAACGCAAGACGTTGTCTATTTGAGAAACGCCTTCTTGTGACCCTGGTAGTGGTCAAGTTGAAAATTTAGTGTTTATCTCCCAATTCAGAAATGCATTGCTAGGTACCTTTTAAGAAAACGAATGTTTCAGGCGATGTGTCGGCGCGAATAACACCGAAGAACAAATTTACGATTGTGGAAACAAACATTATGACAGTTTTTCCTAATTTTCGTATTTACAGATGAACAAGGGCTGAAGGTCTAAAAGTAATTAATTAGAAATTGAGACAAAGTGTGCATTTAAATTCTCTCAATTTTTGGATTCGCCCACTCTCGTTCTTCTGTCACGGAAGGTCATGCATTCTTATTCGAAATTTCTGTGCGTGCCACGTCAAAGTTTAATGCAACGAATTAACAATAATAATTAAAGAAAATAATAATAACGAATATACATAGATTTGAGATCTCATGAATTCAAAGTCATGGGCAACACATATATGCATTAACATCGCTGGGTATGTATGTATGCATACATGAAAGATACAATTTTATTAGCACATTTTAAATTATTACAGCGACTCTGGTACTGAACAATATTGTCACTGTCCACCCATAATTTTAATGCTTTGACGTTACCTCAATCGTGTACATCTAAAAATCTGGCACATTTATTGAAATTGTAAATATACAAATACATATATAAATATGTGTATGTGCTTGGCTGGTGAGTCATGCTTACATATAAATTTTTAGTAAATGTCACGTCTGGCCATGCTTCGTCTCGATCTTTGCGGTTTGAAGTTTTTCTTAGATTTATTGGCTATAGATGCTTGTCTAAATTTGTTATATCAATATATACGAAATATCACTGTCTCGAATGTATGTATTTGTATAAGTTGAACCCAAACATTTTTTATACTCATTCATTTACATTCAAATTTTATATTTTTTACATTCATATTTTTCTTTCGTGGTGGTCTGAAGTTTCCACTAAAAAGTTGCGATGGGAAAATGCATGATTCGGGTATAAAATTATATTTACGTTTAAATTGATAATTTAATTAACTAAAATTTAAATATAATTAATCCCGGAATGATTAAATAAGACAATTAAATATTTGTTTTTGTATGTAAGCATTTTAGTTTTCAATGTATTTAAATATAGACAGATTTCACAACTGAAATAATTATTCCAATAGGGTATTACTTACACGAATATGTAGTTTAGTGAATTAATTTTTAAATTGCAGAGGACAATTGATGATGTATTTACCTTTGCGGCTATGAATTTTAGCCATTAGTTGGACATGATTCACGTAATACATATGTACATATCAGGACGAGATTCATAGATTTTCAATTTATAGCTGAAATCTGAATTATAATTACTAAATATGTTACTTATTATGCAAGTCATTTTTCGGATTTCATGAATTTTGCATGAAGCCAAATCATCATCCAACAAAGCGGGCAACACGACTAGAGTTTTAAGTCGTAGGAACGCGCGAGCAGAAAGTTCAGCACGCGTGAATCAACATTTTTACCCGTTCAAATAAATAAATTAAAATTCTCTGAAATTCTGACAAATTGTTGGCAGATTTAAAGGTAAGGAACATTTTTGGGTGTATTTGTCGATGTGCCCTGTGAGTTAGTTTTGCTTTGTTAATGGGATGTAAGTAAATATGTAACTGTCAGTACAAATTTCAGATATTGTATTTAGGAATGGAGCGTATCGAAGAGAGAATGACAAGCTCGGAAATAATGAAAAAAGTTGAACCACTGGACATCATGGCTCTTGAAATCCCGGATGTATGTCAATCTAAATTATTTCTCTTATTTTGACTCAATTTCAAGTATTTTGATATTTCAGATTGTTGAACATGTCACGAAGTTCTTGTCCAATTCTGACCTACTGACCTGCACCTTGTTGAATAAAACATGGGAAAAAGAGGCTCGCAAGAAGCTCTTACGAAACGTATTGCTGGATTTGTCTTCGCCATCGGTCAAGAAAGAGTTTGCTCAGAATTTGGCATGTTACACCGAAGCAATGCAAACTCGAGGGGCATATCATTCGAAATTGCGAATTGGGGGGATAAAATCCGTCCATGAAAGCAACGTTCTGTGGTATTTAATGAACCGGGTGAGTTTCTGCAAATAAGTGTGATAAATTTTGTCTATATTTGTATTTATATTTATTATTGTTTATCAGCAATTGAGAGAGACGTGGCCATTTTTTCCTGGCAAATGGACAAATTATTTCCTTGAAATGCTTGAATCCGGGATGAACGGACCGAAAGGACCAAAATGGGTAAACTTTATTTGCATTGATTTGTAGTCATTAATTTATAATTAATTAGGCTTGGTAGTTAATATTATTAAGTAAATTCTAATTATATCCATTTTTCCCCCAATCCAGTTTAGTGATGTGAAGTCGCCACCCGCAGGATATTTTGATGAGCAGGACAGATTTCTTGTCTTCTCAGAATTGATTGGATTACACGTGAAAGAGGTACTAATAACAATAACCCTCGAGGAAAATTTAAATTTTAAAAATCAAACCAGAAAAGAAGGCTTTATTTTTAATCTTTAATTTCAGTTATCCGTGATTTGGCCTTCACCAAAAGATGTGACATACTTTACGGAAGTGCTGAGCAAATTTACTAAACTAACTCAGCTAGAATTGGTTATCACTGTTCCAATGGATAAAGAAGATTTTGAAGATGTAAACTTTTCTCCAATAGACCCTCGACTTGCAAGTTTAACAACCAAATTTCCAGCCGGATTCGTTCTGTCATCCGTGCAAAGATTGATGATCAAATTCGACTACGATTCTCACAGCGAATTGGTACATTTTTTCATCAAAGAAAACGTAGAAGACTTGGCTGGATCTATTTTGGAACTTTGTCCAAATATGGAATGCCTTCATCTAGACGGTTTCGGCAAAATATTTGGACAAGAAATTGGCCGTGACGCGTCTCGTTTCGCAAAGTTGAGAGAAGTCAACTTTGACCTTGTGGATGATCACCAAGTCGGCATTTTATCTTTGCCATGTCCTCTTCGTGTTATCCACGTGCATTTTGGAATGGCCAACGGATTGCAGGGACTGCAAGAAATTTTCAGCAAATTTTCAAATACTTTGGAGGATTTCAAGATGGGGGTGGACATGGTCCCGTGGGAAACTTTGGAGCCACAAGCTGGGCGCCTAGCTTTGAAAAGATCAACGATTTTTATTCCAAAAATGCCAAAGTTGAAAAAAATTCATATCAGCGTCGCGATGACTTTTACACCCCTGGGCATCGTGTCTACGGCAGAACAACGAGAAAAATTGTTACGTTCGCCCTGCCGACCAGCTTACGATTTTGTTTTTGAAACGGCTACCGGGAACCAGAAGATTGACTATGATTCACAGTTCCCATGTTTGACCACAATTGTGATTAAAAGTGGTTGCCGCTTCACTATTGATGGCCCGCGCAAGCACAACGTTTTGCATGATTTCTTCATCCCACAAATCCAGCCTCCTTGCACCACCGTCCGGTTTTTGGATATCGATTACCCTGCCGAGGACAAAGAATTTCTTGATCGGAACTCAGATTGTGCGACTGGATGTGACTGCTGGATTTGGAAAAATGACATCACTCAATTGTACAAAAGGATGGCAGAAACTTTCCCGAACGTGATGGATGAACGGTTCACTCCGTTTCGCAAGTAGGACTTCTTTAAGCAACAGACGACAATTAATACTTGTATTCATTTCATCTTTTTTCATTATGTTTGCATTAGTTTTTTTGCTCATTGGATTATTTTTTCGAATCCATATTTTTCTTTATCAGCTCTTGCTGCTTTATTTAGTTAATTAACTTGTTGAATAATTGGACTTGGTAAAAAATGAATTGCTGTTTAGTAGAATGTTCATGTTTGAGAAATAACTTGCTGTATGTATTATTGATTTAATTGAATAAACCATTGCAAAAAGGGTATAATAAATATATTAAGAGAGCACAAATCAACTAATTAGGGCCTCACTATAAAGCACATAAACTCAAGGCTATTGCCCTTTTTAAATATCTCAGAATGGGCGTCATTTAACATATTTTAACGTAGGATTCTGTGACTGTGATGTCACATCACAGCCTAAAAATCAGCACATTTTTAATGGCATTAGAAATTTAATTAAGTATTCTTGCTCTACAATTTTCGAGAACACGTCGTTTCCAATTTATTAAAACTAGACATTCCAGATTTTGACAGTTTTTGAAGGAGGAAAGTCATAAAGAGTGAAAAGACATACAACATACTTAAGACATACATGTATGGTTACAAAGCGTTCAGAAACATTGACTTTCAACAGTGCATAATCATCATTCACCGACCAAAAATAGCTGCTTAAACTGCATTTCATAATATTTATTGAGGTCAAAATCCATCATGTCGAGCACAGAGTTTTTCTACAATAAAATTACCCAAAAGCATTTAATAAAACATTAAATAAAATCAAACTTTATGCAATGACACATCAATTAAAATACCTGAACGATCTGAGACAAATATTTGTGCAACAATTGTCCAAACTTGGGTGAAACAAAATATCCGAATCTTCCACGTTTGTGAAAATAGCTGCCTAATTTGTTCTCCAGGTATTGTTCTATCCCTCTTCCAGCCCAGTTCATCCTGCTATTTCCCCCGGATATGTTCACTTTCGCCAAGAGACCGGCAAATCTTGACAACAAAAAATTATTAAAATTTATGAAACTAACATATCGTCAGCATAAATTATTAACCTTGACTTAAGAACGCGAGTATAAAGTCCTCCGAGTATGTCGCATGGAGTAATTATTCCAGGAGAATAAGTCTCATCTAAATCAGAAATATACTGTCAGAAGAAAGTTATTATATTTGATAACTTGTATGAAAAATTGTATGGAATGTTACCACAGGAAAATGCATAGTCATCAGCCAATCCGACATGCGATGCATTCAAGTAAGTTAAATTTGCTCGCAATGTACACGCCATGTAAACATTTATTGTCCAATTTCCGTCGGAGCGAAACGTAGTCGTGGCATTCATGATGGACCCATTTGCACGGTACAATCCTATAAATAGGAGAAACTACATGGGGCCTTGAAATACTGGAATGGGATTAAACATATAAAAATATTTTACACAAAACTAGAATTTTGCACATGGCATAAAAAGGAAGAGATGTTGCGCTTGTAATACATCTTTTATTTGATTTGCCTTAGGAATTTGGAATCTTTGTCTTTGAATGTTTGCAATTTTTTGCCCTTAGTATTTTTTATAAATTTGTATCAATGTTTAACCTTATACTGGCTAGTTATGTATTAAAAACGGTTTGCTGAATTAATTGCGATGCAGAATAAGATTTTGTGAGTACGCTCAAACTATCGAATTATAATTACAACTAAATATTTCAATCACCTTAAAGTTTGACATTTCGAGCGACGAATAGAACGGAAATGTGTCCATCTTCCAAATTCGAATACACACAATCGTGCATAACGTTAGCTGCGACATTTGTCAGATTTGTATTTCTAATGACAAAAAGAACGGCTTGGCTAAGATAAGTAAAATGATATCCTCTTATCGTAAAGTTTATCCGTACTCAAGTTCCATTTGGAGGGAAAATAATTTATTAGAAATGTCGATTTTAGCCAGATTTTGGATATTTATCGAGTCCAGTTCATCTGGGGAAAAGCGAGGAGACGATGTTTCCATCCAGTGCGTGAAATTTTCTTGGTGTAGTTTAATGTGCAAGAAGTTGTCAATTTGAGACACGCCTAGTTGTGACCCTGTTAGTTGGCAGGTTGAGAATTTAGTGTTTGTCTCGCAATATGAAATTATTGCTACCTTCTGAGAAGTGAAAGACGGCGAATGTCTGCGGTGATGTGTCAGCGTGAATATTTTTAGTCGTGAGGACACCGAAGAATAAAATTACTATTGAGAAAGAAAACATTGCGCCAGATTTTTTTCGTAGTTTTCGCATTTACACTGTAAATTTTACAGATGAATAGATGAGGCTGAAGGTGTAAAAGTAATTCAGAAGAAACTGACACAAATTGTGTAAAGTCTCTCAATATTGAATTATCACACGAAATGCCATGTATGTATGCTATGCTCATTAGAAATTTTTGTGCAAATGAGCATGTCACATCAAATCGTGATCACGATTTGATGTGACCCTGTCAATATCAAAAACAAAGTTTAATATCATGAATATATATCTATTTGAGACGTCATGAACTTACAGTCATGGGCAGAACTACATATGACATATACATATTGTCATCGCTCGGTACATGTATCGTCACTGTCCAGCCATGATTTTAACTTTCGTATGTATTTACGAGTACATCTAAAAATATGACAGATTGATTGAATTGTAATTTTAAACACACAAATAGAAGTATGTATGTATGTGAGTGGCACTACATACGACTCAATAAATACAGCACTAAAATTACAAGTATTTAATAGAATTCTTTCTGAATCACGATGTCCTCTTTGTTGTTCTAAATAACTCCCTCGCCTTCGTGCAGCACTACCTTTCTGAATGCCGAGCTTTTATGGAAGAAAGATCCCGACTAATTGAAGCAGAACTTTACAACAACCTTTTTTCTCAAACCAGTTTGGAAATTATTACAAATAATTTAGTTATCATTTTCTGTTGGGCAGCAAATTTCATAATATTTGTACTGGAAATTTTTAAACACAACGTAACGCCATTTCTTGTCTGACCTTTTCAAACATAATCAAACTCGAACTAGTCATATAACTTGTATGCGAATTTGAACATGATATGATGATGCAAGGGTTGTCGACCGAAATGCAATAAACTTTTACTTTTATTCTATTCTATACATAGGTTTAGGTATGTATGTGCCTGGTTAGTAAGCCGTGCTTGTAAATTTTTAGTAAAGCGGTCATGTCTCGCCTTTCTGCGGTTTGAAGTTCTCCTTGGATTTATTTCGTTCCAGATTCTTTACTAAATTTGTTATATTTATGACTATCTCGAATGTCGACTGACTGTATGAAGGTTGAACACCTCGATTTCGTGTCATTCGTACCTGACTGTGTCCACATGACGTATGTTCTGCTAATATTTAGCAAAAAATAATGGTGACCATACAGAAATCCCATTTTGACCTTAAAGTAAGGGACGGAGTTTTTCTGAAAGATATGAGCTGGTGGGGACAGACGTCAGAGTTTTGCATGGATAGCAGCTTGCACGGGCTGAGATATATTGGACAGCCAAGACGGCACTGGTTTGAAAGGTCTGCAAATAATAACTTAATTAATACACGCGTTAATTTATACTAAAAGTTTTATATTAACAGTCAGTAAAAGCCTCTCACATTTTCAGAGTGTTTTGGTTCATCGCTTTCTGCATTTCGATCGCAGTATCTACCGTTTTGATACTCGAAATCTGGGAAAAGTACCGCCTCACCCCAGTAATCACGGTGTTCCAGCCAAAAGATACTAGAATTAATCTCTTACCATTTCCTGCCATCACTATCGGTAACACGAACAACGTGCAGATATCAAAGGCAGTGGAGTTTGAGAGGTTATTAATAAATATTTAAAATAACAATTATATTCGCCATATTCGTATACCGCCATATTCGCTTCCGGTCGATTATGATTTTAGCAAGATTTTAGCGTCACGAGTTTTTCCAGAGTTTAACGTAATTTTATCCCGTAACAGCCGACTGATCGCAAATCCGACGGATCCTCACGCCAATGAGGATCTCTACCAAATAAATCATATTTGCCAATCCTCCATAACATTTAAGGACACTTTCAACTTTTCCCTTGATCATGCCTCCGTGCGGAAAGATCTGATCGAACAAATCGTCAAATTCAAAATCAGCAAAAATCATGCATTTGGTTCAAGCGGTGTAGATTTTGCTCATCTGTTGAGAGATGTGAGATATTAAAATCAAAATTTATACGATCAAATGTCTTGAATATTGATTGTTGGCAGGTGGCCCAAAAATGTGATGATCTCATCCTTCTCTGCATGTGGGGAGGGGACGTGAGAAAGTGCAGCGATTTATTTGATGAAATTGAGACTGACTTCGGCTACTGCTGCGTCTTTAATATGGTTCCGATGTCTTTGTTGATGAATTTGAGGTACGCAGATTTACCAAACCGAAAATCTTGGAACATGATCCATTGTTTTATTTATTGTACAATTTTTTAAAGAAATGATTCACGAGACAATCAAACCAGAATTAATGATTGGGAATCGCTAAATTTGGATACAGACAACATGATTCTAGACGAGGAGGGAGCATTTGAAAACGAATACAGACAAAAGTTTGGAACACTGCCTAGATTCCCGCGAAGACAACGTCGGCCCGGGAAATCAACTGGACTTTCAATGTTACTAAATCCTGATAAAGAAGGCTATTTTTGCACGAATACAGACTCCGTCGGATTCATGGTAGTACTTATGTATGCAATTTTCTACCTTATAATTAACCGATTTGGTTGCTTTCAGGCGGTGGCTCATCTTCCCTTCGATTTTCCAAACGTGGCTGATAAAGGAATCGCCATCAAACCCAATACGGAAACATATCTTAAAATCGAACCTGAAATTGTCAGGGCTGGAAGCGAAATTCAAGCCTTTCCACTTGTAAGGATGAAAAATTGGATTTCAATTTTTGAATTTTTTCGTCCCAAGTTACAATTTCTCTTTTACAGGATAACCGCAATTGTTACTTTGGAAAAGAATACTCCCTCAAATACTATAAATACTACACAATGTCTAATTGCGAAAATGAGTGTATTGCAAATTTAACATATAATGAGTGCGAATGCATTCGGTATTACATGCCGAGTAAGGCAGTTGTTATTTTTTTTTGCATTATGTATTATGTAACGTTTATTATGTACTTCACATACTGCAGGGAGTGAGGAACAGCCCATTTGTGGGGTGAAAAAGTACAACTGTTCAGAGAGGATAATAAGTAAATTAAATAAAGCATCATTTAAGCTACATTTTGCAAGTCATTAATTAAATTGTATCTTAAAACAATAGGAAGACTGTTAAAAGAAGGACTTGTGCAAGATGTGCCGCCCTACGTGCACAGATATTGAATTTAGGTACTACATACAATTATAAATATTTTAAAAAAATTGCCTACAAAGTATTTAATAATAATAAATTAATAAATTAATTTAGAGTGACCACTGGTTTCATGCCGTTGCGAACTGACATTCCTCTTTGGGAATATGCAAACCGAACCAATGCTTCATGGTTTATTTTTCAGAAATGACCCAAATTTTGGAGTGTAATGAAATGGCGTGTATCTAATATGTTCTAAATCTTTCACTTGTAGGATAAATAAAAACGTGTCGATCCTGCATGTCCACTATTTAACAGACTCAACATATCCGAAACAGAGGAAAGAGTTGTTCGGATTTATCGACCTTGTTTGTAAGACGATAAGTACAGCACTTTAAATAATCAGTTAAATTGCTTGAATAATTTAAATATCTAGCAAACACTGGCGGTCTACTCGGCCTCTGCATGGGATTCAGTGTGCTCAGCGTGATGGAGATAATTTACTTTTTCACGCTACGACTCTACTGTCAGACACGTTCGGGAAGAAATTTGGGACATAGAGTTACCAGAATGGCAAATAGAATGTGGCGAAAAGTAGGACAACTTGGTAGCGTTGGAAAACCCACAAATGTGACGACGTTCCACTTTCCTCGTGGAATTGATGACAACAATTTTCGTTGTCACGATGAACTACGCAGCGTAAATGTAGTCAAATTCAAGAAACAAATAGAATACTGGGGAGAAAATGCGGGCGACTCTGTGTTGTAAGGCATGGAAAACTAAAAGTGTAGGATTAATACACATGTACCTTCACAATTTAATCCCATTAAAAGTTATATGTACATATGTGTAATACACAGATGTATTTTGATGAATTTCTTATGCTACGCGAGCTTCAATTTTGATTTAATTGACAACAAACATACATATGCTTGGTACTATTAAGCCTGAGTAATGGGTCACATCTGACCATGCAAATGAGTTATTAATTACTTGTGAAAACTCAGCTCGTTCCTTGCATTAGATTTGGATAGAAATTATAATGTTAATTAATGTACTGTTAAAATAAATATTTTGAACCAATTGTAGCTGAATTTTACACAATTTACACGGTGGTATGCAATACATTCGTACCCAACAAATATCCCAATTGCAGCGCAAATTAGTGCCGCCCAAATAATAAAAATTGTTTGAATACTGCCCCTCAAACTAGCCGGTTTCAAAAATGTCCCTCTTTGCCCCGATATATTTCCCTTCGTGAAATTCCTCCTGACCTGATACTCATGCCGAGTACTGTATTTATCCAACACGTGGTAAATCCCAGATTGTAATAAGTACCCAAACATTTCCGGTAACCTAGATCCTCCCGCGTTGGGAATGTTCCAATGTAAATTCCTCACGCCGACGATTTCCTTACTTTTTGTCACCTTAATCTCATTTGGATACCATTTGGTTAGATATTCAAACTCCAAATCGACTTTTCTTTCCGTGTCGATAAATGCGATCTTACTCTTTGCTTCATTGGAAACCATTAGTTCTTTCTCTACAGCAGAATCTTGCGGAAGGGTTTGATTCACAGGGAGAAAAAGTTGCAATGGTGTTACCGGACTTAGCAATCCGGTCAAAATCCACTCATCATACGTGGTTTTAATCGACGTGAAATTACAGGAGGACATTCTCATCGTTTTGCACATGCTGGCCAACTGTGACGCTTTCTGATTCTGGTAAACCCGCGCGATCGTTGTGATTTGATAGTACATGACATTCTCGACCCGAAGTACTCCACCATCTGAACGGTGTGAGGACGTGGAGGATAAAATTCGAAACATTTTCGAACCGCCAAATACTCGGTGGTCTGAATAATTGCGAATTTGCAAATATCTTCCATACCCGAAATCTAGGAAGGATAATCCCAGCTCTTTGAGGCAGGATGAGATAGGCTTGCAAGGAAGGTGAAGTAAATCTTGGAACGTGTCGATGCTTCTTAGCGGCAATGGGGCCGATAAGTCGGACACGGCTACGCCTACGTAGGCATTCGTGAAGATGGGAGAAATAAGAAACCAGAGTCCGAAAACGGTGCGAAACACGACTGAATTCCAGACTGGTGGGGGGACATTGATTCCTCCATCGTCTAAAATGCCTGACAGTACACAGAGGAAAGAACTAAAGAAAGTCTTTTCATTTTGTAGGATATGAAACCCGAGAAATCTCAGAAAACCCCAGAGCCACAATAAAGTTAGGAGTAGCCCTATCCAGACCTCTAATTGGAAGGGGTGCGTGTATAATTCAAATCTTAGCCGCTGTTCGGCCCACGTGGTTAGGAAACTGTATCCCAAGCTACCCACGACCGGAAGATTAGTACCGGTCAAATAATGTTGAAACACATCCTGGTATCGGTACCCTTGATTTTCGTGGGACAAATCGTCGTCAACCACAATATTGGGACGACCCGCGTATTTCAATAGATTGTAGTAACAGCGGAGCCCATTGTTTTCGCAGTAAAAGAGAGTATCATTACTGTGCTGAAGTAGAATGAATAGAATATACTGGGCGAACGGATATCCGGTCTGACCCATGAGCAGAAATGGGCTAAACCCTTGATAATTAGGATATGGGAATCGAAAAGTCAGACTTTGTCCGTGGTGCTGCTTTCTCGTGAAGACGCCAACATTGGAAATCCATTCTATTGAAGAGACGGATTGGTGAAATTGAGACATTGCGTGAGGGGTAAGGTGAAACTCGTTGAATGGGATTAGCTCATACGGAGAGCGGGAATAAGGCCCGGAAACGAAAAATCGTAAAACTGGATATTGTGACTGGGTCAGTTGGACTAAAAATAAATTTAAATGTACGGTAATCGCATGTTTGTCCACAGTGAATGGTATATCTTGTATCAATTTGAATTCTAGCGGGGTCAAATGTGAGACGAGAATAAAGTACCGATTTTCTAAGCTGCGTGACGTCCGTTGTTTGTACCACCATCTGGAATACGGTTCATTTAAAGGGTCGAGTAAAAGACGCTCTTGAGTTTCTAGAAAGGCTTCGGTCTGGGCGGGATAGTATACCCGGTTTTCGAGAGAATGCCATACTGATGTCACGTGTTTTAATGAAATGATGGCAAAAATGCAAAAAATTCCTTTCGTTTTGGAAATATTGATCTGGATCGATCCGTTCAATTGTTTCTCAAAGTTTAGCCAAGATCTTTGTTCAACATGGTAACCTGGGTAGAATTGGCCGGGACTGGATTGTAAGTTCCAACCGGTTGTATTGTAGCCGGGCAGGTGCCGAATTGTGGCAGGATTTTCGAAGGGAGACAATGAGAGTGAATCGTAAACGATATGAACGTGACACGAAAAACTATCCTTTATTAGCTGATTTATTGTGGCTACAAGTAAATCGTCAGTTTGTGGCGTGGTTTGCTGAGGGGGGTAAATTAGCAAAAGTTGGAATATTGAGAAATTTAGGAGTCTCATTTCAACTGTTTGTAAAGCTTGTTGATTAAACGATAACTTGTAAATGAGAGAAATGTTAAACAGGACGCAAAATATGTCCTTCACAATGATAAGTATACATAAATATGTGTGTAGTGTATAACTGCTGTTCTTGCTACGTTCTAGCCATAAATGTGAATTTTTTGGGTTTTTAGTATACTGTAGTTGGCATCAATTTATTTCCATAATTGCTATGTTTCATATCACGCAAAGCCTTACGTACTTATTTATTCAGAATATATGTAATTTAATAGCATTCATAGTCCAACTCGAGCTTTCATTACGTAAAATTTGGGTTATCGTTATTTTGATGCATATTATATTATGCATATACACAGCATGAAATATGTTAACACATTTATTTATTTTTTGCCTACATATAAAGCTTGAATGCCAAAATAACTTCCTTCTGTTGACCGATGAAATCTGATTAAAAATCAAACTGCAACATGATAATTAAATAGGTTGATATAACCGAGAAAAAAGTAAGCATTGTAGATTTTCTTATTATGAAGAAATCTCCACACTTTACGCCAAACGGGTCGCATGCCCTCAGCCGGAATTTTAACAGTTTAAAATACTTCTTATCTTCCCTGCTTAACTCGGATAGGAACAAATCCTCTTTGGAATAAGCTAACCCCTTCGTCCAGGATTTCACGTACAGGATCGACTCATCATACACGGACCCCATCACGGGAAAAACGAGACACAAGATAACCATCAATGTAGCAAAGATAAATATATACATGAGTAAACTAAGTTTCGGAACGACACTCCAATACTGCAACGGCATAAACGCCATGATACACGAAATTCCAAGATATCCTCCAAACTGTGAGAAAACTGTCCATGCGAATATGGCATTTTCTTGATCCGTCAGTTCTCCCAGTTTCTTGAAATATTTCAAACTCTTGTCCAATCCGGAGAGAAATTCGGTAGAGCTAAGCTGGGTCTTATCAAATTTATTAGACTGAAATGAAATTATGTCCAGACAGCCGCCCACGGAACGGCAGAAGTTTAGAGATCCCACAATTAAGTGGACGCCCAAGGCCCAGGCGTAAATGTGGAAGATTGCCTGCGCCAGGAATGAGAGGACGATGAAGTACATCCGGTCGGCTTGGGTGGAGGGGAGGATGTTGTAAAGGAAGGCAGGAAATCCGGGTTCTCCAATATGCTTCATGGCCATGACGACGAGTCCGATAACCGTTAAGATAACAATCATTTGAACGCGGCGGGTAAATTTGCGCTTGTGTTGGAAACTTGAAAATGCGACGCGGTCGTTGTGGTACGATTCTGAGGATATAAAGTAATTCATCTTAATAAACTTGTAAATTCAAGAATGCGTACGGAAAATGGAGATAAATTTGATCAAAAATTCATCGCAGTATTAGTACCAGAATTACCATTTTTACCAATTCTGGTATATGTAGCTTTAAAGTTAAGCAGTGCTTGGCGTATACTGTACTTTTATGACGACAAAGCATTATTATGTTAGCTATTTAATTATGCAATTTATGCATATTTTTGAAAATTTCTCACGGTATATTTCCTTCTCCAAATCATTCGCTTGTGTCATCAGGGTGCAGATCTGTTCTCCATGAAACCAGTATTTCAGGCCTATAATTAACCCCAAGAAAGACGTTCCGGGCCATAACAGGAGACTGAAAAGTGTGACAGGAGACGAGTCAAGGATCCAGTATCGGATAAATTGAATTGTCTGAAACGTCGTGTGTGCTATCCAGAAGAAAAGGACAATTTTGTTTAGCCAGACGAACCCTCCCGATTTCTCCTTTCCTATTTCAGTCAAAATTTTCTCAGGCTTTGAAACAGCATTATTATTGGTAGATTGAACGGGATGTGTATTCAAGAATTTCAAGGAATATGGATAAATTCCCGAGTATTTAAAAAATCTAATGAGAGGGACATTTGTTTCGTAGGAAGTCGGAAAATGTTGAACTTTGTCCATTGTTAAAGGACATAAAATTCCGACTGAACTAAATTGACTGCGACAGCCTAACAAGAAAATAGACCAGACCGCATGGACTTTAATATTTGTATTAATTAGGAATATTTGGGAATAATTGGCAAATTAATTGGAAATTGTGAGTTTAGCAGCTTTTGTCTTATATGTGACACATTTATGTCACTATCTTAATGAAGTTGAGACGTCTAGGTATGTAGCAAGGCGTTGCTTTAGAAAATATATTAACCTCTTTCAATAGGCGTACTCACAACAACATTTGCATGGCTAGAATTGAGTATTCTTCACTTGCAAAGTTTGACCAAATTTGCAAGATTTCTCAATTTGTTTTACTGGAAACGCATGAAAACTTTGCTTTCACCCAGAAAATGGCATATTTTAGCACAACCCATATGCATATCGACATATGTCAATAGATGATGTTAACTTAACCCTGAACTGTGGCGCATAAATACTTTTACGTATGCGTGCACAATTTCAAAAAGCATATTGTTTTTTTTAATTGATCGAAGAAAGATGAAATTTGTGCATGCCGGAAAAACGGATACATAATAAATAATATGCAAATTCTTATATTGGTCTGGGGTCTCAAAATAGATAAAAGTAGGTGACCGAGTTAGTTGAAATGCGAAATAAAACATTGTCGTGAATACGCCTAATATTTATTATCGCACGAGCACATCAACGAGCATGCAACAAATGTGACATTATGTAATTAGCAAATGCATCACAGGGCTGCTGCCTGGATATGTAGTGTATGTATATGTATTTATTCTTAGGTGAGGCATAGTAACCATGACCACATGAAAACATGCATGGTTACGGCGAAGCCTTAGTATGCGAACAGACCCCCCCTCCCAAAATTCCAGTCAAGATTGTGGCAAAACGGCTAATCGTATCAAAATGGTGTAAAAGGCAATCGTGCAGACCTTGCTGGGTAGAGTATGTCCGTCAATTCGAGGGAGATGACAATCTAATTTTAACGCATTTAAAATCGATTTTAAACTTTCAAACGACTGGCAAATTCACTTTTACCATGCAATGATAGTGCGAGACCCTGATTTTCATGTGCAGAAATCTATAACGCGCCATTTAAAGCAAACCCGAGCGAAATCGGATAAAAAATTAAAAACTTTTCTTGGTGGTATCTGCAACCAGTTACTTATAACAGTCCTCCATTACTTATCATGCATACCTAAATACGAGGTTTCCATTAGTAACCAGCATAAGAGAAACAATTGAGACATGTACTGGCGTATGGAAATGTGTGCATCTGCATATGTGTATATCTAATATTTATCCACGTTCTTAACTCTGAGTCCACACCCACAGGAGAAACTATTTCGTACACTCTTAGAAATTCAATATTAAAATAATAACAACAGGTATTCAAGCACGATTCTAAAAACCTACAGTGCAGACTCCATATAGCCCGAGTCAGGGACAGAGTCCCTGACTCCTCCAGGGTCACTCTAGTTAAAATTTGCTCACTTTTAGCTTCATATCCTTTCATGAGAAGCCATTAGGTATGACCGTGCCGGATTTAATGTTTTCAAAGTAATTTCTAAAAATCGGTATGGGTCACCCCATAGGGTCGCTAAAGATAAGAATTTTACCAATTTCATGTCATATTCTTCTATAAAGACCCATTAGCAACCTCTCTACCAAATTTCAGCTTTTTATGACGATTTTGAAAAATCGGTATGGGTCACCCCCTAGGGTCCCTCAAGATGAAAATTTTTCCAACTTGAAGTCATTTTTATCTATTAGGAGCCATTAGCAACCTCTGTACCCAATTTCAGCCTTCTACGACAATTTTGAAACTTTGGTGCATAATACCCCACCTACCTAGATGACCCCCACTGCTCAACCACTTGACCGATTTCGCCCATCTTCGAACTCGTTTCCTAACTTTGTCCAAAATGCATATGATAAAAATTTCAAGTCAATCGGTTCAGCCGTTTTGGCTCTATCGTGCCGGACAGACGGACGGACGGACGGACGGACGGACGGACATGACGGTTCCATAAGCCCTGACTCGGGCTAAAAAATGGTATTGATAAGTAATACCATGTAGTACACTCTTAAACCCGGTGTTAATCGTCACCAAACGGTGTACATAATATACACCGTTTGTATGTACATATATAAGAATGTAATAGCTCAGTACTAAAGTTTTACTATATTGGTAGCAAATTTTGAATGACCGATATAATTTTAATACCACGCGGTAGCAACTTTAATACAGAAAACAATACCTGCCTGACTATACCAGATTATTCACACTTACATATAGGGGAATTAATCTAATATGCAACCCATCCGCACCCACAGATTATAATTAATTTGGTATTGAATGCAGCACCCTTTAATTTGGGAGGGACTCTTATTTGTAGGCTTAAAAACACAAAATAAATAAATTCTTAAAATAAACTAATTCTTAAAAAAAAGCTTAGGTGAGGCTTGCTTAAAAGAGGAAAACAAGTTGCTATCATCGTGTACTAAAATTATTTGACACATCAGTGTTTATCTAACGATTTAAAATTTTCGGTAAATATCCCAGTAAGTAATATGCATTAGGGACCATTTGCCTCACCGTGGGCCTGATTAATTGCTGGATACAAATATACATACCTTCTCGATGGTCATACATTAATATAAAAAATTTACAATAATTAACCTAATTAATTGATGCCAGTGATATCTCGATATTTCATAAATTTACGTAAATATACGGTATTTTATATTAGAAATGAAAGTACACTTAACAAATTTGATCATCAATCGATTAAGAATAACGAAATTCGATTACTCTTAATCAATGATAAGAACAAATTACTCAAAATTATGAGCGCACAGCAATATTAAATAGGCAGCAAAATTGGATTACTCAACCCCAATTACCAGGTTTTCTGAAGACCTCTTAAATCCCTAAATCTCCTATACTTGTCGTCGTATAAGTTGTGAACTTGGCAAAAAAAATGGAAAATCTCGGTAGACTAAATCCAGCATCGTTTTATATGAATTGCATTTACCTATGGATTGTATTTACGTAGTGAACACTAATACAGTTTAAAATTTATTTCAATTCCTTGTGTCACAAAACGGCCCACGGTGAGGCAAATGGTCCCTAAAATGCATATTATTTACTGGGATATTTACCGAAAATTTTAAATCGTTAGATAAACACTGATGTGTCAAATAATTTTAGTACACGATGATAACAACTTGTTTTCCTCTTTTAAGCAAGCCTCACCTAAGCTTTTTTTTAAGAATTAGTTTATTTTAAGAATTTATTTATATGAATATGTGTGCATGCATATAAATGTGCAAATTTAATTCCTGTCAATACTCTGTTAGTTTCATTTATGTATGTACATATCATTTATTTATTATTACTTCGTTTGACTTCTTCTATTTATGAAAATTACATATCTAATTCCGTTGGGAATGTATGGGTTACGTACATAATAGATACGTACCTGAGTAAGAAATGTATAAATTCAGTCATAAAACTATTCGACATAGTGACAATTTCAACCTAAGCTGTTTCATCCGACTTCAGTCTTTTGTTGGATTTTCTGCCGGGTTTCTTTACACGTTTCTCCAACACGTTTTTTAATTTAAATTTTGCATTTAAAATAGGGAGTCGATGTTCTCTGTGAAGCAATATATTCTGTACGGACATCGGAGTTAGAGAAGATCTTCTTCCACGGCCAAGAGATAAAAGTCGAGAGAATGCATCTGCGCCTCCTGTCGACGCAGGGATGGCAAGATATCTTATTGCTAATTTTGACAAAGTTGGGAAATTGGATTCGTTTTGTGCCCAAAATTCTAAGGGGTCCGAGTTGGGCTGTCTAGCTATTTGTAGATAGCGTTGCATCTCGTCAGCAGCTTCTTTATCCTCTGATTCGTAAAAACTCCCCAATATTTCAGTCACTGTGGTAGTTGTGGGCGTTTGAAGGCTTGCTGTACCAAATGATGCTGGTTGGACTGCAATAAAAGCGTATATGTATGTCAGTACGCAAATAAAATATGTTAGCATTCTGATCAACTTTATTTTACATGTAAAGGTGTCAAGTTTTTGCCGCTGGTCCAGCAATGCACTTAATACGACGACTGTGTCCGTCAGGCTTCCCTCAAATCGGGCTTTCAACCCGTCCAGTAATTGGGACTTCATGTATGTAAACAGATTGGTTGGAGTTTTTGCGATTTCTACGAAATAGATGCAAACATATACAACTTTAAGGCCGCAATACTTATTAAACAAAAATGGTAATTAAGCACAGCATACCATCATATGCAGTGACGACAGTATAGTAAATTAAGCTCGATGTGATTCCATCCCCTTGAAGCTGATTTATTGCATGAGAAATGGGTCTAAGAAGATTGCAAAGTTCTACAATGTTCTGTTTGGCCTCCACATTTGGCAACAATTTTTTCAGCTTTCTTGGACCGGTGCTTGCCTCGTGAATTAGGTTGCAAACCTCTTCATATGCATTATCCTAAAGACCAAATTAATTAACCAACTGCATAGTTTATACGATTCGTTTTAATAGGTACTTATTAATGAGCGTACCTGGGTCAGTCGTTCCGAAACATAGTACACGTAATTCCACCAAGAAAGAGCTGGTTTTAAAAGTACTTTGCCTAATACTTTTATTAATCGTTTTCGCCAGTGACTTGATCTCATGAAACATTTCACGATATTGCATACACAATTCAGAACATACTTCTCCCTTCCTTCATTTGCCAAGACATCCTTCACGACCAGTTGAAAGCGATGAGCAAAACAAGAAAACCGGAATTTTTCTCCAAGAGTGATATTTATGTTGCGGTCTGTGCCAGAGTCATCCATTATATCAAAGTCTAAGGTTTCGTCATCTTCTTCGTCTGAGCCATTGCTTATATCGGAAGAATCTTCTTCGATGTGCATTTCTGGTCTATCCGAAAAGCTATCCCCGTTTTGAATAGTTTCGTCCTTCTCATTAATGGATTCGTATACCATGTTGTTTTTACCATCAGTCACAAGATATCCAATCTATGGGATAAATTTAAAATGAAACTTAACGCTAAATAAATTTTAGTAATTATGTAAGTCGTATAATATAATTCCTTGCAACTTATTATTAACATTGCTAGTAACATTGTACCTGATTGATATCAATACCAAAAGTACTAAGAGATTTTTGAAATTTGTCCTCTATACTTTCTCCAGATGACTGGTCCATAAACTCCTCGGCTGCGAGTACTTTTGAAAGCAGGGTCCAACTTTTGGGATTTTCAACTGTTTGTATGTAGTGACACTTAATCCCAATTATTTTGTCACCTTGCTTAGTTGTGCAAATAACTGTAGTCACGTGCACATTATTCTCAAGGACATTCTTAAATGGGGTTTTAAAATTTGGTCTGATCTATTAAGGAAATAAATATATCACGAAATTTAAAATAAGTTAAATAATAGTAATGATGTACATAAAATAAAGTAATAATATAAAAACTAGAGGCTCACAGTAGTATTAACCGTGTTATTTAAGCGTCTGGCGAGTGTCACTCGGTCTGGTAGGATCAATCGTGGGTTAAGGTCGTGTATTAAATTTCTAAATCCCAACCCATTGATAAATGAATAGGGCAGGCCATCAACTGAAATCAGATCTTGCAAATTTGAATCAAACAAAGCTTGAATAGGGTCGGATTTTGAATATCCAGCTTGAGTGAAAGTAGACAATTCTGGAATGGCAGGATTCTCTTTTTTAGTCTCCAATACAACATCTTTATGAGACAACTATAACCAAGAATAAAATTAAAACCACGTCAAATTGTATGGCTAAATGACCTACAAAGTACAGCTTACTTGGAAATGCCGATTTCCATTGGTTTTGAAATTGTTTACGTCAAACGAGTAGAATTTACTACGACCCATTTCCGAGCATCGTTTGCAAGTTGCGAAGAATCTGTTGGACATTTTTTCATGACCGAGGTAGTTAAATTGGTTTTCGAATAAAAATTGAAATCGTGGAAAACTTTCGAATCCGGGTTGTTTAACAAGATTTTGTGAACCGGTAGCATCTTGGCCATCTTCAACGTAATTATCAAGTGGCTTGGAGAGAAGCGCCCGAACACTGTCTTGGGTTGTTTTCCTTTTTGACTTTATCCGTTGTTTCTCAGACTGATTGATATCGCTTTTTCTGGCCTTTTGCTAGTTGGACACAAATTAAAAATAAAATATGATACCAAAAAACTTTAATTAGAAATGATTGATACTTACATTATTTTTCTCTTGTGTAGAATGGCAGGTTGAAGGTGGTAAATAATCTGGATCGTAGTCTAGTTGAAAAGTATCTTCACTTTCAGTTTCAATCAAAAAATCGGTCTCCATTTCTTGTTCGAAGTTGACCTCAGACTTGATTGGGACCCCATTTGGAGGACTAGGAGCAGGATATTCGGCAGAGTCTGTGGCTTGTGGAAATGAAAGAGATTGTCTATCTGTCAAACAAATAAGTAAAACTAAATAAAATTGTTAAACCAAAATTATGACGCATATATTTGCACAATTTGCAATGTAAAATTACCTCGTCGCCGAGAATGTGAATTAATTTCTTCATATTCGTATTCGGGCGAAAGTGGGTCTTCCGAAGGAAAATCTGGAAAATAACAATGACTTTTCAAATTTATAATTACCAAAGCCATAACATTTAACTTCAGAATATTTATTTAGTCAATATTTCATCTTGAATAAAATGAGGAAATTTAATTTACCAAAGTTGATGCTTTCCGGAAAGTGTGTCCATTTCGCCAATTTTGAAACGATACTTTCCAAATACGCCATTCTGTCTCCCATGTCGAATTTTTATAGTTTTAAAATCAATTTTTGTAACAAAATATTTAATTAGCAGTTCAGTTGATAAAAAGTCCCGAAACTGTCAACTGTGAATGTCAATACGGCAAATTTTGACTCGCTCCACTTTCGTTGTCTCACTGACAAGCTCGGCTTCACAAAACGAGATATTTTTGTATGAAGAATTTTCATTCAAAAGTCACATTCATTTGATTTCTGAATTTCTATTCATATTCATTCATTTTCTTTCATGCATATTCACTCAGTTTTTCGCCCTTTCATCGAACAAATTTCTTAGTTTTTCTTTTGTGCATACATACATACATATACAGAGATTGTAGTAATTTATAGTTAGATATGTACCTATCTTATGATAATCATGACCATTCCGACTGAAAATATCGATTAACAGAAATCCTTAATATTAATATGTATTTTGTTTGAAATACGTACAGATATATAGGTTAGGTGTATGTGGGTATTATTCAGTGTTCCTTTTTGTGCTCACAATATTATTTTTATATGGGCATAGTGCATAAAAGTGATAAAATGCACATATGTAAATGCATAAAATACATGAAATGCAATTTTTGTAGGAAATTTCATATTTTGAAGAAATTTTATATTTTCCGTTGAAACAGTTTGTAAATCAAATCTGACTTTATGTGTCAAATAATCCTGTCGCATATCTCTATTGTATTTTTTCTTATGGTTAACAAATAAAGTTATTTCGTGAATAGTGTTATACAAAATTACAAATGATTCATTTTGTAGGTTTAATATTGTTGTGATGGGTGGACAATCATAATGCATGCACAGATATTTATAAATTCTATGAGCATGAATTGCCTATCTCTAACCATCCATCCCTGCATCTTAATTCATTATCATGTCACTCATTACGGATGTAACTAAATAAATTATCAATGAAAATAGTGTACTTTAGACCTGTTGAGGAAGAAAAAACGTTTAAAAACGTACACTTTTATGTCTGACACTGATAAAAAGTTATGTTAGTGCTTAATGGACTTTACCTGGATACGCAGACATTGGTAACTAATGAACTATACGTTGTACGTACGTACATACCAAAGGGAGGGCGGCCTGGTGGATACGAATTTGACCTTGAATAACCCCGGAACGGTTTGTCGTAGCGGGTCAAAATTTTGAACAGACGAGCATGTTATCCTCAGATAGTTGTGTGCAAAATTTCAGCCTTCTACTTTGAAAAATGCCTGCCCCACAGCCCCCAGAAGCTGAGACAGTCATTTCAAATAGTTCCAGAAAAAATCTCGCCCGTGTTTGCAAAAAATTTTATTTGAATATTCTGTTGAGGAATAGAAGTGAGCTATTGGTGACAATTGACGAAGAACTATTTTCCCTACAAGTTACTAATTGGGTTCGTAGAGCTTACTACACGACAAATGCCGAAAAAAAATTCAAGAAATTTGGTGCTTTTCAGTGAGGAGAACTTTTTTAAACAGTTGATGGTCGTGGGTGCAATGTCCTGTCGTGGTGTCCTCCCACTTATCAAAGTCCCCCAAAAAGTGAAGGAATCTTCGAAGTATTATGTGGACCTTGTACTGAAACCACTTTTAGAATACAATTTTCCTAATTTGCACGGTAAAATAATAATTAAGGTGATTTTTCATCATGACGGAGCGTCCTCCCAGACGGCAAAGTTGACCCAAGATTATGCAAATGACCTTGAACCTAGATTGGGGATAAAAATCATTTGGAATAGTGAAATACCTATACAATCCCCTGATATAAGTCAAATCGACTTGTTTGAGTTCGGATAGATGAAAAGAAAATCTTTCTGTGGGGACCGAATTTTTTAGACGGAGTTTGGAAAAAGTTGAAACGAGTGTCTCAACTTCTGGGGGCTGTGGGGGAGGCATTTTTGAAAGTAGAGAGTTGAATTTTTGCACACAACTATCTGAGGATAACATGCTCTTCTGTTCAAAATTTTGACCCGCTACGACAAACCGTTCCGGGGTTATTCAAGGCCAAATTCGTATCCACCAGGCTGCCCTCCCTTTAGTAATGAAATTATCCATTGTGTATAATCCAAGAGCTACTCCAACTAGTCACACTTTATCATGGACATATATATTTACATATTTACTAGTAATCATGTATGTATCAAACCATACATACATATTCAGCTGGCTTGAGTCATGATACAGCAAAAATTTGTCAGTTATTACCACGACCTTGTGTGATGTGCATGCATTTATTTTCAGTAGAAAATCCTCCCTTCAAAATATAATTCTGATTAAACTGGGTTTATGTGCACACTTATTCGAAGGTCGAAAGTAGTGTATTCATTTATTGGTCGATTAATCATTTTAACTTGAAATATTTCTTATTGCTGCAGTATTTATTTAGCATTAAATTCAAATCACGGTTATAATGAACCAAGTATCATTTCAAAACAAAAATGTGGAAAATGTACTCAAAATTGGGGGATGCATGGCTGTCTCCTTCCTTTCATATAGATACCTCTCAAAGTGGTATCACAATCTTCAGGTACGCATTGTTTTACTTTAATTTATTACTTTTATGTGTCAATCAATTCAAAATGACTTGTTCAACATAAATTTAGGAAAAACGCAGCATGGATAAAATTCGTAGCAAAAGGCAGAAAGAAAGAGAGGCAGAGTTTTCTCTAGTTCGAGCAAATTACCAATCTACCTTAAAAGAGAAAACTAAATACAAGGAAATTATCTCCCTGAGTTTGCCGCAATTACATAAAAAGCTCTCGGCACGGGAACTTTCGTCTGAAGACGTACTTCGAGCATTCATCTGGAAATCAATGTCAGTTCAGGACGAATTTAATTGTATTACCGAGTTTATTCCTGAAGCAATGGTGAGTATTTAAAATTATCTGATGACTTACAATTTCTAGTTTGATTCCTAGCACTAATTTTATTAATAAACAGGATAAAGCACACGAGCTGGATAGCTTGGAGGGTGTGCGAGGTCCTCTACATGGATTACCATTTTGTGTGAAGGAAGACACCGCAATTGCAACCTATGACTGCAGTATGGGCTGCACCCGGCGATTATACCGGCCCGAAGAGGAAACTGCAGTTATTGTCCAATGTCTTGAAAAGTTGGGTGCAATCCCTTTTTGTAGGACGAATCTGCCCCAAACTTGCATTTCGTTTGGAAGCTGTAACCCAATATTTGGGAAGACAGTGAATCCATTAAATACAAAGGTGGGTCCGGGTGGATCCAGTAGCGGTACGGGCTGTCTTGTTGCGGCGGGTGGCGCACCGTTCGGAACCGGAAGTGATACCGGGGGTTCGTTAAGGTTTGCAACATTTTATTTGGCGTGACACCAATCTGCATAATATTCATAATATAATAATTCATGTGTTAGATCACCGGCACATTTTTGCGGTCTTTCAACTTTGAAGCCCACTTCGACCAGGATAAGCAGACGAGGGTGTACGAAATGCTGCGATATGTGTCAGTTCTTTAATTGTCTTAATGATGTATTTTCAATATGATTAAGATCATTCAGAGAAATTTTATATTACGTATATGTATAGTGCCAGGAATTCCGGGAATTTTGACAAAAACTGTTGAAGATCAAGTCATAGTTTTCCAGCCTTTGATGGAGAATTTCTTGCAAAATGCTATGGACCCATCCGTAGCTCCAATTGCGTGGAATGATTTAGTAAAACAATAATATTTTACGCTCTTTAGTTTCCCAATTGAGATTGTTTTATCACTTTTAAGATGTTCAAATCCAATGATGAACTTCGGATTGGGTACTTTCTCGAGCTACCAATGTTTCCTCCAGTTGGAGATACTAAACGTGCCGTTTTAGAAGCAAAATCCTTCCTCGAATCGAATGGACATACTCTCGTACCTTTCGACCTGCCTGTCGACGTGGGAAACACCTTCCTAAAACTTCCATTTGATTCAAACATAAAACAACGATTTCACGACTTGCTCAACAATGATGAAATTGCAGACTGCATTAAAAATGAGGTGGACTCCTGCAACCGGGCTGATGGGTGGGGAATTTGTTCACGAACAAAAACAGCACCAGTTATTCCGACAAGGGAAGAATTAGTGCATATATTTTTGGACAAGATGAACAAAGCTGAGATTGATGCCATAATTTGTCCGGTATTGCCATTCCCTGCTGTCCAGGATGTGCAATTGTATCCCGGTAATTTCCAAATTTTATGAAACTTAATAAGTTGAATTTGATTACTGAGATAATGGGATTCAATTTTGTGCAGGAATTGTGGGATACACGATAATGTGGAATTTACTGGACTTTCCTGCCGGAGTTGTGAAAGTTTCGAAAGAGCGTGGGTTCGAGTGGAAAACATCCGTAGATAGTATGAACGTTTCTCATGAGATAAAACGAAACTTATTAAAGGTATGAAATTTTAAATACTGATATTTACCTTAAGTTTGGGAATGCAAATGATAATTTTTACTTCGTAAAATTCCCCAGAATTTGTGTGCCAGTGCCGGCATGCCAATTGGGGTTCAAGTAGTTGGGAAACCATTTCAGGAAGAAATGGTTCTTAAAGTGATGATGGAGTTGGATGAAATCAATAATCCTTAATAATTAATAGTAAGTCTGAATACATATGGGAATGTAAAATTGTGTGCTGAAATAAAATATTGAAGTGTGTTCTTTGTTTCGTCTTATATATTTGAAATTATATTGAATTTAGGGACAGTTAGGGATAGTTACATACAATTAGTTATGTTTCGTTATATGCATATCCAGCATCTATCATATTTTATTTTGAAAAAAACTACACCGTTAAAAATGACCGAGCAAAACCGATTAAATTTATTTAGAGTCCGTACATATGTACATAAGTATACATCGCATCATTATGTTTGCAAAGTTTATGTATGTAGCAGGCAAGCAAGCTACACAGGAAAAGTTGCATAACATTTTTTGCATAGTTAAATTTAGACCGTCGTCAGACCAATTGAACTTACGTAAACATCTTTTACGTAAGATTCCTATATTAAAATAATCATTGACATGGTATGATAAAATACCAGAAAAAACCAGAGCAGGACACGACCTTATAAATCCCCTCCCCTTTGCACTTTTTACTTTTTATTCTCGACATGAATCCCCCGAACCCGGACCCCGAAATTGACCCCGAAAAAAAATCAACCCCAACAATCAGAAAGGACATGCTGATTGGAAACGTCAAATTGTTTGCAGGGTAAAATGAGCATGCAAGTTATTTCGCAATCAACTTGTCTCAATTGAATCATTGATGTTTCTCTTTGTCCAGTACAAACTCCGAGTTGCAATTTCGCATGACTTCATGAAATCGGCAATCACTGGCTGGCTGGCTGGCTCTGTAGAGACTAAAATCACAATGACCTTTACATAAGAATTTCTTTGCTAAAAAGAAGGCATATCTTCCAATTTGTGTTGTATGTACCTATGTATTTACTATTTAGGTTTTTGACAACACAATATTTACATACATGTATTCCAATCCTGTTATGTAGCTGTTACAATATGTATTGCGAGATGTTAAATATGTATGTAACTTAAATATTTGTAACTCAATTGTAAAATTTAGTTTGAATCATTGTCTGAGATTTTCAATATTCAAGAAATGGATTCCGAGCTGAATAGTGCCTCATAGAAAATAGGAAAACAATCTTAACTATAATTCATTGTTGCTCAATTCCTGAATACCAATTATCACTTCATGAAGCAGGAATCCAATTTGTCATTACGAACGTAAATGATCAAGCAAATTCGACAAAAAATAACACAAATTATCAAATTATCATTCTTTCTTTATTTACTTGACAACGATGTCGACCTGTAGTTTTAAGTATTTCACAGTAAACTTAATTAAACGTATTCCACACCGTTTCCCATTTTCTCTCACGAAACAGTATATTCACTTTACTTATTTAAATATGGCTAACATCGGATGCGGATATATCATATTTAATGATCTCCTTAAGTTTAAATAAGTCTATAAACCTGGAATTTTAACTCGTACATACGCAATATAAATATGTAGGAACAAATTGAATCTCTTTTGTTTAAGTACTGACTTGTTTGTCAAAATTTACGAATTTTTTTGCGACCGAATCAAATGGGCGGAACGGCAGGATGATGTAGTTTCCCATGTTTTGAGAACATCGAGCCGAGATCACTAACAGCGACGGGACAACAGTCCGCATTAACGGTGGGAAACAAGCTCCGGAAGATGATGAAGAGACCGAAAACCATTAAAATGAAGGAAAATCCTTCTTTTATTCCTTTCCAGGTTTCTTCTCCATTCCACGGCCAGAAGAATTCACAACGTATCGTTTCGTAAGCGTCTGACCAGAATCTGTAATGAGCAGAATGCATGATTTGTTTGGGGAGATCTTCAAATTTCGGAATAGAAATGAGTTCCATACCTAATGAGTAGGTTGGGACTTGAGGTATCGTCCTTGAGCACCAGTTTATTATCTAAGTTGAGATTTGGTTTGATTGGTCCGAGTAAATGTTGGAGTAATTGGGTAGGTCGGTCAGGAAAATCGGGGTTGAAATCGCCCTCGTGGTTTCCGTTACAGATCTGTCGGGGATGGAAATTGTGGATTAATTGTTGCAGTTTCAATGCGATGTTTATTTTTTAGATTTACAAATCACAGGGAATTTAAGGTTGTCATGACAACACGAGACTTACTTAAGTTAGTTGTTAAAATCCTATTTATGTATGCTGCTTGCATTATTAATTAGTTACGAAATATGTCAGTGTTACGTAAGTTTTTAGTCAGCATCATATATGTATTTACATGAAGGGAAAATAATGCTCATAAATTTTTCACCTTTCCGTTGTTATTATTTCCATTTCCGTTTCCGTTTCCATTGTTCCTCGTCGTGACAGAGTTTGATATCGAGTAGGTTATACTATGCTTATCAAGGAGTTTCCTGTAATTTAAGCATGGCTAATTTTCAAGTTAGAATTTGCACTAAAATTGTCCCACCTGGCAGACTGAATATCCTTGTCTTTTTCGGAACAGATATTTCTCAAAATGTGCACGTACAAAACCATGACTTCAATCATTTTGTAAAGGCGGACTTGCACATCCATCATCCCAACTCGCTAAAATTTAGAAAGGAAATTATTACCAGAATTTCCCGACATGACGTAAATACATAAATATTTGACAAGACGTCCAAATACTTGATTAAAAACATAATTGTCCCATTTACCCGAGAAGTTTTGGATAATTCATGCGTATAAATGTCCAAGTCTCCAGGAATGTGTTTGAAGGTTAGGATCAGTTTTGACAGATCCTCAGGCACTTTTGTCTTGCTCGTTATATCGTCAAATTTCTGAAGAAGGAACAATTTCAAAATAATTAAAAATAAATATTTCCTCAAAGCGAGCAATAATATTTACTTTGGTTACACACCTGCACAATTTCAGACAGGGATTCAATAATGTCTTCCACTTTGGTCGTGGCGTGATCATGATTGGATAGATTAATTTCCTTCCTTTGAGTTAAATTTGAGTGTTCCACTTTGAAAGTGTGGGCTAAGTGGTTAAATCGAGTCTGGAAATAATTGCAAATTAAGTTAATTAAATACTAACTTAATTTAAGTTTCATTAAAACTTATTTAGCTTACCGAAATAATTTCTAAGTCGAATTCGGCCGGACTGAAAGCAAATTTGAGAATGATTTTAAATCGTATTTATAATTATGAAATTTAGACAAAATAAGTTAACTATTAACTTAAAAGACTACCAGATTTGGTAATGTTATGGTAAGTATTATCAGGTCGTGATAAAAGATAAATAAACCAGTAACAACCAATTCGGTAATACAAATATAATCACCAATTGGTAACACAGGGCTACCACATTATTTAGAGTGCATCCATTTTATCACTGCATCGCATCACATACATACAAATATGTATCACTGTGCTATCGGTAGACAGATTTATCTGCATGAAAATAAATCCGTACTTAAAATATTTAAATTACTTTTTCTGAGTTCGCTTAATAACGTCTAAATCCTCAAATAGTTTTTCGACTAGGCCTGGAAATTTTTCTAAGCATTCCTCCGCTTCCTCTTCCAGATCTGGACCGCATGCCAGTCCACGTAGACAACCCGATTCGACAGGGAGTCCACCTTCCACGTCATTCGAGTCTTCCTCATTTCCCTTGCGGTAATCCTATTACGACATAAAAAAATAATGAGGTTTGTCAATCATTGTGTAATTGTAGAATGGCGCAGTAAGTATTTTTGCAAAAATTTACATCTTTGTCTTTTTTATCCAAGTCTAACTTGAGCGTCCTCCACTCCTGTCTCGATAATAGTCCCGCTTCTGCCTCAGATATTCTTCGGACAGGGTCGTACGCGTATCTGTGTTGTGGAAAAAATAGTATGTTTGCGAATTTTTAGCAAGTTAAAAAATTTGCAATTATGTAATTACTTAATCATATGCTCTCTCCGAGAGTCGGGAATGACACAAGCATCAGTCTGATTATAGCTGGGTAGCGATGGGCCACAGGAACTTGCACTTCGACCGTTGGAACGCTGTATGAAATTTTTGATTACATTATTTATTTGGAATTTGATAAGTAAGAAGATAAATTGTGAACCTTTTTCTTGGAACCATTTTCATTTTCTGTCCTGCGAGTAGAGCGACCCGGGCAACTGAGAACTTCGAGGTGATCGTGACCATTGTCGTCATTTACGGGAGTTTTGTCCCCTCCGTCAATATTAGTTATTGTCTCCTGGGAAAAAGTTGCAAAAAATATGCTGATTTAATTTGCATACAAAGTATCTGTATGACACAAAGTTCAAAGTCATTTGCATGATGCAAAAAGTTTTTTGCAAGAAATTTTGAAAATTTTATGCTATATTGATCTCCAAAGCTAAAAATTTCTAAATATCTGCATGTACCTGTGAACTTGACCCCTCCAACGGTGTCCAATACGTCGGAGACGACGGGTACGACAACGGGGAACCAAACGTGCCATCACTCACAAACGACATGGAATCCGAATCCCCATTTCTGCCCCGTCCACCACTCCCCGTAATTTGCAAGGGTCTCTCCAAACTGTTGTACACGCTAGAATTCACACTCCCCGGTAATGAGCTGACCGCACTTTTAAAGTCCGTCTCCGTGCTGGCAGCGTCATCAATCTTTTCCCGAGAATGGTTGGAATTTGAGTTTGAGTTGGAATTCGAGTCCGGGAGGAGAACATCTTCCTCATGAGCGACCGGTGACCTGACCAATTTCGCCTTGCGTCGATTTTCCCCAAGTATGCTGGACATTCTGCGATGACCCGACCCACCCGGGCTTGTCTCGACTTCCTGGTCAGATTCTTCCAACACGGTGGGGAGGTTTATTGTCAATCGGTAACTGTGGATTGGAATTATGCAGAAAGCATGTTAAGTAATCTGGGAGCAAAATACAGATATATGATTTTTGCACATTATGTAAGATTTGCAACCGAGAAAACTGCACAATGCTGAAATGTCTGGCGCTTACAATCAGGTGTTGCAAGAGGAAATCCAAATGCATATCGACTGTGATTGCAATGTACAAGTAAGGACATAAATAAATGCGAATTGTATGTTGCGAATGAGATACATAGACATGCATACATATTGAAAGTAAGTCGATACGAATACGATACGACGCTCTACTGTAAAAGTAGTGCCACTTGACTGCTGCCACAGTGTATTAGCAAATTTAACCATAACCGGGTCTACAAACACAAGAGATTAAAACTTTACGCTGGCTGACTAACTGACTGACTTAACTTGGTCACACTGGTTAAGTAAACTGGTGGTTGGTGCGAGGATATGCAAATATATGAGCAAGATATGTATGTATCAAACTTGTTGCGGGTGAGAATTGGCAAGGAATAGCATTACCATAGTTGGTCGGGTATTGACTAACTTTTAGCATGACTTAAAGTATCGGTAAAGTACATACATACATGTGATGCTGTATTAGGTGTAAATGTGTACATATGCACGTAGTCGTAGCCGTATTCCGGATACCACAACACTAAACCGAGTTAAATTATGTATACATGACTCTTAATATCACATATTTATTTTTCAATTGAAGCAGCCGATACATAATTTGTTGAGAGTCGTGTTATCTTTGGTGTGGTAGGGTTCATTTTGTGTAGTACCACTTAAAGTTATTAATAAAGTTATGGTGTGGTTATTGTATTACATATGAGTGTGGGAAAGCTTGATGAGAGATGGGCCTAGAACTTTTAAATTGTTCGATAAATGCCTACATATACTTATGTACATATGTATGTACATTGTACACAATTATTTATGCTTCTAGCACCCATATTTATGAGTTGGTTAGTCGACGTATGAATATGAATCTAATTTGTCGTAGGCTTAAATTTTTACGTAAATAATACTGGTTGTATGAGTATCTTAAGCTTCGTGTCGTGCCTATATGTATATTTACATGAATCTCACAAATATGTATGTATGCATGATAAATTAGGATGGATGGCGAGGAGTAAATAATACGTGCATGTAGAATCCTGCACGCTAGAACTGTTTGATCACGTCTCATCTCAATGTCAAATTAGGGATGCATCTCAATAATTAGAGAGATTTGGGTCGAAGCTGAAATCAAATCCGTTTCGGTTTGGCTTCAACATTTTACGAAGCCAAGCCAAAACAGATTGTCTTGGACGAAACAGGTTTGGCTACAAGCTAAATTGATATCAGCTTGGCCAGCCCGCAAAATTTAAACTTTGTTGACATTCAAATTGTGTTTACATTTCTTCCTCGGTGATAAAATTAGTTAATTTTTCGCCCTGGGCTTTAGACACTTCCTCCATGCTTATTTACACTATGGGATGCTATTTCTAATTAGTTAATTGAAGAAAATGAAACTTTTGTAACAAGGAGAAACTGATGATAAATTCTTACATGTGTGAGATTCCGTTCAAAAAGTGCACGGTACAAGGTGAGACAAAAAACTAGCTCTCTGATTGGCTGAGAGCGAGTTTTGGCGAAGCCAAAACACCAGCTTCGGGAGCCGCTCCCGAAGCCAGAACTTTCAGTTTAGCTAGCGATTCTGGCTTCAAGAAAAAAATAGTGACGTCATCAGTGACGTCACCAAGCCAAATTGGAAGCTAAATTGGAAAAACGCTTCGACCCAAACCTCGCTATTAACTAAATTGTACGCTCATGTATACAAATTGCACAGCAGGGTCGCCGTCGACCATTGCATGACTAACAAATAATCATGAGTTTGTTTGTTCTATATGAAAGAAAGTGATAACCTAACTGAAGAAAATTTTATTTTGCTAACAACGTTGTAGATAAATATGAAAGGTTGGTCACATTATTTACACAAAGTTGATTGTCGGTTAATTAATAATTATGTACATACGTATGCTTTCTCTTGGCAGGGAAAGGTGCATGTGTCCAAGGGGCAAATTAACTACAAACAGCAGAGCCCATTTCGCTCTATTGAAAATTTAGAGTGGGCGTTAGAAAACCATAGGAATTTTGAGCATACATATGTACAATGCACAGACGTAATTGCTTTCTGGTGGTTTCACAATTCCAGAGAAATTTATGTTGTGCAATGCATTCTATTTTTAGTGGACATTTTATTATGAAAAGTTTTTCATTAAAATGAGCATACTAAAGAGAAATTTAGTACGAATCTTGTGTGAAACTATGTTACCACATTGGTAACAATTTATCATCCCAGGATAACAAGAACTGGTAAAAATCTCTTAAATGAGGTCCTCGCTCAGTTGTTGACGTTGCATGGACAGGTTTTTGTGTGTTTCGGTGAAAATTCGCAATTTTAGATGTGAGGAGCTAGGAAAAAATTGCACATGAGATGATTTTTGCAACCAACCTGATATCATCGCTCAATTTGTCGAGATAGTTTCCATCCCCATCTCCATCATCGTCAATAGCGTCCAGCAAACTTTTAGGTGCCGACTGTTGGGCTGAGTTCCGTCGAGAACTTTGTCCGCTTTCACTCATTGATGGATCAGTCTGGGTTGAGCAGGTGACCAAATTTGGCGATGGTTTTTTAGGTGTGAGGTTAGCTTCCGATTCGGCCAGGATTGGGCATGATTGTGTCACGTTGCCCATGCTGAGGGCTGATGTGGAACCGTTGCTTTGCTAGAATTATGAAACAATTCCAATTAGACGAGTGGGACCAATTTTAGGAATTTTAGGCTTGGCACAGGTTCACAAAGGTTACAATTAAGATTGGGTGTACTCACGTCAACCTCGTCCTATTTCGCATCGCAACACATACAAATATAGCAAATATTTTGCGAATAACATTGCGAAATTAAAACATTCCTCTTCGCTGGGTAAATTTGGGAACAAAATTATTTTAACCAAAAAGTTTACAAAGTCTCACAAATTTTGCCAAAATTCGCAAGGTCAAATGTGTAAATATGGTTATCCTTCATAGACATATTTAAAGATCTTTTTTTATGATTCAGAATAAATGTCGTCATGCGAATCTATGTAAAGTGGCTAAAGTAGTGGAGCAATACATCGCCACTATTCGCTACAGATTAAAATAATCCTCATGCTGTTTCAACCTGTTTCATTGAAGTATCATCTGAACAACCCTCGACTTGGTGTATGTACAACATGCATAATTATCAAGTGAAAATAGCATTTGAAACGACTCTTGACATTTCGCTCCCTATTTTCCTGCAATTGCCCGGTTGTTGTGGCAAATGGTTATTCGCCCATCTTATTCTCATCTCGCTTTCAGTTAGAAATTCCATTTATTACCGGATTCCACTTCCTTACCCACAAGAATAATGCTCTCCCTCCACATTTATGTACATATACATACATACGTATCTTAACTCTTATTAACAAACCAAACTGTTGGACTGGGCAAGTCTGAATTTTCCCCTTGTTTGCATCCATGCAAATGCAACTTCTTCTTCCTAACATTTCTCTTCATTCCAGCCTCATGATCACGAAAGCAGGATGAGATTTAGGGAATATGCACTGGCGGCGGAAGGGCCAGAAGGACATGTGGGGACACACGGACAATGTCCCCACGATTATTCGATGTCCTCATCATCTGCCCATGTTATACACACCCCTCCCTTCCCTATCCTACAATGTTACTATCTCCACTTGTCCCCACAGCTTCCGCAGCCACTGGGAACAAGGGGGAAAGAAAATGATGCCATCTTCCTTTCTTGGTCAGCCTCCCCTTCTTGTCCAATTTACATACGGAGGAAAGTCACGCCACGCAGGAACGTAGCACTTCTTACATATTTCTCAAACAATATTTCACTCTCTGAGAACACAAATAATCCGAGACATGTTCCGTCAACGGGCTTAAAACGGTTTTCACGTCTCGTTCACTTTATGACAAGCTTAACTTGGCATCCAAGTTATTATCGAGACGAAAAGGGTTGTTGTGTCCATGCATATGCAGGACATCCATTATCGCCCTAAATGACGACGCGATGAGAGACAAGCCCAGCACGTCATCAGCTTAACGATAAACTGGTAACTTTTAGCGAGTCACAGTCAGTAAGCATTGAAGGGAAAGTTGTGCAGATAAGGATCGGAATTTGGTTTGGAACACAGTATTTAAATATTTTGCTGGCTGACAGAGTCGATGAAAGGGAAGGATTACTGAGGTCAGCATATTTGAATATTATTAAATTATGCATGCAGATTTCTGAGGAAGATTCGATTATAACTGCACAACAGGAATTTGCACACATTTAAATAATCGCGTAACTCACCATAGCGTGGAACAGTTCTTGACTCTTCTTCAGCTGTTGGCGGAATTCGGCTAATTCCTCATTGATCCGTCGCACCATTTCGTCCTGACCGGTGGTGGTGGCGGACGTCGTGGCAGCAATAATCGTCACGTCGGAATCCGCAGCAATTCCAGGATCCAATTTTCCTCCGTCAATCAGAGATCCATTGTCCGTTCCGGAAGCTGCGACGATGTCTGTCACCTCGTTCTCGACTGACCTGCAAGAAGAAAATGGAGATGGTTAGGTTATTGATTTTTCGGAAATTTTGATTAAGGTGAAAGTGTTATGTGGTCATTCTTTGGGGAAAATGATAACGATTATTATTCGCTTGGGTAGGACGCAAAATGGTGGAAAATTGGGCATTGTGTAACGTTTCTGATAAGATTTTGTTCTTTTTGAAAAATGTGAGATAATCAAGCTGGTGCTATTTTCGTGTATTGGGGCGGAAAATTGCAACAATGTGGTGGCATGATTGGTAGAAAAAAATTGTGAAATTTGACGGAAGACGAATTAGTTCAATTTGTATCAAAGCCAGTAAAGATCTGCATTAAGTAAGATTCAGCATGTGTCCATCTGGGAGAAAAAGGCGATTTCTTTCAAGTAACTTCTATGAATCGGAGTGAAACAAGGCGGAAAATGCTATCGGAAATGATCCGATTCTTGAACAATGAACAGATTCTAAATTGAAAAGTAAGCCTTTCCCTTGAAAGAGACAGAGCCTGGCTTCATTCATTTATCCCCTTCTTACACGTCGCTCAGGTCGGTTTCCGTATCAGTAATTCCCTTAAACATCGCTCGGTCTTCTTTTCACTGTTAAAAAATGTATACAGAAAACTGGGAAGTAAAGAATGATCCTGTACGTATGCACATAAGGATTTGGTTGTCTGCAGCTTCCTTCCTTTCGCCCACTCTCTTTCCGTACTTCCTTCCGTTCACTATGTATGTACATATGTACGAGACATGAACTTTGACTGCGGAAACTGTGCGAGCATTCGGGGACATTAATATTATGGAAACATTGAAGGGAATATTGAAATTTCTGAGCTTTTGTAAGGACATGTCCCTAAGCTCTGCGGACCCTGAATATCGGTGCATGTATTTACATGCCACATGAACACATTCTGTACATATTTACATATGTGTGCAGAAATGCATTTTGTAGCGAACTAGAACATTATGGGAACATTGAAATTTCTGAGTTTTTTTGGAGGGACATGTCCCAAAGTTCCGCGGACCCTGGACATTTCTGTACATGTCACATGCATGTACATACTCGTACGCTGGTTTGTGTGTAGAGTTACATTTTGCAGCGTACAGTGAATTAGGCACGTATTTACGTATACACATGTGTATTACGTGCCTAGATCTACGGTGTAATTAGAAATCTACATACTTCTCCTGAAATAAAACGGAACATGGGAAAACACTGCATCGGAGAAGGACACGGAATGACGGAAATTGAAGTAAAACCAAACCACAGGATCCCATTTTCATCCGAACTACCCAATTCTGCATGGCGCTCGGTGTGACGTTGTATGTAACCTGGTGACATGACCATTTGAACTTTCCAGTTTTGCCAACTCCACTGACATTGCGAAGGGAGAGGAGATCAAGACTTTCTTGGCGGAATGTACGCAAATACATCATCACTCCAGGCGGATGAGCCATGTTTGCATAAAATATCTATTCTGCAATTTTCTTGGACGAAAACGAATGTCAGGTTTTAAAGGTATAATAAATTGCCATTTTGTGATCTTTCACCTTTCCAAGGTAAATATGCAAATATCTGTATTGGTTAAAACCCACGAAGCAATGGACATTGTACTAATTTGAGTAAATAGTTGTAGTTACATTATAAAAATTTATGTAAATTTATGTAGTGAAATTTCACTATGTTATTTAACTTCATAGCTTATCACGTCAGAAACTGGTGTACATTTTTAGAATGACATTTCGTAACTTTATAAATACGTCGTATTGACAAACGGATGCAGAATGACATTTGCTTAGGAAGGAACCTGAGAATTTGATTTTGTTTGCGAATATTTATTCCACCTCGGGGATACTGCAGAACAATAAAATTCGCAAACAAGAGAGAACAAACTCTTGACTTTTTAGAGGTATCTAGGATAAAGGAAAATGAGATAAAAATTCAGACTGGATTTACCCCGTGAAGTGATAAAGAGACGACGTGCCGAGTGGAAGTGTGTATTAAATTATTCTCAGCAAAACGAACCAGATGCGGGGGCATGGAAGCCAAAATTGCGATACACGTTTTTCTTGCATAAACCTGGTGTCGGATTGAATAAAAAAGATTCCTAACTTGTCTCGTAACTTGTAATTCCTCGCGAGAAAGTCGTTTATTGTTTAAAGAAAAGGCGAAACAAAATCATGCAAGTTTGAAACTTGATGCCGAGCACATGTATGTACATAAATATCGCATTCTTGGGTATGTCTCGTCATAAAATGAAAGTTTTGTTGTTGGATAAGAATTTAAATATGAGTTTGAAGATGGGCTTGTTGTCGAGGAACGGATGACACATCTGTTGACAGTGAAGTTCCAAAATGAGTCGTAAAACTTTAATAGCAATCCAATCGTTGGAAGAAAAAGTATGGCAATTTCATGGTACAGTGGGCACAATTTCATTACGCATAGAAAAGTGGCGTTTTGTATACTAAATATATAGATATATGTACACAAGTTAGGTATTTAGATACATAACTTCATGGAAAAATGTACTATTAGTAAAAAAAATATGTATATAACTTGTGAAGGTATTTTTTGCAAATTGCAGACTATAAATAAAGATCTCCAGCCTGTTTTGGGAATGCTAATCTACATTTAATTTCATTTATTAAGTGGATGTAGTATTTTGTCCATATATGGCTGGACCCAAATTTGCCATTTTTTAATTAAACCTTGCAAAAAACATGTCTTCCAGTAAATATGCTTCCATGTCGTGCGAAATTCTGGTACAAAGTGTTTGCCTGAGGTAAATTGAGACTCTTTGAATGAGCAAGTTACTCGTACACCCACTTTCAGGAACTCGTTAATGCTTTAATGTTTCATGATGAAGCTGCATTGCACACTCAACCGTTAACATCTCAATTTGTGGATATCGGACCGTAATGATTCGTGCAAATGGAGGATCCTTTCATGTCACCGTGTCAAAAGAACGCCAGACTTGCTTCCATTACCGGACAAACTTCTACCTCAGCAATGTCAACAAAGCTTAGCGAAACTTGTCACAACTTGCAAATAAATAATGAGTTAAAGGTTTGCTCGAGGGGAAAAGCAAGTACATACAAAACTAAACTGGAAACAGACAAACTATTTATCCAACATTTTCATGAGTGGTGGTGTCGTTCGTTTTCATACAAAATAAATGGTATCGGTTCTGCATTACCTGGAACATTAAATGTACAAACTTTGCGTGGAAACTGGCTATTAATAGATAACTATTTGTATTTGCACTCTAAACAATAGGTACAAATCTCTTATCGAGCATATCTAATACAGATGTATGTACAATTTGGCAATTTGTGGTCGTAATTCGACATGCCATGGCAAATAATACTTATTTTCCGCGAAATTTAAACTTTTTTATTGAAAGCCGGCAGCAAGTTATCACCAAACTTGGTACAACTTGTTTGTTACCGAATTATTCACAGTGTACTTAAGACTTCATGGATCAAATTGTGCTTTCACACAGACACGAAAGTTGGTAATAATAAACCGAGTAAAATACTCGGATTCATTCACAAAGAGAAAGATAAGCAGACCGAGATGATCCATAAAGTGGAATGATGTGGTACTACCGGATGAAAGGTGGCGTTAAGCCGGCATAATTCCGCGAACCTACCCTTCGTAAAACAGTGCTCTAAATACATACATAAATGCGAAATGGTGTAATAAAATAATGCTAGGAAACCGAATTCCTCTCCTCATTTCAGCGAGTTGATGGATGAAAGGGATCACGATAATTGGAATTGAATGCAGCTTCCTCTCAAATTAAGTTGAGTTGTTATCATTGACACAAAAAAGGGAAAAGCATCCCCAAAGAGTTACATCCACAGACGACTCAACCCCATTTACTTTTTATCTAAATAACTTCATCGTACAGGAAATTGTATGTTTTCCGGGAAAACTGATGGACTTTTATGCCATCATATCTATCCCTTTTGTGAAGAAATTGGCGAATGCTTTTCAAAAACGATATCTTGCATTACCATGGAAACGGGGGAATATGACGCAGAATTTCGTTTAATGGGATCAAAGTCAGTTTCCGGATCAATTTAGCTCGTTATTCGACGTCATGTCTGCCTGAAGCACTTTAACCGCATATATGTAGATTTTTGAAATATGGGTTTGAGAGGATGTAGAAATAAGTTCTGAAACATATTTTCCAATTCTCTGTAAGTATGTAGCTGACAAAGGGAAATTTTGCGGTGAAATGTTGCCTACTTAAGTGTATGCAAGTTATGCATTAAATTTCGATATTTCCTGCCTAAGAATTTCGTACCTAAACTACCGTCCAATACAGAATTGGGACACTCCTTACATTTAAAATTCATCCCCAACATACAGAACTGTGAATTTACAATTTGTCAATAAACAAGTCCAACTTCAGAATGTTTCTTAAACTGTGGAGCGAATCCATCCACAAGATTTAGTAATACACCGAAAATACCGACACCACAATCCAAATCTAAGCAAACACTTACATCCGTCATTTCTTCGCGTGTGGTTAAACCACAGCCACGAGTAACGATAAGATACGATACGATACATAGGGTGCACTTTTCTTGAGGGGAAGATTATAAATATGAAAATATTCCCAATATTTACGCTACACCCAGATCCCAACCCTGTTTTCTTTACTTTAAAAACATGATTTGTTGCTTGGCAGAAAAAAATTGAAAGGACAGCAATTACTCGGCTAAAGGTGGAGGAGGAGGGGAACTCCGTGTTTTCGACGCATAACGAGAAACACGCGTCGCCATTCATTTCATTTGGTGTAAATTGTATATTTACATTCTTTCCGAGAAGAAGAACTAGTCGTAGAGTTTTTTTTTAACTGGGAAGTTACTTGGTGATACGTGTAATTCGGAACTTCGGAGTTGTGGGTGCCGTTTGTAGTTTTTTTTTGTGCTAGGAAAACGATATATATTTCTGGGGGATACAAAATTATGAATTTTTTTTTTAATTCTTCTGGTGCATGTGTATTTTTGATGAATTTGTTATGCGAAATTTTCCCGAATGCAAAAATTTAACTTGATGCAAACTAGATAAATTGTAAATAAATATGTTTTCATGAATGAAGTTAAGTGGATGAGATTTTGTGATATAAATAAGCGATAAACTATTTATGCATGTGCACAGATTGGTGTTTTTCTTGGTAAACTTTTGTAAACAAAAATGATACACTTTTTTAATGACACGAACTAGTTGACAGACTCCTGGCATATGGAAATCTTTCCTATTTAGCGTCTAAACTTAGACGGGAAAAGTTTCCACTGGAAAGTTTGTAGCTTGAGCAGCAATTTAGAAATTTAAGTAGAAAAGCACGCCTTTCCGAGTGTAATTTACTTTATTCAAAACTTCGTCGAGGTGACATACATAGTTTTGAATAAATTCGAAAGTTTCTAAGCAGCAAATAAACTAAGCTGTCAACTAGTATTAAATATTTGATAAGTTGCAAGGTGAAGATTTGAATAAACAGCTCAGAGAAGCAGTAACCTTGCAAATTCTAATCTCGTAAGATATTTATGCACAAGTAATTTAATCCGGTGCTGATTTATGGTAACAAATTTTCACAAAATATGTATGCCATCTTTTCTTAACCTTGAAAACGAGTGTAGATTAACACTTGAAAGCTAGATAATAAAGTCAAACTTTACTTCGTTTTCCACTAAATCTCGGTTTTAGCGAATAATTCAGTAACAAATTTTCACAAAATTTCAAAGTTTTTGAAATGTAAAATACCTAATTCGAGACCACTTATGCCAACAGAATTTTGTTAATATACCGACCGCACTAAAATTTAGTCCCTTCCTACGCGAATCTGGATACCACATCCAACTGAAATCTTACTCTACTCAGAAATTTACTAATTCTCCAAGCCAACCACTAAAACTTTCACCAGGTGCGGTTTTACCCTACATATTTCCTTCCTGTGCAATATCTCACAGAATCTTAGCAGAGATCTTGAGGACACGCGAACCTGCACCACTTTCTCCGCAATTTGCTCCTTCAGTGACAAATTCGTCCCAGCGGCGAGATAAAATCTCGTGAATTATCCATTTCTTTCTTTTCATTTGATATAAAAAGAATAAAAATCTTTTTCCTTCCTCCACCACTAAATTCCGTCATCTCAAGCTCTCAGAATTGACGTCATTTCATCAACACTGCTAATGCAGCCAGCATACTCACAAGTATAAGTACCATCTGCGTCAGATTGTGCAATCAAAGCCCACAAAGTAAACCAAGTCAGGCAAAAATCGCAAATAAAAAAAGGAAATCGCTCGCTTTTCGCAATAATGAGACAGCTTGAAGAAGAAGAAGAAGAAAGTATCTAAAAAGGAAAAATATTGTCCAGTCGAGCATGGAAGAAATACTCGGAGGGTTAATATCGTTATGTGTGCAAGTCGATATGTTACAGGGTCCCTTTTTCCAGCAAGGTTCCAACCTCTCGTGTTTTTTATGTAATGGAGTTTTGTCTCGTAAAGCGGCACGTGTTTTTAGTGTTTTATTTTCTTATATTTTTATTTCTTGGTATAAAAGTGATACAATTTTCAGAATAAAATGCGATACAATTTAATCGTCGAGTATATAGAACGGGTGCTTTTCATGGGTACGACGCATTTCGAAATTCATATTTTTTTGAAAAATTTATAATTTTGTGCTAATTCTTACTCGATGTTCTACAGATTTCTCTTGTTACTTAGCACGAAAAAACACATGTCTACAGAAAGTTAGGCGTTGTTTATAAAAAAACACGTCTTAACAACCCTGGTCGTACCTACAAGGAGCACCGCATTTAGCGAAAGTTGCAGGCCTCCTCCTGCATGGTTAAGAGGGAGGAAAGTCCTAACGAGGGAACGATGTGGATGAAAAACTTTCCCAGCGGAGAAAGTGTGGTTCTAGACGAGGGAACTGGTGAGAGAAGCGGCTTCCTTGCATTTCAGTTGGCATTGCAGGCCGGAGTGAAATATCGATCTCATCTTTGGCAATGAGAGGCTGAGAGTTGGATGAGAGTTGGGAGCGAGGGTGCCTCGTAATGGTTCCTCTCCCTTTCCTTCCGCTTTTTCAAGGGTAAGATGTGCACCGACTAACAAAATATTGGGACCTGCTCGTGTACGGTATCTTGATATTTATAGGATTATTATTAGCCGGAGATTCATTTTGCGTATGTAGTGCAGAGATTATTGTTATATGTTGGGCAAAGATAAGTAATTTTGTAAGAAATTGTATTGTTTAGAGAGGTGAGTATACTGAATTTGGTGATAATTTTATGGCCGAATTTATGCTGAATTTGTCAACAATTGGTGACAAACTTGAATTTTATGTATCACCATTTCATGCCAAGATATGACCACATTCGTATTATGCACACTGTTAAAAATCCGGTAGAGTCGTATATACCATACATATATTTTTCATTACCACAACAACAAATTATTAACCGGTAATGCATGCCCGTTATTACCAGTGTCGGTAGAGTCATATGTACTCCGGTCAGTAACGATTTAATCCCAGTTTTCTAAGAGTGTACTAAATAAATCCGCAGAGTCATATTTAATTTAGAGTGTGGAAAAATGGGGTTGTTAGTAAACAATCATCATTATCCACCTCACAATGTAATGATTGTTGTTTGGTCAAACTATCCAAAAAACGTGGTGGTATCGGAGTTCATGTAATGAAAACGAGAACAAAGAGGTGACTACAATGCCATGGCCGAGCTAATCAAGCCAAAGGGACTCGCGAGAGAGAACTCTCATCAAAAATAGATGGACGTGTAAGATCTCACCGTATCGGACTGAGGCAATTTCCCATGGCTGGACTGCGGAGGAAGTTTGCAGTGGTGAGAGACTTTCTCCTCTGTGACCCGATCACCTAACGAGAGTGGAAGGGATGCGAGAAATAGAAATCCGTCAAATTCACTCGGATACAACGGTAATGTGGCCTTGGGACCAATTTTGACAAAAAGGGCGACTGTGTTTGTACCTCTTTTTTGGCACAAAAAATGTGAGCACTTTTTTATGAAAAAAAAAATGCACAACTTTGTTTTTTCTTCGCAAAAACCTGGAATACCACCGATTAAGCTTGGCTTGTCTAATAAAATTTGCGATTTCTTTGCAAAAATCCCGTCTGCGAAAAAAGCTCCGTTCCACTCCGGTTGAGAAAGCGGACTGAGAAAAAGAGAGTCTCAAACCGGGCATTATGTATGTGCAAGTGGAGGGGAAAAGATGCAGTCCTGTACTTTCGGCTCATACCGGTCTGAGAATCGGGCACAAGCGCAACCTGCTTTATAACCAAGTAGAGACAAATAAGTCGCAAGAAGCACTTCTTCACTGACTGACTTTTTGTTTTGAAATGGAAGGGAATGGGATTCTTTATTTGGTCGAATTCTCCATCTCATGATGCAATAAACGTTGGAAAGAATTTGTGCAACAAATATTTCACTCTGGATGGAAATAATAGCCTGTAAAGAGTTGTATGTTTTAGAATAAAAGTAAATAAATCAAGGACAGCGTCTGGGACAAATTGTGTACGCTTCTGTACACAGAAAAATGCAGAGATATGATTAAGCTGGAGATAGGGAGAGAAAATTTTAATGGTCATTGATATGTACATATCAGGGAGGATTTAAATTAGATAATGACATCGATAAATCTGGAAATATTTAGATATCTGATTTCGTAAGATTCTGAAATTTGATTCTAAAATTCTGAAAATCTTGAAGTTTTATTTGCAGAGGACGTTTTAGTCGTAGCGATATAGGCAAATTTCTCTGATAAGTAAATTTCTCCGACTTCCAGCCATCGTGATATTAATGAATCAGTCAGAGCGAACTCACGGGTCACTAATTGCAAGCTGAATTTGATTTCGGGGACGTTCAGCCGAGTGAAAGTTTGAGAACCATCCATTTAATTTTTACACTCGGCTTAATAGAGTGTGAAAATCTCTTAAGAGTAAGAATTAAATGATTCGACAAGCAGATCCGCCGACTATTTCAAAAGTACAAATACTTAATTGGATTATGTTCCCCACATGAAACGAATTAAAACTTAGCATTTTTTCGGGCGCCAAAATTTCCTTTGGGGGGGTTATGAGAATAATGGGAGATAAATGTGGTGCACATAGGGCACAGCATATCTATGAAATGGGTTGATGAAATTTCAAAAACAAAATTTTGTTACACTCTCTGGATCAGTACCCCGATAGGTTTTTCGAACTGAGGTGGAATTCCGACTTTGAGGGGTTTTTCACAGCGACGCAAAATTGACTCAGAAATTAATTTTTCGCTATAACGAAAAAGTATGACGAAATGTTCATACATTAGCTTCTCACCAATTTTTACTACATTGCAAATTATTAGTAGTAGAATAAAGGTTAAATTACCCAGAAAGTCGAAATCGACCTGCGTGACCTTTTTCGGGGATCGAAAGGTCACAATGTCAAAGGTCACATAGCCACATAAATGGGGTATCGTTGGAAAGGTATTGGCGAGAGGATTCAGAATATGTATACTTTGTGGGGTCTGAAACCACTCCCTGCAAACATAGAGCCAAAAGAATATTTTTGAGTTTTTCCCATGCATGCTTCCGTGTTAGCTCCCAATCCACTGCTGTGTTAAATTCTGGACAACTGCCGATTTTCGTTCTTTGGCCTCTAGACTTGCAGGGAGTGGTTTCAGACCCCACAAAGTATACATATTGTGAATCCCCTCGCCAATACCTTTCCAACGATACCCCATTTATGTGGCTATGTGACCTTTGACATTGTGACCTTTCGATCCCCGAAAAAGGTCACACATGTCGATTTCGACTTTCTTTGTAATTTAACCTTTATTCTACTACTAATAATTTGCAACGTAGTAAAAATTGGTGAAAAGCTAATGTATGAACATTTCGTCATACTTTTTCGTTATAGCGAAAAATTAATTTCTGAGTCAATTTTGCGTCGCTGTGAAAAGCCCCTCAAAGTCGGAATTCCACCTCAGTTCGAAAAACCTATGGGGGTACTGATCCATAAAGTGTAAAAAAATTTTGTTTTTGAAATTTCATCAACCCATTTCATAGATATGCTGTGCCCTATGTGCACCACATTTATCTCCCATTATTCTCATAACCCCCCAAAGGAAATTTTGGCGCCCGAAAAAATTGCTAAGTTTTAATTCGTTTCATGTGGGGAACATAATCCAATAGAGTATTTGTACTTTTGAAATAGTCGGCGGATCTGCTTGTCGAATTATTTAATTCTTACTCTTAAGTGGAGTGTGCTTGCATAGTGAAGGATTTCGGAGCTGAATGGATTGTGCAATCCATGGGAAGGAAGGATGCACTCGAATTCTTCCCCAGGGCGGAGATAAAAGCAGGGACACATTTATTTGTTTTGACTTTGTTAAACCGGCAATGCTCCACTTTTCTTTGTGTTACGTAAGGTCTTTATGGATCACTGGAAATATGTATGCTTCATTCTTATTGTTGTGATACCTAATTATATAGGATGGTTTTTGTTAGATGTAATATGCTGATTAAATAAGTTATTGAAATTGCAGAAATTTTTCTATGAAATTATTCATAAATCTATTCTTAACATGGATCTAATATTTGCCAATTACAATTAGATGATGTCCAACAACGAATGATGACTATTTTCATATGTAGGAAAACGAAAGTTTCACAATTTAAATTGATACATGCATTTGTATGCGGATCATAGATAAGGATTAAAAAATGAAGATGTTTTCATTGTCTTTTACCAAAGTTTAAATATTTTGAACTCATTGGTATTTATTTAAACGAATCTGTATGGCAAGTATATTGAATAATGTATGTATTACGTAGGAAATATATAATTGCATGTTCAAACAAAGAAAGAGCAGAAAAACACCGTTGTTTATTTCCCCCTTTTATTGCAACATTCAAAAGCCAGAACAGAATCGCACCATGTCGACAACTTCAACAAAATCACAACCAATTTCCATTGTATCCAATAAACGCAAGATTTCACGGTCTTAAATGCGCCCTCATTTTCATAAAAAATTGGATCTGTATATGTAAAATAATTTACATAAATTATTAAGTTTTATCTATACATATTTAGATAACTACAATTACACAAGTGTGTACATTGTTTACCCACCTTTAAGATTTTCAATTCGTGTCTCCCAATACTTAACAATGTTTTTGAGTCCCCTCTGAACACCTTCTTGTGAGAGAAGTACTAGTAAAAGAAGGGAACTGTTGGTACAGACGAGACTCCCCAAAATTATCAAGATGTACGTCGGGTCCGTGTAGGTCGTGACCTCTGCCCAACTCATTGCATAGTTGACCGCAAACATGATATAGTTGCTGACGAAGAGAAGGAGAAGAACTTTAATGTACACTCGTAACCTGTACCGAAATTGATCTATTATAAAAATGCATAACATCCAAATAAACGTGTAAATGACACCTTTGCGGCCCATCAGGAATTTTTGTCTCAGATTCCCTCATGGCAGATTCCCTCACGATGTATTTAAGGTCGGCTTTGTGTTTCTTCAAATCGATGTAGCAGATAAGAACTAGTGTGGCATTGATGGTGAATAAGATGCCACTCGTGATGACGCCGTAGAGTTCCGTTGCCCAGTAAAGGTCACCTTGATGTGCTGCACATGGACGACCCCTGAACACATTTATGCCAATGTAGAATATATTAATAATTTGAATTACTGCTGAGATTTGGTAACAGTGTCTTGGAACTAATTGATAAGATTTATATCCATACGTAAATATGATTAAATTAAGAGTTCTTATAAACCTCGGACAAATTAAGGACAAATTGGCGACAAAATATTACCAAATTTGATTTGACAGTGTTGCAATAATTGCATTTGCTACCAAATAAATTATTATTTTTGGTATGTACATATTTACATACGTTAGCATAATCCTAAGCATGACGCCTCCCGCAGTTAGGATAGCTGATGAAATTATTGTTGTCACAACATAACCAGTTATGGTTTCATCCTCGACTTTTCCCGGTGGAAGGATGTGTTGTTGTCTGAGATATTGATTAACAATTAAAATGACGATTTGGTTAAATAACAATAAGTATATTAAATATTAAGTACTGCAATTTTTCTCAAACCTTTTCCATAAATTGTAGACAAGCAGTGTCAAACAAATAAGGCGAGCAAAGATTAATAAATCTTCAAGGGTGCCTGCAGAAAAAATACATGTTATGCATCTCGAACACTTATGATTTCAAAGTTGAATAAATTTTTTTAACCGAGAAATGGGCAAAGCTTCAAGTAGATGGTGTTATACTGAAACTCGAGCAATTCTCTGCTCGAGATTAATCCCCAATTCTGAACAATCTTGGCAGCACGAAGTAAAAGGCAAAGTGCGACGTAACAGAATTGAATACTACCGTGAAAACCTTTCTGGGGCAAAATTATGGCGAACGCTAACGTCACAATGGCAGCTATGGCAAAATTGAAGATGTTGTTTACAAGGGTCAACTGATAATCGATCATGCGTCGGTGGGCAATAATCTGTAAGTAAGAATCTTAAATTTAGCAGATTTAACACATGTACATATGTTTAATCGGGATAATTGGCAAGCATATGTAGGTATGTATGCACTGATAAATACACTGTTAGAAATCCAGTATTAAACTTATACCAAACGGTATTCATATATGGCTCTACAAATATGGTGTTGATTAGTAGTACCGTGTAGTAATCGCTTGGTATTAAAGTTTTACCGTATCGGTTGAAAGTTTTTACGGGCCGGTATAATTTTAATGCCAAGCAGTAGCAACTTTAATACCGAGAAATCAATACTATATCAAATTTCTAAGTGTATATAATTTCAAATTGTTCGAACTTACATTATCCTCCTTGTCCGTTAAATTGTTCAATATTTGTTCAAATTTTGGATATCTTGATCTCATCCCGGACGCAAATATTCTCTTATCCACTTCATTATCGAGACTCTCATATGCAGCAGAAATTGCAACGTCGTTTCCAACTTTATTCGACAGGTAGAGAATGAGACGATTGAAATCAACTTTATTCAGATTTTTAGCCACTACATCAAGATCCTTGATGCTAAAATTAGCTCCAACCGTATCGTTGGACTGATTAATAATTTCTGCATTCAGTTTATTCACATCACATTTAAAGTCTGTCGTATAGTTGTAATTATTATGTAAACACAGAAACGGGAGGACCAAAATTATGATGGAAACCAAAACTGAAATAGTTAGCAAAAGGATAAACGTTGAGCGCATCTTTAATATGCAGTATTTAAGAATAGAAATGATTAACTTGCTTTCAGGCTGGACTGTCCCAGAGAAATGGCGAGAGACACCAAGAAATGCGAATGAAATCAATATACAGGATACAAACACATAAATTGGCAACGTCTACCTGCATTGTTTCTACGATTAAATGACGGTCAGCATGGGGGAAGAGAGGAGATTATTGCTCATGACGAGATTGTAAGATCAAGAATTTTTTTGGTCGATAAAAAAAAGTCTCAAGTGTTGTTAGCTAATGTCGGATTTCCATCTGGATATAACTTGAATTTGTCATCAATCAAATCAGTCATGACAATATTGCGTAATTGAGTACGTTTGGAATCCGTTTATATAATTTTCATGACTGGACACATCTTTGTAAATCAAACCATCGACTTGATTCAGTGAACAAAGAAACGTACGTGTATTAAGTATTCAAAAATATAGTAAATATTTATTTCAATAATGAAGCATAGAATAGCACATCCTTATGGAATCCTTACCAGATCGATCATACATATATCATACTGACAACTGAAGAAACTCATACGCTAAATATCTTAAGGTTTAAATTTTAAGTTTGACGATGATTTGTATGTGTTTTAGAAAAGGCGACAGCGAGTTTGTTGATTAATTGAATTTGTTCATCGGAGGAGATCGTGATCTGATTTTGGTTCTCTTATACGTATGTCGGGGTTATCGGTTATGCATAAGTTTGTGGCAAAATACGGATGCTCAAATATCTGTATATATGAGATTATGTGCATAGCAAAATTTCAGTTCTTGACCGTAACTGACCCTTTGGCACATTCTACTTTTTGCGTATGTAAATATAGAGAATATGCGGTCTTGACTTTGGCAAGTCCGCAGCATTATTAAGCACTGACAATGACAATCAGTTGCAAATCTGTCATCAAACGTGTGTAATCGTGTACTAAATCTTGCTTGTTGGATGCTTTTTAAGAGCTTGAAATCCGTTATTGTTAATTTATTGATTCGTGAATATTTGTGATAGTTCGATCATTGAGGAGATGTCCAGGTGTCGTTTCCTTAGATTTTCAGGTTGACCAGGAGGACGAAGTTGTCCCTACTCCAATATATAAATAATGGCAACAATGCATGAAACGACTTTAGGGATAAAATTGTTAAAATTCCATGTATATTTATTTTATTGACTATTACTCCAGTAATACGTACATTCACTTAAATAATTAATTAATTGACTATGCAATTTATAAAAAAACAATGCACACATTATAAATCATTAAGCTTAATTAACAAATTCTGCCACGGTTTTATTTTCTCGCATTTTCTTCTTGTCCAAATGCATTCGGAATGTAAAAAAGTAAATCGCTTCGACCAGACTGGTAATACTGAATCCCATGCACAAACTCATCACCCCTCCCCTGAAATTAACAATTGACTCAAAAACAAGACTTTAAGGTTGAAACAAAATAAAACTTATGCTTTTTTATAAATTAAAAAGGTGTTACCATGCGCTGACAAAATCTTCCTAAGGGAAGGGACCAATACAAAATTGAGCTACTTAGTTACTATGGAGCTTAGGCTTAATTATGTATATTTATAAAATTGTGAATTCATACCCAGGTGAAAAGTTCATCGCTATTGAGTAAGAAGTTAACGAAATCAATTTCAATTGCTGTATTAACTTAGGCGAAAATCTTCACGTACCGTTTGTACTGCATGATTGAAGACTCTCGAAAGAAAATTCGGAGCACGCTGATGCTACCACTAAAAGAAAGATTGTGCATTTTTAATTATCTGATTTAATCCACAATTATTGCAAAATTTGCATACCTGACATAGCTGATATCATTCAAATGTGTCAGCCCACCCTCGACAATCGCCTCCCTCAACATTTTAGTCTGATTGGCCAAAGGTTGATTTGGAAAATCGGCTGCAGGTGCATAAATTACATATTTGCATTAATATGCAACAATATTTTAGCTTTTAACCTTTAACCAACCTGCCGTTACAAAAACATTGTAGAACGTTTCGTTGCACGATGGCAAACAAAATTGTGCACACGACTTGTCCTGCTCTCTGTCCTTCTTTGATTTAAAGTTGAACATTGTAGTCTCTGAGAAAATGGATACAATATTAATTAAATTTAGCCATAATTGAAATTGACCCCTTTTCGCATATTTCATACCCGGGCTAGACTCAAATACTGCAGTTGGTAAGTTTTTCTTCTGGATGGCATCTAAAATTAAAATTAAAATTTGAAAAACCCAATATTTTCTGGTACGACTTATGATGACAAATTTGATTCTTTTTTTACCTAAAGCCTTTTTCACACATTCTTGAAACTTTTTTAGTGTGCATACACTGTAATTTCCTGCATATCAAAAATATTTAAATTAATGACTTCAGAATTAATGCATATTTATAAATCAAACCTGGTGAAAAGTATGTCACACATTGACATTCCTGAAAAACAAACTCTGTTTCACACTCCACAATGCAAGCAGATCTGGAATATTCCTTGTAGAATTTGAGAGGAAATTCATCCTAGCAGAAAACATTTGTAATACTGGTGTATTTATAAATACTCAAGTAAATATTTTAAATTACTAATTAGATATTTATAAAACTCACTGGAAAAAAACATCCTCTCGTTTTGGCAGAGAAACCGCGGAGTACATCCCCCGAATAAGTGTCAACTGCTGTCACGCCGACTTGGGTCTCCATTCCAGGCCCCACGATGTAACCACGTTCTGCAACGGCAGGAAAATCGTCTGCATTGTGGACAAATACCTGCCATAAAAATTTCCATTTTACGTAACACCAAACAAAGTAAGATGAATCAGTGTATACATGACTAACACCGCGTACATACATATTTACATAATTGTGCAAAATAACAAAAAATAAGTGCTTAAGTAATTCATAAATACCCGTAATCCTTTAAACGAGTCTGTTGGAATGGAGTCACATCCTACAAAAACAATCAACGTGTAGTCATTTACTTCAATTTTGTACATAAATGACCTAATGAATAACCATGATTTACTGGAATGCAGAAGCAACAAAGTCTGCCTATCTATTGTATGCATAACCAGTGTGCATATTCTACATATTTTCTAGTTGCTTCTACCTTCTACCTTCTAAATTTTGAAGTAATTATGTATAGCAATTTAAGACAGCATTACTTTTTTTAAATTACGTCATATTACGAGACGTGCACCAGTTTAAACGTGTTTTACACGTAGGCTAGCATTTCTTGCTTTTTAGTCATGATTGACTTTGACTTTTAGTGTGTAGTAATAATGGTACGTTTCACATTGTCTCACGTAAGTCTTTAGCTGGACGTCGTCCCACGAACTACATACTTAATAACTAACGCAATATGTGGTCAAAACTCCTAGAAAAGCACGGTCTTGCTGGAATCGGTGGAGATAAAAGACACGAAATTTCACCATCCCGGGAAAGGTATGAAATTAGAGAATTTCGAGGAAATAATAAGGAACGGAATCTCCCCCCAACGCCACCACCCCGCCCCAAAAGAGAGACCCAATTTCCGATTCAATATCGAAAAGGAAAGGAAACGACGATTCGGAAAAGTTTCTCGGTTTTCTTGCAAGTAAATGTTTAAAATGCTTAAAATATTGAGGGTTTTCACGACTTTCGTAACTTTCGACTTCGTGTAGATTTGTAAAAAAATACTCGGAAATTTACAAAGGGTTGAAGTGAAAGACTTCGCAAATAGTACTTTCGTACAGGATTTGTTTTTAAATCGGCATTTGTCTACCCAACACATAGAATCGGTAAATGCGGTGCTCCAAATATCCTGGTATTTAATTCTTCATGAAAATCTTCTCGTAAATGTCGTAAATTTATACTGTATTATTACGCTTATTAACTAGGGTTACGAAGGTCACGTGAAAACCCTCATTGAGTTCCATTATAAATGATCAACTAAATAAGTGTCATATTTATTTCAGCTCGTTTTATTTCTCCAATATGCCATCCTTCTTCCCAGCCTGACTGCTTCTTTCTTCCTAAAGCTTGGATGGAGTGCAAATATTCCGGAAATCGTGTCACATTCGAATACAACAATAATGTGTCAGTGTGACATGATGTACAGCGATCCCTTCGTCCTTGACGCTACTTGGGATTGGGAGGCCATAAAACCCGTGGTTGACGGAATTACAAATTTTTTAGGTAGTCAATCAGTATATATCTTAGGAGGACAACCCTTCACCGACAGAATCACCGATCTTGATGCCCTTTGGATATGTTGTAGTCCTAGGTGAGTCTAGCAAAAGTGAAGAAGGATTTCATTCAATGGCCCCATTTGCGCCCGCCACACCCACTCAAAGGTGCGAAAATACCCTGTTTTGGTTCATTAAAAAAATCACCAAAAATCCAATTTTGGTCGGATTTTCACAATTTAAGCATTTTTGTGACCCTAGATAGTTGCTTTATCATATCCAATAGCAAACTCAACTTTTTTTGAAATTTTGATTTTTTCGAAATCTACGAAATTTTCGAAAATATTCAAAAAATTCAAAAAATTGAAATTCATGTCGGATACGATAAAACAACTATCTGGGATCAAAAAGGTGCAAAAATTATCAAATTATCATTAAAAATGGATTTTTGGTGAATTTTTTAATGCGACCAGTTTGGCATAAGATTCCTCTTTGAGTGGGTGTGGCGGGCGCAAATGGGGCCATGGAATGAAATCCTCCTTCACTTTTACTAGACTCACCTAGGACTACAACATATCCAAAGGGCATCAAGATCGGTGATTCTGTCGGTGAAGGGTTGTCCTCCTTAGTTATTGTTATTAACCTGTTAAGTAATATGTACATATCTATTAAATATTGATTGATCGTCTTCTTTTAACAGTGGCATTTCTTGTCATGATTTTCCTGGTGACAATTTTCTCCTTGGTGTATATTCGATCACACAACATTTACCCCATAATTCTCACTTTAGCGGTGTGGGTCCTGTGTGTAATTTATGTGCAGAAAAATTGGTCGTCAGACTCGTGGGTATGAACGCCTATCAATATTTGTAATTTCTTTTGCACAAAATTTTCTTTCTTTTCAGGCAAATTTGGAATACTACTTGGGCGTTGATTCTGTCACATTGGCGACAAGGCCGCTAGTTAAAGTTTACTTTGAATGATTTTTAGCCTAATGCTGAATATGTGCGTTTAGAATTTGAGTGAAAATAAAGTAAATGCTGATACACTTACGTAACGTGTCCAACATCAAGGTCAACCCCCTCGACCTCCCCGCACCAGCCACTTTGAGGGGAAATTGTTCCGCAAAAAAATTGAACGTTTGCGTCGCCCCTCCCGAGCCGATTGGTTTCGATGATGTTGCATTAGTCTTAATTTTATTCCTTTCTCGACACTTCCCACTGTCCCTGCATCTCTGCAAATATTGACAAATTCCTGGAAAAAGGTCGTCGTCATATTCACGAACGCAGTTAAAATTGTCCGCCGTAGTTGACCCCGTTTCCGTGTCGTCCATCCCGCCTCCTCCGCCGCCACCTTTATTTCCTCCTCCGCTGCCTCCTCCACCACCGCCGGAATTCTTGCTTCGAAACGTGTCCGTATACTCCCACACGGCTCGTTGCAGGTATTCGTACTCCTTTTCTTGAATCATCACTTCCAGGTCGTGTTTCCTGTTTTCGGGGAGAAAGTGAAAGTAGGTGACATAAATTGAAATCCAGATTCTTGGAACACTTACGAATCCTTTCGCTGCTTTTTTGTCTCAATAGCGTTAAAAGTGCAGCAATACCCGCTGTCAGTGAGCACCTGGTGGGTTTTCCATGATTAATTCAATACAAGGGAAACAGGTCAAGGTACACGCTTTTCTGTCAAATATTTACATACCAGACGAAACATTTGCGTGCATTGGGCAGGTGCGCTGTTCCATCGACAACTTAACAAGTAGTCGTCACATTTAGGGGCTACGAGTCTCAAGTATTTCAGAGCTGTTTTGGGTTTGACGAAATTCTTGTCGACGTGGATGTGATCATTGTTTCTCGCGTCGGGGTCGACCAGGACGGAAATTATGGTACGCATTTGAGACAGGGTAAAACTGAGGGAGAGTTACAATTAAGAATTTTTAGGTTATGATGGTGTGAAATTAAAGATTGTAGAGTTGCCATACTTGTATCGACACCCTTGAATGATGAGTTTTTCAGTGGCAGCTTTATTTACGGTGCAAATCTGTAAAACAGTGTATTCGTATTTATGTAAATGAGACATGGCTAAATTATGCTTAATTGTCAGTTATGGTTCAATTTTCTTACAGTAACTGCAGGGAAAATGATGCTGGAAACTGGATGATTAGTCGTAGCTACGGACGTAATGATAGGACTTCGTTCCCATTTGGTCCAAATTTTCGACATGAGATATCCAGCAGCCCCAAGTCCGAAGAGACACCATGCCAGCCAGAAAATCCTGATTATAATTTAATGCCACTAATTAATAAGTAGAAATTAATTAGTAATTTTACGTAAATTATAATCACTCAACTGTTCCGGTTTACTCCTTTTCCTCTCGGAGAGATATTTCCACCCGTGTAGGGTCGTAACGGCGCAATATTCTCGAAATTGATTTCCACAAGTGACATCGTCTCGCATATCGTGATGATGGTGGTCAGAATGAGGATCATTCCCCGTAGGAACCGTACCCCCAGCAATTTCGGCTTGACGATTTAAAGCTTCCAAGTTCTTGGTGCTTTTTGTCCTTTTAAATTTCAGACGGCCAGTGACCCTCGCCCGTGAAAATGCGTCCAACCAGTGCGTCTTGCGAGCCAGATACGCCTCTAGTTTTAAGGCTGAACTGTTCTTCCGGTTCTACAGAAGTGTATATTCTTAAAATGGTTTCAATAAGTCAAACCTTTTTCAAATTCGCGAACTTAGCAAATTTACGAATTTTTGGGAGATTCGCAAAATATAAGTTCGCTACTAATCCTATTATCATAATTTGATTTGTTTTCTATTAATTATTTATCGCTTGTGATGGAGAAGATGAGGTTGAAGAGTAAAAAGAAGTCAATTTTATGGGTAAATTTGCGAACAAAAATTCAGTGATGTTCCCACAAAAATTTTGCATAAGTCGCAAATTTTGCAAGTTATTTTGTCACCGTCAATTTGCTAGGAATATGAGGGTTATTTACTATGGGCTACTTACGCCTCGCTGGTGCTCTTGATCCACTGCCCACGGAGAGCTGGAAACTTTTCTAGCCCATGGCGAAGGGGGCAATCCGGTGAAGTCCCCCGGAGGAACGTACAAGTCTAAAATGCTGGCAGGCTTATCGTTAGGGTTTAAATGAGTCATGGGTCGTATATAAGTCTCCGGCACATAATTTGGCATTCCCATTGTTCCCTCGCCAGTGTTGTAGTAATCGGCCAAATGATCTTTTTTACGTCGTAGACGATTAGCCAACAATTCTTTGAACCGGTTGACGTATGGAGCTAATTTTATTGGGTCCATTGAATCCATCGAGATAATAATGGGTGAGAGATCTTAGACGATGATAAGGGAATGATAGTTCGAACGAGATAAAGCAATGTAGCAAAAGACGCTCGCGTTTTTATCAAATTTCCAGACCGGAGTATGATTAATACGTGATGAGAAAATGATGGACAAACGGAAATCGTTATTGCCTTTGATACCGGGAAAAACGTCGTCTGGTGTGCATGTTTGACTCGGGACAAATAAAATTGCAAGGCTGACCTGAACCTGACACATTATTCCTGCTACAGTTTAGTTTGTACTTGGAAATGGGCATAATTTTTTCATTATTCTTGTTATTGCATAGATGACTAATAAATTGTGTTAAGGCCGGGTCAGAAATTGTGATGCTTTCCCTGCGTGTTTTATTGTGGGGTTGAGATTCCTTAGTTTTGGGATCGCTACGACTTTGTCCATACCCGTGCACGTCCATACCCAGCAAAATACATATATGTATTGATTAATATGATGTATTGAGCTTTCACTTTCTGCACTTAAAATTTACTTATGATTTTATTTTTAAGCATTTTTACGTTTATCGTATTTACCACAACTCGCCAAGATTTTCAGTTTTTCTCGGATGTGCGAATGAATGAATTTTTTTTGTATGTGTGAATGAAGAGATTAATTTAATTTTTCTAGGATTTACACGGATGCACAACATATTTAAGAATGCTAAGGAATAATTATTTAATTGAATGTCTTTAAATCTTTAAGTGAGTTTATATGGAGTATTTTGTAACAGATTTCAAGGTTTTTGAAAATATGCTGACATGTATTTATTTAAGTATGCATGTAAGTGTGTGGTTCTAGTAAATAATCACTGGAGTTTTAACAGAAAATACGAATTTATTTAATTATTCTTATTATTTATAGCTTAACAACATTTTAATTATATGTATAATTTCATAAAATAGAACAGACTTTTGAACACATTTAAGTACTTCGTAGCTTATCATAATTGTGCAATTAGTGACCGGCTGTTCGCTTCCTGCTGGACTTCTTGATCAATTTGGGCATCCAAATCTGCTAGTTCGGATGGGTTGACCATCTGAAGGATAACATCTCGTGCCCGATACATTTTATCCGAAGCGTTGTTAATCCTCTGCGCCAACTCTTGTTTTTCTTAACAAATAATGTAAAAAAATTATTAGATACATACTTTATGCTAATTAAATATATTTCAGAGATTTTGAAATATTTAAATGATTTAGACCAAATTTAAAAGACTTATAAATGTACTAAATGTATTGTAATAAATGACTTATAAATTTCATACAAAATCTAACAAAAGTCTGAGAAGGCATATTTCAGAACAATTAATTCTCAACAAAGATGAAATGCTAAATAGTTCAACTTTTTTATTATACGAAAACCGTTTTTGCAAAAAATTTAAAACCGTTTTTGCAAAAAATTTAAAACCGGGTTTCCATAAAAGTGGAAACTGGTTGTGACTCGTTATTTTTGAAGATTTAAATTAAGATGCATATAATAACTAATTCAACAGTAAACATATTTAAAAAATATCAAATTTTTGTTCTCACCTTCATTTGTCAGATTATTAAAATTTGTGCAATTCCTCAGTGTTTTCTTAATCCGCTGCAAGCATCTGCGATACGTTGTATAAATCCGTACAACTCGTTCCAGCATTGCTTGCATCATTTCGTCGTAGTCCTCAAACAGGTCTTCGAGCATCGCTGGGGTTTGCTCCACGATTTCCGGAGGGGTTATCTGTGTAATCGGGAGTACATTAGTTTTAATTAATATTATTCAAAATACTCGTAAATTTGCAATTTAAGTACATAAATATCTATTTGAGAATAGTTGGTTACCTCCTTTTCCTCATCGGAACGAATTTGATTGGCGAGACACATGTTGATGACAGAGTTTGTGATCTTCGGGAAATATATTTATTAAAATTTAGGATTTTTAGTGGCTTAATAGAAATTTATGGTGACTTATTGTGTCAAGGAGCACTTAATGGAAGCAAACTTCACAAGGGAAGGTGTGAATGAGGAGTGGTCAGAGTCTGTGTTCAGTTTTAGGATCTACTGGACAGGATAAATTCAAGGAAATCTAATTTAAGGTTTTCCAGCCGTAATGGTCAATGGTGAGGCTGGACAAAAGCATTGTAGGGTTGTGCGTATGCAAATAAATATGCGTTTGTTAAGAATGCGCTCACATTGTGAGCGCATTCTACCCTTAACCCTTCGTTGTGAGCCTCACAACGAAGGGTTTATTAACCCTTCCAGGAACTGGAGTCTATTTTATTTCATTTAGTGGCATGTGCCAGGAATTTAACTTAAAAGTTAAATTTAAGTACGGGTTTATTTGCTTGCAATAATGAAATGCACCCGTATGTGTATATACTTGTTGACGTATTTTAAAATCATGTAGTCTACGGGAACTCCTTGATTTTTCTAGAAACAAAATATGCATGTACATACCTATGCGTATGTATGTATGAAACAATAAATTAAGTATTTATAAGTATCTTCCTTAGGATCCTACATATTAAAATTCGTAAATTTAAATTCAAAATAAATTACTTAAGACTAACCTTTTTCAACAAAGTTACAATAAATATATGCCGCCACACAAGATAAAGTTTCGATTATGCATTATGCCATCATTCTAACCAGCCATTTACTAAATAAGTAGCTTTGGCTGCTTATATATTGTGATCGTTTGATCTGCCCTTCCGTTAGCAGGATAAAGCTTTCGCTTTTGTGCATTTCAAAAAGGATAACATAAGTACGGCAACGAATAATTGTTTAACTATTTAAATGCCCTTAAACGAGTTTATGTAGAATATTGTTCAACAGATTTTTGAAAATATGTTGATTTATATTTCTGCACATATGCCTATAAATATGTGGCAAATAATAAATGCCACAGAGTCGGCTGCCAACTTCTGCATCATTCTCACTTCGTCGTCCCCGGAGAATTTTATAGTTTGAGATTAAGTCGTCCCCCCGTCTCTTTTTGTCTCCCCACTCCCCGGTCCAGTATATAATGGTCAGTAGTGACCACACCCTCTCCTCCCCTTCTACCCACTTCCACAAGAAGACGAAAGATGGGTGCCTGTCGTGGAAAGAAGAAGCAAGACGCTGGAGCCACGGACAAAGCAGCCGCGGCCTCTTCGGAAATGCAGTGTCCTAAATCTGGAGGATGTCAAGACGGGTCCGTCTTTTCGAAGGAAGTCCAGGTCCCTCCGGACAATTGGCAAGAGGGGATAATTACACGAATAGCAAACAAAACAAGAGACTGCCACCACGCCAATCGAAAAAAAAACAATTCTACGTCCAATTATTCTACTTTGGCGAAGATCATCGCAACCAGTCTTCATAGCCTCTGTTCAAAATTTGTTGATTTATTAACTTAAGCGCTTGATGATGATCTGCCGTAAGCCGTCGAAAACTCGCAATTATCAGTAAAATCAAGTAAAAAATGTCCTCAAATAATACCGTACAAACAAAATTAAATAATAAATGCTGTTTTAACAGAACATACGAAATTATTTATTCACTTTATTAATACAAATACCTATAAGTGAATACAAGCTTATGATTAGTCAATTATATACAAAATATTTTGTGCAGATAAGCCTAATCTAATATTACGCTTCTGCGGATTGCAATTCTAAATATGTATGACCACCGTTTTTAAATATATAAAAGTTATTCGTATTATTTATCTGTACGTACATACACATATCCTAATCACACAGTTGTAGATAATTTTACAAAATGGAACCAACTTTAGAATATAGTTCAAAAATCGTAGGTTAACATAATTGTGCCATAAGTGACAGGGTCAGGGTGTTATCTTCTTGTTGGACTTGTTGATCAATTTCGGCATCCAAATCTGCTATAGCGGATGGACCGACCATTTCAAGGATAATACTTCGTGCGCAGTACATTTTATCCACAGCGTCCTTAATCCTCTCCGTCAATTCTTGTCTTTCTGGAAAATTCATGTCAAGAAACTTGTTAGCTAATTAATGTCAAATAAATATTAAACAGAGGCTACAAAAACTAGATTTAAGTCGCACCAAATATCAAAATCAGACAATTTTTTAACGCCGGATTTAGACCGAATTAAAAACTTCGAAATATAAATAGCCTTAAATGATGCAATTTTATACAAAATGCAACAAAATTTAGACACTAAATCTAGAAAAGCTTATCAGAACAATTTGTTCTCAATGAAAAAAGGAATGCACAATCGTTGCTCCTAGACAATTTTGATAATACGATACGACTCAAAAAACCGGTTTTGTTAAAAATTGAAACAGTTTTTTTAAAATTGGAAACCAGAAAACGTGTTAAAAAATATTAGACTTTGTTCTAACCTTGTTCTGACGGATTAAAACTTGTCCAATTCCTCAGTATTTTCTTAACTCTTTGCAGGCATTTGCGATACTTTGTATAAATCCGTTTAACTCGTTCCAGTATTTCTTGCAGCATCACTTCGTAGTCCTGAACTAGACCTTCAAACATCGTTACGGTTGGGGTTTCCTCTACGATTTCCGGAGGGCTTATCTATGTCAGAATAAATGTATAAGAAAAAATTAGTTTTGCTTATTAGGATTGCAAATAAAGTTGGAATTTAAGTAAATATGTGAGAATAATTAGTGAAATATTTACCTCCTTTTCCTCATCGGAACGAATTTGATTGGAGAGACACATAATGATGACAAGGTTTGTGATCTTCTTTAGTGAATTAATACAAGTTTAATTGTTTTCACAAGTTAAGGAGCACGTAATGGAAGCTGACTTCGCACGGGAAGGTGTGAATGAGGAGTGACCAGAATTTCAGTTGAATTTTCGGATCTACTGGACAGGCTGGATTCAAGGAAATCTAATTTAAGGTTTTCCAGCCGAAATTTTGTGAGGTGGTTGGTGAGAATCATTACGGGGTTGTGCGTATGTACATATGTACACATGCGTTTCTCAAGAATGCGCCCACAATGAAGGGTTACTACTCCAGAAACTGGAGTCTATTTTATTTCATTTCGTGGAATGCATTTACCTTTGAGTTTAAATGTATATACGGGTTTAAGTTTATTCGCTTGTAATAATGAAATGCATCAATGTAAGTATGTATGTATGGTACATACTGACGTATTTTAAAATCATGTAATCCACGAGAGCTTCTTGATTTTTCTAGAAATAAAACATATAAATACCTATATGTTTGTATGTACCCAGGAATAATTGGTGACGCGGCAGGGAAACAATAAAATAAGATAGATAATTATATATTTATATTCCCTAGAAACCTGTTAAAATCCATAAATTTAAATTTGTGTTTACATAAAACTAACATTTTGAAATAAGTGTGCATCTGTCGAGCATTATCGTGGGGACTGACGGACGGAAGGAAAGACCGATATCCAGAGCATTCACATAAAGCATATCCGATACTTGATAACTGAATGAAATGCGCACGGTGTTTAAATTGGTCGTATTATAAATTGAAAATAATTAACAAACAGAAATAAATAAACTTTGTTTCAATGAATTAAATTCATTACTACTCATTTGTACCTACTTACATATATAATTTTATACAAAACGCATGTCGAATATATCATGAGTACATTTGTATGTATGTTTTTATACATACATCCAACTAGGTACATAATATTTATGCATAATACATATATATGTATATCATTTGTACATGCATGCGTTTATGCTCCTCAGACGTTTATCGTTAAGGTCATGAAGAGAGTATACTGTTACAAGTCTGGTAGACTCACATATAAACTCCGTGCTTGTATTTATTTGGTAATCACTTCCTACCCGACCGGTAGTAGTTTGTTTGTTTCCGAGTGGTAAATTTATCATTAACACAACATTACTAAACGCTAATGTCCGTTGTTATATAATTTGTCATGCCAGCGGAGGGATATATGTGCTCCAGTAATAATTAATTTAATACTAGTTTTCTTATAGTGTACATGTACCCCGACGTGCCATCCGCCTTCGGAACGAATTCTGAATGACTTTGTGGAACGCGTTCTGATCGAACTACGGATTTGTCGCAGCAGTTGTGCTCGTAACGAATTCTCAAAACGTATTCGGATCGAATTCGCAAGCCGAACCCAAACAGAATTCGGATACCAACCAGGATCCGATTCTGTTCCGATTCGCTCCCCAGAATCAAATCCTAATCGGGACGGATTCTGAATTGATTCCGTTCAGTATTTGCCAGCCCTTCGGTTCTGATTACGATACTCGGATAAATATTTTTGTTCAATCCCTACTCGTTTACAACATGAGTAGGGATTGATAAAAAATATTTATCTGGGTATGGTAATCAGAACCGAAGGGCTGGCAAATACTGAACGGAATCAATTCAGAATCCGTCCCGATTAGGATCAGAACCGACCCCAAAACAAACGATGAAATTCATACAAAAATATTTCACAAATAAATAAGGATTTTATTCATTTAAATTAGGGCAAATTACAAGTTAATTGCAGCAAAGGGATCAATAGAAAATTATTCTAAATAACAGAATGACTATCATGATTTTAGAAAGTTAACTAAAGAATTGGTGATTTATAATGTATGTAGAGTGTAACTTAAGGCTTACTAAATTATTGTATAAACCTGTACGGGTAGTTGAACCAACTAATTAAAACGAATGTTTTTGCCTAAACACTCCCCTGAATTGGGACAAGTTGGTCAAAAACACAAATGTTTTCTCAAAAGTCAACCACAAAGCACAATTGAAACTTTTTTTCCCGATGTAAATTTATTATCACCTGCTATTTATGTTTGGTTATTATTACTAATTTTAGTAACTTTTGCAACGAGTGCGAATCAGCACGTCTCGTGTTTGGAATTTAACTGAGAACAATCACCCGCTTTCAGCAAAGTTGCGTTGGGAAGTCGAAGCGAAGTCGTATTATGATCCGGGATCCGAATTCTGATTGAAATCTTCGTTACGATTTCTCATCACGAATCTAATACGACTTCGGGAAGCCAGCATTAAATCGGAATCAGAAACGATATGAGAATGCTTCTTCGATCGGAATACGTTATTCCGACTTGATTCCGACTGCGTTTCTGATTCGTTTTTGCGAAAGCGATTCTGCAGACTCAAATCGGACTTCGGGGCGATGTCTATTTTCCGTTTCTGATTGAACTATGAAAACAGAAATCGTCCCGGCGTCGTTTTATTGTCTGCGAATTCGCACGAATTAAATCGGACATTACTGACATCGTACCGAATTCGTATCGAAGGTGGTGGCATATCGGGACATATGTATATGCATACAGTAATTCAATATGCATGCAAACAAGTAGCAGCAATTTATTCACAATTTAATTATCATAAACGGTGCCACATGCAATATTTTAATTGATTTCTTTTCCAGAAATAATCCCGTGAGCAGGTGGATTTCTCTCAAGAAAATTAGACCATCTGGCTCAACCAAGACCTAGCTAAATGAGACAGGCATTGTATGTATTTACATCACAAAATAAATTAGAAACAAAGACAAATAATGATGCAGTTTTAATCCAATGTCTACACAAGTATGCAAGTGTCCAAGCTAATGAAAAATCAATTAAATTACAAACCAATAAACTTAACTAACATTCCAGCAACACCAACGACTGAAGATGATGACCAGTATTGCAGGCGTGAATACACACATAAGACAACACATGCAAAAATTCATTTATGTATTTCGTAGCAAAGTAGTATTTTATTTTATTTTACTTAATCTTCAAGTTAAAAAAACAATCAGTATTTGCTTATCGTTTGTTTCTTCAACTAGTCATCATACTAGTTTTGAGGGTTTTATACTTCATTGGTGTTTCTTAACGTTATACATACACATGTAACAAGTAACTCAATTTTTCTTTTCTATATTTGTCACTCTGCATACGTAAAAAGTACCAGTTAAAATTTTACCAAAAACTGAATCATTATTTTGAAAGTACCATCAAGTAATTTTGTCTCAAGTTATAGCCTTCATACATCCGTTATTGCTTTAATTACTTGCCGCATCTACCTAGAAAAATATCGATTGAGTGTAAACTGTAATAGGACAAAACTAAAAAATGGTATTTTGTATAAATAATAAAGTGAACGAGAAGATAAAATCTAACCTGGAACCCGGAACTGAGCAAGGAATTTTTAAAAGAATTTTATTCGAGTGGAGAAATATTTCGATTCTGCTCTTCCTCTACACATTGCAAGGCGTCCCCGGTGGTCTAGCCGGATCAATCCCTCTCCTACTCCAAGCTCGTGGCACTAATTACTCCGACCAAGCCATTTTCTCGTTAGCGAGCTGGCCTTTCAACTTGAAATTATTATGGGCCCCACTGGTGGATGCCATTTACTGGAAGCGCATGGGAAGAAGGAAGTCATGGCTCGTACCGGTTCAATATCTTATTGGTGTCACATTATTATTTCTATCCTTCCATGTGGACTCTTTAATCGATTCCCTGGAGATATGGGTGTTAACGGCTTTGATGTTTTTTCTCAATCTTCTCATTGCAACGCAAGATGTCGTCGTCGATGGTTGGGCGCTGAATCTTCTTAAAAGGTTTGCATCTAATGGATGATAAAATTAAATTAAATTTAACATTTTAGCTCATTTATTTTCTTTGTGTTAGAGAAAATGTGGGCCTCGCGACAACAAGCAATGCTGTCGGGCTGAAAATTGGGAGATTCATTGGATATGGACTCTTCATAAATTTGGCATCTCCAGATTTTTCAAATAAATATCTACGCACCGTGCCAAAAAGCGACGTGGGAGTGGTCACATTATCCGGTTTTATGTTCACGTGGTCAATTATTTATTTTGTTTGTACGACGCTCATTTTCTTCTGCAAGAAAGAGGAGGATGCAGATCCAGAGATTGAAAATGCAGAAGTGGACGAGGACAAAAGGAACATTATAATTATTAGTTATCTTCAATTATGGCGTATCACCAAATTGCCTGCTGTACAAAAGTGTCTCATCTTCTGCTTAACATGCAATGTGGGTAATCAGTAATTCCTTAACAAAGTTATGAGTAATACACTGTGCATACAATTAATCTGTTTATTTATTTATTCATTGTAACAGTTAGCCTTTGCTGCATCTGTTCTCAATAATTTCAAGCTGGTAGAAGCTGGATTGTCCAAAGAGGTTTTGGCACAGCTCTCCGTTCCGTTAGCACCACTTGGACTTCTGATCACTGTACTAATGACAAAGTGGACGTCGGGAGTGCGGCCAATGAGTCTATTTAGAAACACTTATGGTCTCACGTATGTAGATAAACAGGCAGAGTTTGCTCATATCGATATAAATTTTGACCCACTATTTGTAGGTTGCTCTCGACAGGTGTTTCTGCAGCAATGGTGCAGAATGGTAAATGGAAAAGAGCAGGATGGTGAATGGAGACATGATGTCCACAGGAAAATAGTTATATCGGTTTCGTTGTCTTATGACAGACTTTGTGTGGATGAGTAGGGAACTTGCCAAACATGCAATTTATACCCAGCTCTGTTACACAATCAATTTAATTGGGGAGCATTGTTGATTAATTCTTGCGACGAAAGTTTTTAATCTTAATTCAAAATTTGAAACTCAAGGTAATTTTGCTTTGTGTGTAAGCACAGAATCCTTGATTTGGTAAGTTTTCGACGCAATCTTATATTATTTCCAATGGGGTTCTTATAAGAACCAGTTAGTCAGTCAGTTCGGTTAGAACCGAATTAGTCATTATAATGACTAATTTACAAAAGGCGTTAGGACATAGTTTTGACGAATTCATACCTTAATGGCGGGATGGTTTTTAGTTGTAGAGATTTCTAACATTTTTTATGTGAAAGCCGATGTCTCAAACTATAGGTAAGCATATCTGGCTTCCGATTTTGTGTACTCTGCGAAATGAGGCAAGGTCAAATTTGGAGAGGTGTCCTTTTTTAGTTTTCCAAACCAGTATTGTTATAAAATGGCGTTGAACAAAATATTTTTTTCTGAGGTCCTGGTGCAAAAATCGTCTTTGCGACTATTATCATGTGACTTAGCATGCTTTTCACTATATAAAACCACTTTTGTCGCATGCTTATCTTATAAGTCCCTTTTGTAGTCTAGCTTCATACTTGTCCTAATGGAATGCTCTCGTGAACTCAACTCCTCGACTTTTAAGGCCCCCACATTTTAGGACTTTGATGCTAATAATCCCTAACGTGGTTTTTATCCAAGGAACATATGGTATATTGCACTGTAAGTACTTTTGATAAAATTTTGATAAGTGGTTACACCCCACGGACCGAGTTTTCATCAAACCATATAAAATGTTTACAAAACTTTTGCTCAAAATTGAAGCGGAACTTTAAAAACTTTTTAACTAATCAAAACGCAGTGATTTTATTATTTTGTCACTTGTACCTTGTAGGTAAAATAGTTCTGCGGTAGGGGACACAAAAAAGTTATAAAAATTTATTTTCAACAACATTTGACCAATAATTTTCTAAATAAGTTCATGAGTTTTTTAGGATTCGGCGTCAGTTGATTAGCTCGGGTCCTTCTCCAAAACTGGCTGCCTAAAATCTTTACTGTTCTATTTAATATTACGTATGACACTTCCAGCTTTACCCTCAATCTTCATTTGACCGAGTGGGTCAGCTTTCAAGGTCAGTAGGTCAATTTTCCTGTGCACGGTCCGATTGATCACTTTTCATGAAAAAGTATCAGCGACGATGGAGGCCCAACGTTATGTAATTCATTGTGGATTATTTTATTATTACATGCAATGATTATCTAGGGTTGTAATATTAACAATCATTCACCTCTGACCTCTTAGGTTATCATGCTATATGAGTAATTCAGTTTGGAAAGTGTTTTTTGGCTCCTTCCAACTCTTGGGGCACTGGAGGGGGCATTTATGAAGCTATCGGCCTAAAATTTTAAATATATCTTTTTGAGAGTATTATCTTGCAACTGACCAAAAATCAGTTCAAAATTCAACTCCCCACCAGAGATATTCACCCGCGAATTCGTCAAAACCATGTCCTAACGCCTTTTGTATGTGTTGTTTTAATGGCTTTAAATTCAATGGCACCATCAATTCAGTTAAACAATAGACATGTGTAGGTTGTTGTACATAATAATACTTTATAAGGATTACGTGAATATTTATTTCAATGGATTTCACCAATTAACCTTCTACCCAAATGCAGTGTGTCCATAAGTCATGCCGAATTGCCGACGAATAGAACAATGCTGTAATTCATTAATTGCTTATAAATACAGTGTACTTGTAATTTTCGGTGGGAGGTGGTGACACCGTACTAACTATCATCGGGTGATTTGGTAAACAAATATCCGTGATGACTTATAGGATGCTTTGGTTAATCAAGGTGTATTCCAAAGTAGGGACGAAGGCGATGCTGCTTCGATATGTACTTATGGAAGCATGTAACTGGTCATGATTTTCCCTGAATTCTGCTAACAATGCGATGGTGTGAAGTGTAACCCTCCGATTTGGTTGAAATTACGAAATTACGTGGTCCATGTCAATACAACCAACGTTCCTTCAGGCAATTTGTGCGATGGTCAGAATTTGCCAAAATATTTGAGGTCAAAGTTGAAAAACGGGCGATTTTTACATGGCGGAGGAAGCAGACTCAAATTCCATTCTCTTCCCATGCTTAAAATTGCACATTTTTAAACTTTTACCTGAAATATTTTGCCAAATTCTGACCCTCGCACAAACTGCCTGAAGAAACGTTGGTTGTATTGACATGGACCACGTAATTTCGAAATTTCAACCAAATCGGAGGGTTACACTTCACACCATCGCATTGTAAGTTAATGGGATTTACCCCCATTTTCATCGAAGCGGTTACGCGCTGTGTATATTTACTGGTGCAGATAATGTCGGAGATGTGAATATCAAATATATGCAGTGACGTTTTTTTAGCAACGAGAATAAATTATTTATATCGCCACACTAATTGCGACATTTAGTACTTATTTCTTAACACCAAATAAGATTTCAGACTCGACAGCATCACAAATTGGGACGTCACATGCAATAACAAAAGTCGTAATTCAACATTTCATCCAGCCAACCCCGGAAGAAGGAAAAGATGCGAAGTTCAAGTTCATCATTAAAATTAATCATTTTTTATTATCATGTCATCATTCCTCCCGTCCAGCATATGTCAAACGGGAGCCGTCTACACAGCATGCGAGTCGAGTAACGACTATTAATCTGAATTCGTATTTTTGACCAGCAAGCTCCACGCTGTGATGTGGTGCATATGCTACTGCCTACATATTTAGGCACAGACTGGGACCAAAATCACGGTCGGCACGATAACATACTTAATTTACGCCAGCTACTTGTCTAATAACCCTCCATATAATTTCTGTCAATCAGAAACACGCTGCTTTTGCAGGCAGGGTTCCGAAAGTATCGCTTTTTGTTTGACCAGCACTCTGGATGTTTTGTGATTAATTTAGTAATCAGCTTATGTTTCATTTGAATTTATTCCGTGGAATATGTAAAGAATTTATTATCTTTTGAAAATTCCGAAGGACAAAATGTGTGTGGCATTATGTACACACACTTAAAACGAGAATAATTCTTTACATGATTACATAAATTGCATGCATATTTTGGTCGGAAGTTCATCTTTCAGTGAAATTATGCAATGCGTTTAACTTCACTTGTTTAACAAAGATTTTTTTAAAAATACAGGATGATGTGTGGCAGAAGAAAAAATAAACTGTGCTTGAAACCCTGCCTTTTTCAGTAAACCATAAACACGCCGCATTTCGAGCTAAATATTACCACTTTTATTAAGGCAAGGACAGCAGTCAGACTGGGGGCGAGATAGAATAGGATGGGGCTTCAAGCTCTCAGAAGAGGAATATTAAATTGTTATAATTTCCCAGTAATTGTGTCACTTAGAGTTGTTAGTTGTGTTTACAGATTTCCTTGCCAAACCTTGTGATGGAGTCGAATAAACTATTGTGTTCATTATCATTGTGTTCTTAAATCCGAAATAAATTTTACATATGTAGAAATGACTGAGATATTAAAGTTTGTAACGATAATTATACTTCTGCCTGGGATCAGTGAGGCAGTCTCGGCGGACAAATCGACATATCCAGCCATCACGACGACCCTACATAATAGGACGGTTTGTTTACAATCGGTGGTAAGTATCTAGGATATGAATCAGTAGATTATGATACTTTAAAGTGGATAAGTACATATGCAAATATTTGTGCTCTTTCCAGTATGGGGCAAACATTACTACGATAAGTCTTAGTTGGACGTTGATAAGGTTCCAATGGTTTTATGAAACGATACGAAAATTCAATCCGGTTCTAGACTTGACACGGAATTACGCCGTGGATGGCGGAGATGTGGATGATGATCATATGAATTCCACCATGTAAGTTAAGTTTTTACTGAACAACGAGATATCTTTTTGTGTCCCATTCCGATAATTTGGAAAATTTAGCAAGTGTAGGAAAACCTAAAAAATGGGAATTCATTTTGTTTTGAAAATCCAACTCAAAACGCTTGAAATTTTAAGTTTTGTACTTTTACACAATTTCCTAATTTATGCAGAAAACGTTAAGATTATTCGTATGCACGTTAAGTTCTAGCACAATTCCTATTTTTCCCAGAGGTTATGTATGCTAGTTAAATATGCAAATTATGCACTTACAGTTAATTTGATGTCTTAATAATTTTTGCACTTAGGACCCTAAAATTGAAGCTGGACCCCAGCCTGTTCCAGATCCAACTTGCCCTAAATGTGGATAACACCTCGATACAGGGTTATCTAACTGAAGAAGAGAACAAGGAACAATTCGAATGCGAATTTAAAATCTTTACCCGGCATGGAACAAAAACACAAACTGCGGTCGGGAGGAAGGCACGCCACGGAAATTCTGTCCACTTTCAGTGGTCATTCTTTGACGAGAGGCGAAAAGCCTTGGGCGAGCTGATGGACATTTACACCCGAGTCGTAGTTCGGGATAAGCGAGGATATTACAAGATAAGAGAAACTGCGAGTGTCACCCTCCCCTCGGAAAGAGCGATGGAACAATCAATCAACTTTAGGTTTGCCGTTAAGAAAATCGAATTCAATATTGAGGACCAACTTTCATTTATTTAGGAAAAATAAATAGGATGTAGGTAAAGTAATACTTTGAATATCTAGTTAATTAAAGGTAAATTTGTAAGCGGTATAATAAATTTTGTGCAATATGTGGAATAATTTGGTAATATTTAAATTCGTGCAAATCTTGTTTATGCATGTATATCACATACATAAACAGCCATTATATAACTTCCTGGCGACTTGTTAATCACTATTTAATCTGAGAAGATTCTCTGCAATAATTCATACACATGTAATTGATTGCACTTTAATAGAAGAATCTGTTGTTTCGTTTTTACTTATGCACATACATACATACACATGTAAATACATACAGTTCATGAGAGATTTTTCATGCTAATCTTACCCCACTTCAATTCAAGTAGGGATTCCAAAAGAAAACAAAAGTACTTATCAAATATTTGGCTCAACGCAGGGGTGAAAGTGTCCAATTTAAATAAACATCAGGGGCAGGGACAAAAACTATGTACTTCAACTACATTTGTGTCGCCAGTAAAATTATGAAAGTATAATTTACAGTAAGACTGTCCTTCCTACCCTTTTTCTATATATGTATATTGTCATTGAATATTTGTCACAATTTCACCTACGGTAATTTCTATCATTCAAAGAGATATATGAATTCTCATGTATCGTTAAAAAATAATGCTTATCTAACCATGTGCCACGATTTGCAAACATGAATATGAAATAATACGAAACGGTCAAGTTGATTATATACGTTTGAAAATAAATTTTATTTATTGCATAATATTCCAATTTTAAAATAATTTGGTCTAACTAAAACAAGTTGTGATCACTCAATTTAAAGTCCAAGAGCAGCAGCAACATCGATACGTCCGTGACCTGAAATTCACAAAATATTTTCAATACGCCTTCATTTGACATTATCCGGTCTTCACTTCAATTGTAGCAAATCTTACCGAAAGCGTGGTTGGGGAAATCTCCAGGTCCGGGAAGTCCGCAATTCCTGTCAGCATTGGACAAGGTTGGGTGGGCTGGGGTGGTGGTGAGGGCATTGAAGATCTGGTCATATCCCCAGCTTGGGTTGGCAGACATGAGAAGAGCGATGGCTCCAGCGGTGTGGGGGGTGGCCTGTGATAGAGAAATTATATAAAGAATTAGGCAATCTTTCAGAAACCAAAGTATTAATAGTAACGTACCATTGAAGTTCCGGACATGGTGACGTAGTTGTTGGCTCCAGTTCCGCAAGACACGATGTTGTTTCCTGGTGCGGAGACTTCTGGTTTGAGTGCTCCAGCTGCGTTGGGTCCTCGGGAGGAGAAGGTCGCCATGGCGTCGGTGTCAGTGGTGGCACCAACGGAGATAAGGTTGGGCTGATCTCCAGGAGAGATGACCGTCCTGCATTGTGATCCTGAGTTTCCGATAGCGAAAACTGGGATGATTCCAGCCGATCGCCAGGCAGAGACAACCTGGTTGTACCATGGATCGTTACCACCACCGCCCCAAGAGTTGGAGACAATGTTTGGTCGGGGGTTGGCGGTCAAGACCCATTGGGCACAATTGATGAGGTTAGCTTCAGTTCCGGATCCTTGGTGGTTAAGTCCACGGCAGGCGACCCATTGGGCAGCTGGGGCGACACCAACACCATTGGCACGTCCAAGAATGGTTCCCGTGCAGTGAGATCCGTGTCCCTGTTGGTCAGTTGGTCCGGCCGTGTTGTAGTACGGGTCGCTCCAGGCACCACCGTACGCGTCAGCGAGAGCAACGTGTCCAAGATTAACTCCGGTGTCGATGATGCAAACGACGACGCCCTCTCCTTGAGTACGAGCCCAGGCCGCTGGTGCCCTGATCATCTCAACACCCCATTGCGCGGCTTGGCTAATGTTTTTTGTTGACTCGACGGCGACGGATGGGGTCATTCGGACGGTGACTTCCTTGCGGAGGACGAAATCTCCGGGAGTGGCAGCCAAGGAGGCGAGAGTCTGGGAGGTCAAACCCTTGACGTGGATGATGTTGGATCCCCAGTAGGTCTGGGTCTCGAGGCCGAGGGAAGAAGCGACTTGGACGTAGGGGCCTGTGCAGCGGAGGTGAGTCCTTGCAGGGAGGCGACGAGGGCGGACACCTTGGCGTCACCGGAGAGGGACAAGAGCGATGGGTTGGACTGGACTTGGTCGACGATTGCAGGAAGTGCAAGGATCGCCTCGGTGGAACCTTGTTGGATGGCCAGGCTGAGGGCTGGGTCGACAGTGCCGGCGGCGGCGACTGCCAGGGAGGCAGCGAGGACGAGAAGCAACTTCATGGTGGAGCTAATTGGAGATATTACTGGATTGGAGGTTCTGAAGCGGTGTGAAGAAATGGGAAAGTGGGGTAGCTTTTATACGAGAACGATAATCACGTTGAAATACAAAGATTAATTTGTATAGAAGTAGATTAAGCACAGGGGGCATGTTTCGATAAGCGTAGATAAGCCATTAATTGTCGGCTGCATGGTCAGTAGGGAAATTCCAAATTTACATAGTTATCCGTCATTGCAATTCGTTTGCTCTACTCATTCAATCAAATCTGATGAAAGGGATACGTTAAATCCCAGAAATGATTGAATACCAAAGATTAGTTTTGGCATTAGGTGCACACGCATTACGGGTTTTCCGATCATACAGTATGTAACTTATTTAATGCTACGATTTTTAATTTCAAATTCAACTTCAATTTTCCCAAGAACAGGTAGATATTTCAAAATTGTTTTCATACCAATTATTCACCATATATTGGACTACATTGAGGCAAATTTTCAGAGGAATGGAGATAGAACGGTTGAATCCACAAATATTTTAATGTCAAAATATTGCGAATTGCACGTTACATAATTAATGCTACGATGCACAACCGGTGCAAATTTGCCGTTTTTCCTAAATACGGAGCAGAATTTCGAATGGATAAACAATTCTGTAGTATTTCTACTACAAATGAAAATAATCTGCCGAATTATAATAAATAAATAACAAAGGACACCGTTGTCAGTATCAAAATATTGGAAAAGTGACCTGTCTCCATTAATAACGTCTAAATTTAAGGAAACTTTGGAAACAATTTAAAATACACACCGAATCTGTTCCAAGACTCGCGGAGGAAAGGAAAACCACAGAAGCTGTAGCGAATTGTCATCGTCAGGGTCGAAAACCCAGTAAAACACCACACGCGGACGAGACTATTGTAAAAACAGTGACAATAATGCTTGTCTGTCCGCGCCCGAAATTGCGAAAGATGTTCAAAGTGACCGTTTTACTGCTCTACACCTATGAATGATTAGACGCAGGCTGATATTCGCAGGAATATCCGGGGAAATTCCAAATTCTCCACCATGCATCTAATGGAGCAACCACAAGAAACAATTGGGGTGGGAAATGCAAAGCGAAGATGATCCCATGTCTACCGGAAAAAATTTCTGTTCCCAGATTAGACCATAATTCAACTTTTTAGCTCAGATGAAACGGTAAGAGTGTGTAAGGAGCCCAAAGAAGTTTCAAGGAATTAATTTCTGAGACAAATTATCGAACATAGCAGAGATAAGGAAATCTAAGCTGTGTGAACCGCTAAACCCTGGTATGAAACTTTCGAAATCTTGCAGGGAGGTCAGGTTTTGGGACAGCATATGTTGCCACAGGGTAGTAGCACTGACGTGCGTCGATGGGATCATGACCAAAGAGGTTTACCTTGCTTTGTTAGAAATAAGTCTTGGCCAATTCACAACAAAGAAAGACTTTGGTCATAGATTTATTTTCAACAATTGCCGGATATTAGACAAATATTACAAAAATTATCTTAAATGCCTCAAGGATAATAATACAAAGGTTTTGGACTGGACACTAAAATTTCTTGACCTCAACTCGATCGAGCATAACCCAAAAACCCTGCGGCGTCTGGTGACAACACCAAAACCGATAAGCACGGCTCCCCGACACACCGTGATAACAGAAAATAAATAAAGATCGACCATAGCATAACCGAAAGGTTGGTGGATTAGATGCCCAAACGATTTCAATCAGTTATTGGGGTCTAACGAAATATTGAACCGCTCCTACCCCCGTAGCATTAATTATGTAACGTGCAATTTGCAATATTTTGACATTAACATATTTGTGGATTCAACAGTTTTATCTCCATTCCTCCGAAAATTTGCCTCAATGTAGTCCAATATATGGTGAATAATTGGTATGAAAACAATTTTGAAATATCTACCTGTTCTTGGGAAAATTGAAGTTGAATTTGAAATTGAAAATCGTAGCATTAAATAAATTGCATACTGTAAGTTGATTCGGCAATACGAGATGATCTTCTTGTATGGCTATCGAACTTTAATTGTGAAGATGTATATAATTTACATAAGGTGTAATTTATGTATGACACGTTAAAGTGGGAATACCACCCAATTATGGAAATTCCAAGGTAACTGCCCAGCTTTATGACAATTTGATTTGTGCTATGAAATTAAAATGCCAATTTCGTTAGATTAAGCGATCAGTGAATATATTTATGCAAATTTTGTAATGTTTTCAATCTCTTTCAGATTGTTAACTAAACAATAGTTTCATAACGTATAATGGATCATCGGCAAAATATCGGTACATGTGAACTTGTACTTTATTAGTTCAGGGTGCCTTATCTCTTTAAAAAAATACTTGTCCCGAATTGATCGTGCTCGGAATTGTTGTCGAATTATAATCTGAAGACTGGTACATTTTGACGGAATTCCAACTTCAAAGATGGAATCAACGATTGGTGTTGGATTTCCCAATGTACCTACCCTATTCAGTTTTTTATGGTTTACGGAAATTTAAAGGTTGGAATTAGCGCTGACAGGATGATATTTAAGAATAAAGAGTAATTTTGGTCCGTAATTTTATGGTTTACTTTAAAAATGAATTAAATGGCTTGGTCAACGGTTAAAATTTGTACAAATTTGCAGCAATTTGACGGGAAATACAAATATTTGCAATTATATAAAATATTTTCTATAACAACTTGTCCTAAAATAAATTAGTATCTCGAGTACTTTTCAAATTGATTATATAGTAGGTGACAGGTACATGATTTTGCAAATTTGTGTACGGCCTAAACATATTAGACATTGACATTACTAAATAAATACGGCTTCTAGCAAGCCTGCATATCGGTACCACCTGCAAATTTGACGTAATTATTTAAATTGTAGACGTCTGCATCAGTATTTAGATGAAATGTTGAATTACAATTCTGCTTTCAAAATTGATACGTTCCTAATTTTGCACTTGTTGGGCAAAAGGTAAATTATATAGAATGTGTGATGCATGGCCTGGATTCATTAAATTTATTGTACCCTATTAAATTATCCCGGACTGGTAGTTACTGCTATTAGATAGTTTCATTCTCATTCTAGAGGGCAAATTGAAAGTTAACATTCTTTCGAAATTTCCAACATGATTTCCAACAACGTTCTCCAGCTTTTCGCTAAGATTGTACAAATTTGTCATCTCTCTGGAGCTGTGCCATTCTCCTGGGATAGTAAAAAGCGACGCTTGTACATCACCAACAAATTTGACAAGCTTGCAAAACTATGGCTCTGTTTTCAACTGGAGGTTCTAATCTATACAGCTATACGGACCATATTTCTCCGCTATTATTCCAAAGATTTATCCACGTTCAACTTTTGCTTAGCTATCTTATTCGCGTTAATTTTGCATGCACTGATGCGAGTCGCATCATGCGACTGCCATATTCCGTCTATGCAAGAGACTTTGTAACTTTTGCGAATTGTGCTTTCATCACTTTGGAGGATTATAAATGTAAGGAAGGAAAATTGGTCTTATATTTAGACTAAGAATTTCGACGAATATTGAATCATTAAGAGAAATCTGGCACACATAGGGATTGATCATAAACTACCATGTAAATAATTTAAAAGGAAGGGAGGGAGGGTGGTTCAATTCTAGAAAGTCGGGATTTAGTATTACTTACAGGTTATGAAGTCTTATGTTTACAAAACACTATAATCCTAAGTTGACCGTACGAAAATTTGTACAAATTTTGTAAAGGTTTTTCAGTACAAAATCAATCCAATGCAATGGCATAGACTCCAAAAACTTATATCCTTATACGTTACGTATGTACCTAGTCTGCCACGAATTCTTTTGACATACGTTTTTTAGTATACAAAAAGAACGGGTAACAATTTTTATTTAAAATTTTCCACAGGGATGCACAATATACCTGTATATATTATAAAAATACTAAGTTTCAAAATTTCCACTTCTGGAGTACACAAACTTAAAAAATCTGACGGCAAATTAGTCGCTCGGATTACGCACGGTTTCCAGTGGAAATTTGTCACACGCGTTGAGAAAAATTTTTTTGAGAACTTTTGCACTACTGGAAGTTTTAGTCCAGGCCTTGGTCTCAGTTTTAAGCCACAAGTCGTAATTCAGATGATTAAGGTCTGCCATTGCCGATAAATTTCTTGTGACCAAATAAAATCGACGAAATCAGCTCATAGCCAATTTTTGACAACTTTTGCACCTTATGACGCAGCCGTGACCTGTTTTGAAATCCAAGTTCCATTTTTGAATAGGTCGGACTTCAAATGTTTTTCAGTGGGTTTGGAATCTTTGTCCGTATAACTCTTGTCCTCCACTGTAACCCTTTCTGGAACAAAACAGCGTCTTGCGTTCTCCTGCCGACTTGTTCTAATCCAAGCCGTCACAGAGATAGGGGGATGAGATCTTCGACATTTTCTTACTCCCAGGGGTATGTATGATTTTTGCCATGTGCAAATTCTGCTATTTTCCTTGCTGAATTTACGCAGAGCTCGCGATAAATCTGCAATGGAAACCGTGCGTAATCCGAGCGACTAATTTGCCGTCAGATTTTTTAAGTTTGTGTACTCCAGAAGTGGAAATTTTGAAACTTAGTATTTTTATAATA